TGAAGAAGATTTTTTAACATAATTTATCATATTTTATTAGTTCAGTATTTTTCAAAGTCTAAATCTTTAAAGCTCTTTCAAAACATAATCAATACAACATTTCATATATATTCAGAAATCCAATAGACTTATGGAAAGTTGCTTTCACCAGTCATTTTCCTCAAACAGTAAGACCAAATTTTCTATATTATAGCATTGTTAGGGTAGACATAATACAAACTTGTTCTCTGTAAGCCCTACATTTTGAGATGTCAGATTAAATTGCATTGTTAGTCATTTTAAGCAAATTTATCTGAACTCTAGTAACATTTTAAAAATATATGTTATTAAAATAATTATTTTATTCCTTTTTTAATGGCTTGAAGAACACTAGACTTCTCAGTTGAATAACTGTCACATGCCAGATTTTTTTAATGCTATGGAATTCATATCTTTACTTAAAGGTTTTGTTTTTGTAGAGTAGCAACAACCAAGCAATGACTTAAAGATTTTGTTATTGTAGAGTAGCAACAACCCAGCAATGGTGGATGATCCAGCCAAAGATCCTCAGTTTGCTGAAGCAGCAATCGACATATTAAGGGCACAAAAAGATGAGGTAATGAGATTTAATTATCCGACATTTTTAAGAAAATATTTATCAAGTTTTTTTATTTAAATTTTCATTTAATAAAATGTCTGAATTTAAATTTATGGCATGAAGTCATTTGAATATGAGCTTGAATTGTTCACTTCAGGAGCTGGAGCGTTACAGGAAACTTGCAGAGAGGAGAGCAAGAGAAGTTCAACAACTTGGTTATGTCACAAGTTAAAATTAAGGTCAGTAGGTTAACAATATCAAGTTTCACGGCACTGGTTAATAAAACGGAATCATTTTCTTTAGCAATTACTTTTCAAAAAAGCTGTTATGATGAAAATAATCATATGTAAATTGCTAATTGCTTGGGTATCTATGTTACCGTAATTGTTTAAACTGCAGTTGAACTCTACAACCCATTGAATAGAGTATACATATTTATAGTCCAATGTTTGAAATGGGACCAACTGGTTTCTCTTTGTAAAATTTTAGATTTTCAAGCGGTCAAGGACCATAGTAATTTTAAATATAATATGACCATTAAAGAATGTTTGAGCAAGTTAAGCAAACAAGTTCAATTGTTGATTTTGAAATCTATGACAGGTTGTAGATTTTTACAAAATGATAAATTATTTTTGTCAATTTTTAAAGTGAAAATTTTGTAAAATCCATAACTTTTTGTTATTATTATTATTTAATAAATGCTTTTAATAATAATGAACATACAGCATAATGCGGGGCTTTATTAGAGTCAGCTAACGACAACTGGTGTGGACTGGGGGAGAGTGAAAAAAAAAAGTGGGGGGTAAGGTCATTTCCACTAAAAGATTAAAGGTGCATCAAAGTAAAATCCACTGTCACTTTTTCTTATCAGGTGCATATTCTATCATAGAAATATATCAATTGACAAGTTGCAGATTGCATTTATCACAGTCTGGTCACTGAAAATCAATATAGATTCTCCAGCAAGTGCTTTCGTGGGCATTAACTAACTATTGCACGCTGTACAGTGTCATTTTACAGTACTAACCTGTGGTTATTAAGTTAACTACCACATGCTGTCAGGGGCCATGTGATTGTACTAACTTGTGGTTATTAAGTTAACTACCACATGCTGTCTGGGGCCATATGATTGTACTAACCTGTGGTATTAAGTTAACTACCACATGCTGTCAGGGGCCATATGATTGTACTAACCTGTGGTATTAAGTTAACTACCACATGCTGTCAGGGGCCATATGATTGTACTAACCTGTGGTATTAAGTTAACTACCACACGCTGTCAGGGGCCATGTGATTGTACTAACTTGTGGTATTAAGTTAACTACCACACGCTGTCAGGAGCCATGTGATTGTACTAACCTGTGGTATTAAGTTAACTACCACACGCTGTCAGGGGCCATGTGATTGTACTAACCTGTGGTATTAAGTTAACTACCACACGCTGTCAGGAGCCATGTGATTGTACTAACCTGTGGTATTAAGTTAACTACCACACGCTGTCAGGAGCCATGTGATTGTACTAACCTGTGGTATTAAGTTAACTACCACATGCTGTCCGGGGCCATGTGATTGTACTAACCTGTGGTATTAAGTTAACTACCACATGCTGTCAGGGGCCATGTGATTGTACTAACCTGTGGTATTAAGTTAACTACCACATGCTGTCCGGGGCCAGGTGATTGTACTAACCTGTGGTATTAAGTTAACTACCACATGCTGTCAGGGGCCATGTGATTGTACTAACCTGTGGTTATTAAGTTAACTACCACACGCTGTCAGGGGCCATGTGATTGTACTAACCTGTGGTATTAAGTTAACTACCACATGCTGTCCGGGGCATGTGATTGCACTAACCTGTGGTATTAAGTTAACTACCACATGCTGTCAGGGGCCATGTGATTGTACTAACCTGTGGTATTAAGTTAACTACCACATGCTGTCAGGGGCCATATGATTCTACTAACCTGTGGTATTAAGTTAACTACCACATGCTGTCCGGGGCCATGTGATTGTACTAACCTGTGGTATTAAGTTAACTACCACATGCTGTCCGGGGCCATGTGATTGTACTAACCTGTGGTTATTAAGTTAACTACCACACGCTGTCAGGGGCCATGTGATTGTACTAACCTGTGGTATCAAAATTTAGCTTGTCAGGTGGTTGCTTTGATAATTATTAAAATTAATTTCTTCAACAAACTGTTTGCAATCTAATAAAATATCATGACTGTCTGACTTTGCTGCATGAAACAGTTGGATTTTGCAGTGTAAAAACTGATAAAAACTGGATTCCTAAACCCGATTAATGGTTTGCACAACAAAAAAAAATTTTTATCATTAACATCTCTAATTATCATTTTGTACCATATAAATATAAAAGTGAAAACATAAAAGTTTATACAAAATTTTTTTTCAAGTTTAATATTTTAAATCGAAACAAACCTGACGAGCGTCACTAAATAATATGTAAAACCATAATAAAACGTGTTAATTATCTTGAGATCACTACAGATTATGTTTCTAATGAATTTACTTCCTTCCTAATGTAATACTGTAATGGATACTCAGCTAATTTTTTTTTAATTTGCAATTGTTTACACTGATTAAATGACTAAGGGACCTTCCATTAATCAGGTCATGCATGTAAGGGAAGGTGGTGGGGAAGCATATCACATAACTTTAATAATAAATGTTATGCTGTATTATAATAAAAATGATTTACTACAGCACTTATGATTTCTTAAAATGTGAAGTTAATAACTTCTTTAATTTGCTATTTTGTTATTTGTTGTTTTTTTCTGACCAAGTTTACCCAGGGTTGAATTAAAGCTAAATGTTGATAGTAGAGGTATTTACCAGACATGCTATGGCAATCAAATGTTTTAATGAGTTCATCCATCATTTGTCACAATCCATCCGTTCACTGAGAAGCTGAAATAACTTGCACTTCTTTGTCTACAGATACTTTGCACCTTGCCGGAATGACTTCTTCTTAACATCAAAGTCACCAACTGTGATTACAACCCTATTTTTTGTATTATTGTTGAGACATCCTCAATGTCAAATGTGTTTACATGTAAAGTAAAAAATAAACTGTGGCTCTCAGTCTTCTAATGTAATGAGAAAATTGAGCCAGTAGTAGAGAATAGATGGTACTGTTTAGTTTCAGCTGGGAGTAAACTCTACAGAGTTACTGAACTTAGTTGGGGGTTTTGTGGGGGGAAGGGGGGGGGGGTGTGTTTTGCAATGGGAATATATATTTTTAATTATATGATATTACAAGACACTGTTATGTTAAAAAAATATTTGTTTGAAATGTTAATCATAAAATGACCTTTGGTTAAAATTGTGAGGTATTAAATTTTTTAAATCAAATTGATAACTTCCTTTATTTTCTTTTGTTGGGGAGGTGGATGTATTCTGAGGAAACCTCTTCCTTCCCCTCCCCCCCCCCCCCCCCCAAAAATAAANGGGTTGAAGAATGTAACAAACTGAAAGAAAAATAAACAGGCGATGACTTGTCTTTTTATCTGTCAAGAACCTTATCAGAGTTATCTTTTATTGAAATGCAAGACTCTTCAAACTTTGGCTGAGAGACTTTATTGTTGCAGATATTAGCTGTAATAGTGTTGTCCTCCATATGGTACAAGATTAAATATGTCCTTGAATTTTTATTATTTTATTTTGAGATTATGCCCTAGAACAGTGGTTCTCAACCTTTCTAGTGCCGCAACCCTTTAACACAGTTTCTCGTGTCGAGGCGACCCCCAGCCACACAATTATTTTCGTTGCTACTTCATAGCTGTAAGGATATGTGTTTTCAGATGGTCTTAGGCGACCCCTGGAAAAGGGTCCCGCGACCCCCAAAGGGGTCGCGACCCACAGGTTGAGAACCGCTGCCCTAGAAGGATTTATTCAAGTGGTTTACATAACACTACAGTCAATTGAAGATAAAAAAAATGTACTTTGATGGTGATGCCATTAACACAAACTCATTAAAAACAGAAAAAGTTAAGAGAAAGTCTTATTTCTCTCAGTTTTCCAATGATCCCCCAAGCAGACTCTTACTTCTTCTGTTTCCTCTTTAAAAAAAAAGTATTAAATAGTCAAAAAAGGGGTATTTTTAAATTTTGGTATATCAGTTTCAATTTTACTTTCTACTTGTTTGGACATCCTATTAAGCAGTCAATTATTATACATATAATAATATTATTATAATGTTAATTAAATGAGAGAGACATTATTCAAAAATCTAAATTAATGTATGAAGAAATAATTGAGACTAGTTTTCATTAAAATAATGTTTATGTTTTTTAATTCAAACAAATATATAAAATCTATGTATGCAAATTTGTCATAAAAAGTAAAATACTTAGTACAGCAATCAAATTAAGCAAAATTATTAGTACATCAATCAGATTAAGTACACTTATGACTTATGCATTAAGTTTGCTTGAAATCAATAAATTGATATTATTAATTATTTCCTACATTTTTAAGTGTCTGCCGCAGATTGCATTATGAGATGGTATGGCTGCAGCCCCAGCAGCTGCTATTCCAAAGGAGTCTGCTACAGCAGCCATACCAATACAATATTCTCTCTTTTCTGGGGGTATTTCATTTGTAATTCTGAAAAATGTATTGACATATGCAGCTCCCCCTAGCAGGCCTTCCCACAGAACAATAACAAACACTATCCAGATGCTTGGAATAAATCTGTAAAATACCTGGCACAGCAACAAGGCCAGATTTACAAACTGTAAAATTGGAAGAATCCAAAGTGCTTTGATGTGCACCAGATTGACTGATGACCTGGAGATGAATACACCAATTTGATAGTCAACTTGATACCAACGATATTGTTCACTCTTTGAAAGCCATTGGCCATTAAAGTACAACAACTCATGCAGACCTTGATTGATGAAATATTCTCCAAAGTAAACCAGTGTCAGTGGGATCATATATTTGAATAGTGTAGGAATTAAATGTATCTTATCTCGCAGAGTTAAGTGACTTTTGTGTTGTTGTTCATCTATTTCAATATTCTCAATCTGTCTAATAGTTGCCACATCAAAATTATCTGTCTCATTCTTTAAAGGCTTTGTAAGGATAAAGAAATAGGAGACCATCATCAAGACAGGAACTGTAACCATGATGAGTAAAGAATCCCTGGGTGACAAACCTGCACTTGTAAATCCAGCATAAACCAGGGCTCCAAAAACACCAGCTCCGCCTGTCCCAGAAGACCACATTGAGACCACGTTCCTAGTGTAAAATGTTGTCAGACTGAGAAATGTTATTTCTCCAAGTCCAGCCCCTATGCTAGCACAGACAACTCCGAGGATACTCAGCCACATCTCATGGGCCAGTGCCACCATCAGAAAACTGCTCAGAGCAAATCCTGAAACTGCCGTTATTTTCAGAGGGTATGGGATTCTTTCCAGAAAAAATGGGAATGTTACCTTGACAACCAGTGTGGGTAGAATATCAGCCAGCAAGATGGCTCCTGTACTCACTGTGTTACATTGGAGGTAATCCAAGCCTGTTGGATCCGTCTCATTCAGCCATGTTCTCATGGATGAGTTTTGTGAGGTTCTATTGACGTCACTCAGGAAAGCTTCCACTGAAGAGCTGTTTGATGCTGGGCTGTCTTTTTCTTTCAAAATGTCATGCGCTGCACTCAGCATTACCACATAGGCAAAATTGTTACATAAACCAAAGATCCAAAATGCAGCAAGATTTCTTAGGTTTGAAAGCTTCTCTATTGCTATTTTAGCTTTGGCATGGGCTACTTCAGTATCTGTCGTAGCTGCCAACTGCTTTACATTGTTACCTTCTAGGGCTGGTTTCTCAGAGACCATCTTGTAACTGTTGCGTAAAGTTAAGGCATCTGGTTTTAAAATCTTGACCTTTTATGTTGCCGTAGTTAAGCTGTTATTAATTTTGAATACGTGTCCCAAGATTGACTTATCTCTCTGCATTGTCTTTTTTTTTTTTTTTAAAGTGAATAAGAAAAGTACTTGATGAGGACACTTAAGCCAGCAGAACTTATCAGCTGTGTGACTGAAATGAATTTTTCTTAAATATATTTTGCAAGTTCCAAATATGTTAACCCCCACTGGTTTATCAACACTTATATTTATGAGGTATCTTTTACATTTGTGAAATGGGGTCATATGCCAGGGGCTGTTTCACCACTTAACTTCATTAGATAAAAGGTTGTATCCTCTCTGGTCATTTAATACTACTGGTACCTAAGATAAAGCCCAAAAGAGAATTAGTGGCCCAATAAGACTAAGTAGGGTTAGATCATTTTTGCAGGATGGAGATCATGGTAGTAAAAATTTTGCTAATTCCTTTGAAATTTTTCATCTTCTAGAACTTAGGAAAGTGGATTGTATTGTACTGAAAAACTTTATTTTAACTATTTGGTATATTTACTACATGGTAACAACCTATGGATGATCAGTGTTCATAAGTACTTATACTTGTATATTTTCATCCATAGAAGTCTCCTTTACTTTCAAGGTGACCCATTAAACAACCTGACTGTTAAAATGCAGCACTCTCTAACTCTGTTATTCACCTTTCTCTTTCATTCTATTTTACAGCCCCGTTGACTCACTCATTGACACCAATCAAAATAAAAATCTGGAAGAATAATTTATTCATCATTCCGATTAGTGTACACAGGTTTATTGGTAACAGCGGGATGAACACTGATAATTCCATAACAGTTATTAAGTCGCCATTATTTTTTTTAAACCGGGACATTTAAAATCGTATCAGTGCCATTCAGGGCTAAAACAATGGGTGGGCGATGTGGGCCGCCACCCCAGTAGAGGGGCGACAACACAACCATTCTTTATGCTTTTGTTTGCCTTTCAGGGGGGGGGGGAGAGATTAAGAGATTTTTTTTTAAAAATGCCTGGTTTTTGGCCCTGGTGCCAAGAGCATCTAAAGATAAATTATTTGATGCTACATTACAGTTACAGTGGGGAACTCTTCTGTCTATAATGGGCTCTTTTGAAATATGTTTATTAAATTAATCATATATTTTTTAGTTGTGTTACTGATATGTATTTATGCCCAGATATCAGATGAACTGGATCTTTTGATTTTAAAAAAAAAACGAGTCCTAGTATTCTATTGTTAGAAAAAAAAAGTTTTAGGCAAAATTGTTATGTGGAAGTTTGTTCGAACGATAGTTAGTTTGAAATTCAATTTCTTAAACTTGGATTTATTTATTAATTTATTAAAATGTTTTTAAGGGTGGGTGCGATAGAAAATTGGGTAAATGTAAACTTTTTAATAAAAATAGGGGTGGGGTGGGGGTACCCCATATTTCATATTAAATTTCTGTTAGTTAGAACAAACTTTCGTCGAAGAATGTTCATTCAAATTTTTTTTTTTAAATTGTACAAATTTCGGTTACCGTTATAGTAATTGGCCAATATTTACTAGAATAAGCCCATTATGTTTCCAATGTAATATAAATGAACATGCAAACAAATAGTGTAGCATAGTGCTTGGAGCAAAGAAAAGTAATTATAATTAATAAAATCTAAATATTTAGTGAAGTGAATTCGGAAGTAGACTAATTTTCAATAGAGAAAAATTAACATAAAATAGTTATTGTATTAAGGTTGTTCATTTTTTTTTAGACAAGAATGAATTGGTAGCGACTGGTAATAGCCTAATGTTATAAATGGTAGACAACCCTTCGGAATAAAAAAAATTTGACATTTTTTAGAGTTACTTTTCTCATCACTTTAACATTGTAAAACATAAGAAAACTCCTAACCCTAAACGCGCCTAGATGTGACATCATTACTTGGTTACTTAAATTTGACTAGATTTTTTTTCGCAAATAGTTGTTGACTCGAAAATCAAACTTTGGTTTTAATTTAAAGAAAATATGCTTAATCAACTAGTCTATTTAAAAAAATTACACCAGGTAGAATTCTAATTTTAGAAGTCACATGATATTGATAATTAGGTCAATAATGACTTCTTGGTATTCTAGGGTAATATTAATATTAACGTTTAACTTCGTTATTTTTTCCAATTGACGACCATTCATTGATTGTCGTGTCAACAAGAGCGACCAAAGTAAATACTACTTGTTCTGCTCTGTCTTAAGTTAACCTTCAAATTTAGTAAGTTACTATAATGATAATACTTTAATACTATTATGAACTTATTATAAATAATAAAATTTTAAAATATTTTGCTTACCTCAGATCTGTTATTTTATCAATTAATATTAATAGATAATCATAATAGTAATAGTAATAGTTATCATCACTGACATCAGTCATCAGAATTCCATCCATCCTCATTCGGCATGATTCAGAATATTCCTGGGCTTGAGTTTACCAAACACAAAGACACAGATAATAATTAAAATTATGATTGTGGGCTTATTTTTATTAATTAATGTTTAATAATTTAATGATCAACATTTATTTATTAAATATGTCACTAAATGCAACATGTTTACATGTGGGAGTGACTTCCCTTTGTCAAAGTCCTTTGTTTATTTTTACTAAATTATTTTAGGGATCGATTTAGGGTTCAGGTTAGGCATAGGGATAGATGACTTCATGTGTCATATTAACCAAGATGGTAGTTATTGAGAAAATAGTGGCAATCGTAGTCAAAATTTACCGAGATGCCATGTATTTTCCCATGACCGCCATCTTGGTTGCCACGACCCATGATTTAACTGGTTAACTACCATGAGCCGGTGGGAGCGGCTATGAGCCACTGGTAGCGGCTATGAGCCACTGGTAGCGCCAATGTTTGTATCGTAGTCAATGTGACCCTAGATTTAATTTGGACACAGCGGGCTTTTCAATCTGGTAGCTTATCAGTTAATGTATCCCTAAACCTAACCTGAACCCTAAATTACTAAAAAAAATCTAAACCTAACCGGGTCTACTGACTCTAAACCTAGTATTGACCCTAAACCTAACCTGGGTATTGACCCTAACCTGAACTCTCTAAATATATCCTTAAACCTAACCTGAACCCTAAATGTATCCCTAAACCTAACCCAAACCCTAAAACTAGCCCTTAAGTTAAAGCCTCATGTCTCAAGTAAAAAACATGTGTACAGCAGCAGTTACACACTGTCACTGTGGCAAGAAAACTAAAAAATAAAGAAAAACAATTTTAAAAATATTCCTAAAATAGATAAAAAATGAAAACCCAACTTACAGTTTCATAGAATACACTTTTACACACTTTATTTCAGCTTCCATTCAAAATCCAAAAAATGAATAAAACACCATGCCGTCATGCAATAATGCATTTTAAAATGTGGCGGAACAATTAAAATAGCCGAACAATGAAATTTTAAAATTATAATTAATCACCCAATAAAATTTTTATACAAAATATGCCATCTTCATATTAAGGAAAATGTCACTCTAGTAACAAAAAACAAGGGGAGTGAAGCCAAAACATAAACTTAACAAAAACACGCAAATGACGTCTTGGCATGCCTTCTTTTCCTCAACCACTATGTCATATAATAATAGGCTCAGCAAAGCCTATACTGATACTTAAACTAAATAGTTTAAGTGTATCACTGTTTATGTGAGTCAGAGAATAGCAGAAACTAGCTCCAGGACTGCAAGAGTCAAGTCAAGTGATGACAAATATAATATAAATAATATAATTAAAACTGAAAGTAGAAAGTCCAATCAACTAAAAATAATATAAAAAATATTAATTATTCATTTGGGTTTAATTAAATACTAAAATAGCCTCAAAATATACTAGGCCTAGTCTACTACCATATTCTTCTGTTAGGCCACCGTCCTACATATCAATTATAATTATAATATTTGGAGCTGGCTGCTGGGAAGGGCTGAGCAGTTTTAAATCAAAGTTTTAAGTGATTTTATTTCTGTTTGTTTGGATCAAAGACATGTATATGTTACATAAGTTATAATTAGATATGGATGAGGTACTGTCATTTTTTGATCAACACATTACTATTTACTCATAAGTTAAATATAGCTCCAAAACTTTTATCTGTTAACTGGATGTTGAATTGTATATTTTCAGTTGGCCTTCTCCAAGAACTGACAATGGATAATGTCATGTATAACACAGTATATGTCTCCTAAATTACCTAGATAACTATATTGGACCTCCAAGCATTGAGCATAGTGAGCTATAGCAAAAGTATTAATTAACTTTTCATTATTGAGCGATTCGACATGTCAAAATAGTTGCAAACATTTTCATATATTTTTCTACGAAAATGGCAAACAACATCCCAAATGAAGAAGATGATTTGAGTGACTCTGAAGTTAGCCTAGAATTGGTTAAAGCTGAAAAAAGAGCCAAATGGAGAAATTTGGCTTCATTTTGGATATTTGGACTTTGCAATAATTTTGCTTATGTTGTGATGTTAAGTGCTGCCCATGACATATTAAAAGAAGAAGAGTCATCCTCCAACAGTACAAACTCATCAAGCTCACAAATGACAGAACCAACCAGCAGTAATGTGTCATATCTTGAGTGTAATACTGTCAGCACAGGAGCAATTTTGTTAGCGGATATCTTACCAACACTTATTGTAAAGTTGACTTTTCCTTTTTTCCTTGAAAAAATATCATACAGAATCAAAATCACAATTATTTCTGGTTTTGCATTAAGCAGCTTTTTGATTGTTGCATTGGCACATGAAGTATGGCTGAGTATCCTCGGAGTTGTCTGTGCTAGCATAGGGGCTGGACTAGGAGAAATAACATTTCTCAGTCTGACTACATTTTACACTAGGAATGTGGTCTCAATGTGGTCTTCTGGTACAGGTGGAGCTGGTGTTTTTGGAGCTCTTGTCTATGCTGGATTTACAAGTGCAGGTTTGTCACCCAGGGATTCTTTACTCATCATGGTAATTATTCCTGTTATGATGATGGCTTCTTACTTCCTGCTGCTAACTAAACCCCTTGAAAAAGAGAAGAGGATAGATGATTCAACATTATTAATTGAAGAGGAACGACATAAGAAAATTATTCTAACATTCAAGCAAAAGTTATTTCTCATTCCTTCATTATTCAAGTATATGATCCCACTGACACTGGTTTACTTTGGAGAATATTTCATCAATCAAGGTCTGCATGAGTTGCTGTACTTTAATGGCCAATGGCTTTCAAAGAGTGAACAATATCGTTGGTATCAAGTTGACTATCAAATTGGTGTATTTATCTCCAGGTCATCAGTCAATCTGGTGCACATCAAAGCACTTTGGATTCTTCCAATTTTACAGTTTGTAAATCTGGCCTTGTTGCTGTGCCAGGTATTTTACAGATTTATTCCAAGCATCTGGATAGTGTTTGTTATTGTTCTGTGGGAAGGCCTGCTAGGGGGAGCTGCATATGTCAATACATTTTTCAGAATTACAAACGAAATACCCCCAGGAAAGAGAGAATATTGTATTGGAGTAGCAGCATTAGGTGATTCCATTGGGATAGCAGTGGCTGGAGTAGCTGCTATACCTTCCCATAATGCCATTTGCGGTCTAAACTTAAAAATGTAATAATTTAACCGACTAGTTTCAAAATGTACAATGACATCAACTTCTTGTTTCAAGAAAAAAAAAACTAAAAAATGTTCCAAAAAAAAATATTTAAAATGGAAAAACCTGCATCTGATGTTATAAATATTTTCATAATGGAATTATTAGATATTTTAGAATATCTATTTATTCCATTAAGATGTAAGAAAATAAAAACACATTTGGAGTTTTAAGGTCTGGTGTTCTTTTAGTTTAGACAAGATTTCTTAATCATCACTGTAACAATTTGTTTTTTTCCAAATGTCATAAAAATATAACATTTACTTCACCTTTTACTAGACTTTGCTACATAAAATTAGACAATAGTCTTGTATTTTTGTAAGCAATGAAATTGTTTTGTAAAGTTAAAGGTAGGCTAATTACATTGTGGTTATTACAATATAGGGCACCATAGGTCAAAGCAAATTAATTTAGTTCTATCAGATTGTCAATAAAAAGTTGCAAGTCAATCATTGTGCTCTTTTGATTAATATAGATTGCATATTCATTTATATAACCATTAGCTTTTCCTCATTCCCTGATTTCAACTCGCTGTTTTGAGTGTGTAAAATTATAGTTATTGTTTGGAGTCTATTCACTACTGCTCTAATTCTTAGTATTAATTTGATCTGTTAATGTATCCTCTTTCTTAAATATATATTGTATTACAGTATATTCTTGATCATACGCTGACTTTTTTTTTAAAATTTCAGGAGAATAAGTCGTGTGATGGGCTTGTAAGCGGATCGTAGGTGTTTATACATTTTTTCTCCAGGCACATTAATTCTATTATAGAAAACAGTGAAGAAAAATGTATCAAGTGGACTTCAACGTAAAGTGCAAAGTTGGCTGTGAACAAAATTCAATTATAACGCACATAATGAATGTTTTATCATATCTCTCAGCTTGTTCCAGATAGCTTTACTTGTGTCTCAATTTTTTCCCTGCAATCGTCTTCGAACTTTAATCTTTTGTAAACATTTTGGAAATCATTAGCTTCAAATTCATAATGACAATTACGCGCTAAGCTTATTCTGGAAGTATTTCTGTGTATTATGTAGTGTAGTTCCTCTAACTCAAGTAGATTATGCCATGTAACACACAAAAGATAACTTGCTGCTTATCTTGTGTGAATATTTTCATGTGTTATTACATACAAAGAGCTTGAATGACCTGCATAATTTTTTCAAATGTTTTCTTAATTAGTGAAAAATTGTGAGCAACCCAGAAAATAGTTGATACTCTTTAAAGACACATGAGTGCAGTCAATGAGTACATCCCATTTAAAGACACATGAGTGCAGTCAATGAATACATCCCATTTAAAGACACATGAGTGCAGTCAATGAGTACATCCCATTTAAAGACACATGAGTGCAGTCAATGAATACATCCCATTTAAAGACACATGAGTGCAGTCAATGAGTACATCCCATTTAAAGACACATGAGTGCAGTCAATGAATACATCCCATTTAAAGACACATGAGTGCAGTCAATGAATACATCCCATTTAAAGACACATGAGTGCAGTCAATGAATACATCCTATTTAAAGACACATGAGTGCAGTCAATGAGTACATCCCATTTAAAGACACATGAGTGCAGTCAATGAGTACATCCCATTTAAAGACACATGAGTGCAGTCAATGAGTACATCCCATTTAAAGACACATGAGTGCAGTCAATGAGTACATCCGATTTAAAGACACATGAGTGCAGTCAATGAATACATCCCATTTAAAGACACATGAGTGCAGTCAATGAATACATCCCATTTAAAGACACATGAGTGCAGTCAATGAATACATCCCATTTAAAGACACATGAGTGCAGTCAATGAATACATCCCATTTAAAGACACATGAGTGCAGTCAATGAATACATCCCATTTAAAGACACATGAGTGCAGTCAATGAATACATCCCATTTAAAGACACATGAGTGCAGTCAATGAATACATCCCATTAATGGGTGTAAACAAGGGTTTCAAAAATTCCAAAAACTTGATGCACAACTGATTTTCAGTGGAAGAGTGCTGCCTCCACAAATTAAGAGAATGGTATATGTTACCCACATTGCACACATCCATGGATTTCAGCCATGATTGCATCATTGTATTAACCTTGAGAAGCACATCATAATTATCACCAGTTAATCATTTTTTTTTTAAAAATTAGGAATATTTCAAACAGATGTTAGCAGCTTTCATTTCTCTAAAGGGAAAAAAGTCTAGAAATACTGCTTTCACCTAATTTTTCTATTGTGTATTTTTATACAGTTCATCACTTTTGACAAACTAGTCAGTATGCAATATAGCATGTGTCCTGTCAAACCATACCTCGGTTTTATTTAGAAGAAAAACTTATTTTTTACATGATCCATCTAAGTACTTAAATATTTTTGGGGAGTTTTTGTTGCAGGATAGAAATTTGATGATTTAGCCAGAGAAATACTTCACTTTAAGTGTTAACTTTATTTGATTTTTATCAGAACTGAGTCACATTTTGGTAACATCTCCAAATAGACTCAAGTGATGCCTCTGTTAGACTGAAGTGATGCCATTGTATATATAAATATATGTACATACATTTTTACTGAGATCGGTACACTTTTTCTTACAGCTTATGGTCCAGTAAATTTGTCTGCTGTCCCCTCCAAAGATATACTTGACCTTCCCCCCCCCCTTTTTTTTTTTTTTTTCTCTGAGGTGCAATTTATAAACACTTTAATTTGGTGTAATGAATTAAATCCTAAGTGACTGCACTGCTCTTCAATTAATGGTCCAGTAAATTTTTCTGCTGTCCCCTCCAAAGATATTCTTTTCCTTCCCCCCCCCCCTTTTTTTTTTTTGTTGCTCTGAGGTGCAATTTATAAACACTTGAATTTGGTGTAATGAATTAAATCCTAAGTGACTGCACTGCTATTCAATTTCCAAAAAGTAAATTGACCAGATTTTTCAGAAATACCACATTTACACTTTTCAGAGTAATCATGCCACTTTCATTGATATACAATTATTGACGTATTAAGTCGTAAATTTTATGAGTACCGGTAAGAAAAAAGCAATAAAAAAAAATTTGTTAGCTTCTGGCTAACAATCGAACTTTTATTGTTCAATTCCATTTTTATTTTACCTTGACATTTTTCCACCATGACCCATGGTCTAATCTCAGGTATCACTGGTGTCACTTCTTATTTAAGTCACTTGTACTGGATCTCAACAATTTAATCTTTCTCAAATTGCTGCTTATAGCCATGCTTCTAATAATTTTAATTTAAAAACAAATCTATTTAACGATTTAAAATCTCTACTTAATTTTTTTTAAGAGTCTTGCGGCATTAGCTTTTGTCTACAAGAAAGACTGTTAAATTTTTTTGACTTGTGAAAAAAACAATAAAATTTTGAATAAAATGCTTACATAACAATAGCTGACTTATTTTATTAACATGTTCTTCTCATGTGAGTGGATATTCTTGCTTTACATAATAAATGAATATTTTTCCTTGTTGCTAAAGATTTATTTTTTTTTTATTTTTTTTTTTGTATTTTAAATATTTTTGTTAATATTTTCTTTTATATCTACAAAATGATTAGACTGATACAGCGTACTAGTGGTATCAAGCATTTACAAGGCTAACCAGCAATTATTTAAAAACATGCATTTTGATGGATGAATCAATTTTATTAATGCTACAATTCAGGCATTTATTATTTTATATAAATAAAATAATAAATATTGAAATTCACTGCTTTAACAAATATATAAACGCACCATAAAACAAAAGTTCAATTTAAAATTTGCTATTTTCTTTTATATTATATCATAGATTTTAAACATTTTATCAAAGAATTACATTATTTTTAAAATAACAAAACTTGCAGGAAGGCTGCATTTTGATTAGGGGACATGAAGAGCATAAAATTCTTAATGTCAAAAGCATGTTATAATTATGTTCTAAATTTAATTGATTTTATATTCAATTAATAAAATATTGGCAAAATTTTCTTTGTTCTAACAACTTTTTCACACTCAAAAGAAATGAATTTAAATAGTCTCATAAAACATTCTTAGAGATATGTCAGTCAGTTCAAATTTAAATAAAGTAATTTTAAATTGACTCACAAATGTATTGATTTTATTATTTAAAAAAAATGTATAGTTCATATAATTTACAAACAGCATTTACCAGGCTCTCTCCATATTGAACATCAGTCAATAGTTTTTTTAAGTAAATACCTAAACATTTTGAAACTATTAAAACAAGAAATTACTAAAATTAATCATACACAGAACAAGCCTTTTTTGAAATTTATTCTCATGTATTTCTGTCAAACTATTATAAATTAAATCACAGTGTGCTTTTAATATAATCACCTCTTCACTGATACAAACCAAGTAATTGGAAGATATATTTCAAACATAATTATTGTTGGTGATTGCAAAAATTAACTTTATCTCTCTTGAGACTGTTATGTAATGAAACAATGAGTTTTAAAAGTACTCTGCTAGTCTTGGGTCATTTCTGATCTTTTGCTCCAAAGCCATGTACTTGTGAGGTGCCATTTCTTTGTGTCTTGAAAGAGAATATTAAACAAAACATAGACATGGGGTGAAATCTAGTAGTTTCAGCCAGTTGAAAAAAAAAAGAATATCCATTTCATCAATAATTAATATTTAATAAATGTGATATCTGTTTATTATTTTGGTGAGTGCCAGGCTCTTGAGTTGACATATAAATTGTGTGCATGCATATTATTATATCTTTTAAAATTGGTTACATTTTTATGTGAGTTTAGAATTTTTTTTTTTATAAATATTTTCAACCAAGTAATTAATTCTACCTGTTAAGCCTCAGCTCTAAGATGTGAATTCTAAACATTGCCTCACTGCAATAATTGAGATAATCTTCTTCATCATCCTTTGACATTGACACTTGATTCTGCTGGTACCATGATTGTTTCTTTTGTAATTCTTGAGTTTCCTGGAAGGCAATGGTTTGGATATTTAATTCTTTAAACGCTCTAGTTAAAAAGATTGCACTTTCTCTTAGTCTCAGATAACAAGTTAACGGCAGTTAACAATTTAAACATTTTGGCCCTACTATTTTAAAGACACAATTATATTGACTTTATTGTTTCTCTTATGTAATCAATTTACTAAATTTATTTTGATTTACAACAAACTGACTTCTATAACCAGACCTAGTTTATGTTTACACATCCTCAAGTTGCACCAAGATTTAAAATGCCAACTGACAAATCTGCCCAACTGTGTAACTGGTTAGCTGTAATACAGTGTAATTTAAAAATTTGCAAAGCAGTTATAAAATCACTAAAAATCTTGCCTGATTGGTGAATAGTGTGAATGTTAAGTAACAAATCTTGTAACTTCTAGAAAGAATAAGAAGCCAAAATTATCCAACCTTTTCAAATCGTGCTTGGATAAGGTTTGCTTTGTCAATTAAGCGATGCTTTAGATCTGCCAAGCAATCTTCCTTCAACTTGAAGGCTTGGTTTTTTGTGATTTTCTCAGGGTCTCCTATTTGAGCCAGGAATGGAGCAAGGTAATCTATTTCCATTTCTTGTTTTCTCATCTTCTCTTCAAGCTGTTGTCGTTCCTTTAGAAAAAATGTTATTCCAATTTTAACAAAGGGATAGATTCTTTTTAAATCTTTTATTAATAATAATAATTTTAGCTTTGAAAAAGTTATGTACTTGATATTCATAGTTCAAGTATATATTTAAAAAATCATCAAACAATATTTTAGTCATTTTTTCATGAACAATTAAATGTTATGTTCAAGAATTGAATCAACTGATGATAGACACAAAGACCAAAAAAAATAATCATGATGAGTAAGCCTATTTTGTTGAGCTGATTAATTTTTAAAATGCCATATTTGGAGAGACTGAAAATGATAAATTTCTGTAATTTTTTTTTCCTGGCAACGAAACTAATATAATGTTAGTTTCAACATTATCATTCAAAAAATAGCATTTTTTAGAAACATAAATAAACTGATGGTGCAACTCATTTTTACCCAGATAATTCCTGTGGACCAGACAAAATAAGGCTGCTCCCAAATGAAAAGATTCAAATATAATAATTACAAAGAAGTCTAGGAACAAAGTCCCACCCCTTTTTTCCATAATTTTTTTTAAAAATGAAAGTAATAAAGGGAAGCAATAACAATTAAGATATTTTTTGTTTGAAAGCAGAAATTATAATTATTATTATAGAATGATAATTATATTAGTCAACAAGCAAACAAAATTTACCAATTCTTTTCTATGCTTTTTGGCTTTTTCATTCCTCTCTGTGTCATATACTGAAATCTCCAGCTCTAAAGCTATTTCTTCTTTCTGTCGATTACCTAGGATTTCTTTGACCTAATTTTGATAGTAAATGTGTCAAAAATTTTCCCTTAAAACAAATTTAAACAAGTCTGATTTAAAAGTACTCATTTTAATTATTTAACATAAATAGTTATACACATATTTAAATAACAAACAAACAATCCAAAGTACTTAAATAGAAAACAGGAAGAAAAAAACACATATTGTGAAAGACCTCTTCCTCAGAATCACGAACAGCCTCCCTACAAGAGTCTTCCATCTTTAGCAGGTGCAACAAATTCTGATATAGTTCAACTTGCTTGCTGTTTTCAGCTTTTGGATCCACCTTAGTTACAAAAGTAAACATTTATTTTTAGTTATAATAACCCAAAAAAGTGTTTTAAATTTTTTTTTCAAATTATGAATAATTTAGCACTTTTTGAAAATATGTTGGTTATTGTGAATTCTAATGGATGCCGTTTCATTAATTTTTTTTCATTTTAAAAAATGTTAAGTTGTATTCTAAGTTTAAGATGTTTTAAAGTATTGGATAAAAGGTGATGGCTAAAACATAAAGTGGCATGTATATAGAAGTAATTAAAATTTAATTTTAAATGTTACTGAATTCTTTCATCTTTACTTGACTTCCTGTAATTTGTTTTATTAGTATAAAAATTATATTTCAGAAAGTTGATATTTACTAAACGAACCAGTTTCATAAAACTTAAAACATTTCAGGGTGATAGGAACAATGAAAGTATTGGTAAGCATTAAGCTTTTTTTCTTACTTGAAAAGTTGTGTGCATATCTTGTGCCCATGCCAAAATTGCTCCTTTTTCTTCCCAGTTTTGAGGCTTAATATACTCTCTAAATGAAGAAGCAATGTGTTTATTTTCCGTATGGTAAGTGATTTGGATCTTGTCTTCTGATACAAGAAAAACAAGTTCACTTATATCTGCATTGGCAGGCTTTGCTGGGTTGTGATCAAATCTCTGAATCATTTTCTGTTTTTATGGAAAAAAATAATGCTTTCATCACCAAATTTACAATACATATATGTGAGAAATCTTATATTATTATATACTAGATGAAATCGTTCCATCAAAGATATAACTTTAATTATAATTTGTTTTCGGAGTGCAAATTAGTAGTCTAGACATTATGTGTTTCACTACTTATTATAAATGAACGCATATAATAGTGGAAACAAAGCTTAATGACTCTTCTTTTGCTCTTGCTAACACATCTGCTACCTGTTGAACCTACTTAATGAATGCAATACAGTACTGATGTATCCTCACCCCACTCTGTGCCTTCCAAAGGTACAGCACTAACCTAACTCTAACATAAACTAATGTTAAAACTTAATTCCAAAATACAATACTTACAACAATTGGTCTTGGATTGCTAGAATTATTAGCATCTTCCTGTGGAGAAAACTTTTTTGTTCTTTTCCCAAACTCAACATGTTTGTAAAATAGAAAGTCTTCTCGACCTTTAAAATGTTCTGTCATGGACAATGGTGTTTCTATTCTTTTAACTAGGCCATCTACCCTCGCCTCATCATAAAAAAACATTGTATGATCATTTTCTGGAGCCGGAGCACTTGCTCTGTAACAGTGTTCTATAGATGAAAAGATTTATTGCTAATATTTTATAAACATCAAACGAAATATTTTTTTAGGTTTAAAGGCTTCTACCTATAAAAAGTTACCAAAAAATCACAATAATAATCAAACAAATTATCAAATCAAATGAATTTAATTTGTGTTCAATTTTTTAAGCAATAAGCTTATGATAATAAAATACCTTTCAATTGTTTGAGCCTTCCAGGATTAAAATATTCAGTTATCCAACCAGTTCTGTGGTTGTGAACTTTCATATGCAACTTGTCTACACGATGCTCAAAATATTCCTTTATCATGATAAGCTCAGTTACTGCAATTATGAATAAATGTGCTCATTTTATTATAAAGTATAAAATGTTAACTTTTTTTTCCAAAGTTAGATATTTTTATTGTAAATTTATGTAACAAATATGTTATTTAAATATGGGTAAATTACAATCAGATGGCCAAGTCCAGCCAGCGATCAAAGATTAACCCACGAACTGTCAAAGGCAAATGGGCTGTGGTTTCAATTTGTTTTTGTTAACTTTGATATGTATCACTAAAATTCAAAACTAATAGAAGACAAATCCAGAGACCCATATAAGTATAGATCTTCTGAGAGTAAATTGGACACTGTGGTATTAATGTTGGAATTATGTGAGTTATGTGAAATGAATATGGCCTGATTTTTCTATAGTGAGAACAATAGTGTTACTGTTTACCTTTCTTCAACTCACACCCATATTGACTGTTGGGTCCTTTTAAATTATCTAAATAAGTTTTTCAGGCACATAAAACCTCATTCCTCCAGTTGAGAAAATATAAATTTATTTGGGTTGATAGAAATTTTTTAAAATATATAAATTCATTGATGTCCTATATATTTCTTTATTATAATGCCTACCAAATTCATTTACAGCTGCTACTGGTGCTAACTCCAATATAGTATAATAATTATCACTATCATGACTAATGCCAACAAAACTATCTCAAAATAGCTGTTATAAAGGAATAATTCAAACAAATTAAGCTTTTGTATAATCCAACATCTGAGTTCTTCAAGTCAGTTTTAACCAAAAAACCTCTAAAAATTTCAGCTTGATTCAAAAACTTTAAAAATATAAACAGGAGGCGTGAAAAAAATGTGCAGTTGTTCAACACTTGAAACAGTTACTTAATTATCTATAGATTGGAAGTAAATCTGTTATGTTATGCCACCTTTAAAAAAAAAAAAATTTAATTTGTGATTCACAATCAGCTGTAAAACCACAGGAGCAAGTGTGGATGATCTGCCCTTATTTCAGTTCGTGTCATAATATCCAAATTTTTAAAGGATGAAAAAAGAAACAAACATAAAGAATGGTGAGAATGTTTCACAACACATGAATTTGTGGGTCTGTAAAATATGGTCTATTTTTTAAAAGGTAGAAAGCTCAATTTTGTGTCTGGGGCTGTCAGTTATTGGGAATACACAATCTTGTGACATGAAGAAAACTGCCTATAAAACCATAAAATAAGTTTATACTCATGTTACATTTAGAAAGAAGTTACAAAGACATTTTTGCAACATTTAATTTTTAGAACTAGAGTTCTATTATCTAAATTTAACATGAAATCACACATAGACAGTGGATACATTTTTAATTTTCTAAGCTTCAACTAGAGTTCCAACATAATTTTTTCAGACCTTGATGCAAGTACAAAATGGTAATACATTTTTGTTGCAAAAATATTTACAATCTGCATTAAAAAATACTCTTAAATAGCCACAGTAATTGTATACCAGTACATACATTCTTTGTTATCATAAACAGACAGTCGTGCAACAAGTCCATCAGCCATCAGGTAATGTGCAAACTTTTCCAATTTGGCCTTTTTATACAATTTTGTTTTTTTGCCTTGTGGACAACGCATCTCAAAATCTATAAAAAGAAAAAAAAAGACCAAAAAGGAGATTAATATTAAATTAAAAAATAAATAAAGTGACAAAGTAACTTAAGGAACAATTTTTGATGATTTTTTTTTAAAGTAATAACATTTATGATTTGAAATATTCAATGCTATCACCTCTCTGTGAAAGATGAAGTGGTTCAACCCATGATGGAGGCATATCCAAATGATTTTCAACTTCTTCTTCTTTGTCCTGTAATATAAAAAAGATCATCTTCAATGTGAAGTTTGAAGTTTTTTTAATACCCAAATGAGGAAAAGAGAGATTTTTTTTTATTTAGCCACCATTGGTTTGAAGTTGGATAAATAAACAAGTGAATGTATTCAATAAAAACCTCATCATCATCCAAATTATCCAAAACATCATCCTCTGCTTCAGGTATGAGAAGTTGTGGTTTGTCAGTGCCGGGAAACATGAATTCCCACAATGTACAATCTCCCAGGTCGTAGACTAATTTCTATAAATCATGGAAAAAAGCAGAGACATTTTTTTTTAAAATTATGAATATTACAAATGACTAATGTCAGCAAAATCCAATTCCCCAAGTTATGAAATTATTTTTTAATGCTTAAACTGATAAAAGACAAAATATAGAGGAATAAATTTCAGTTGAAGACTGACTCAAGGCACAAGTAAAGTTAGCAACCCTCTGATAGACTCAGTAGTCTGTAGACCAAAACAATAATTCATTGAATCAATGTCTCTGTCTCCCTTCACATGGGCTGCCTGGAGGCCAAGTGTGTTGGATATGTTCTCTATTTACATAGTTTAAAGGCCTAATTTAAATGTGTTTTATGTCTAAAATAAAATGTAATTATTATGTGATGTTTACAATGATAATTTTTTATTCAATTTAATAATTTTTATGGCCTGCTCTCAGGAGGGAATTTGTTGTCTACAAATCTTGGCTATCTATTGCTATCGTTGTTTGTTAACTTGATATGCAGTGTTTCACTTCCATTGCTAAATTTTAAAATTTATCTATGTTTCTTTGTATAGCATAGTATTTAACAAATTTCTATTTCAATATTTCTCTAAATACCTTGTAAAAATGTTGACCCATTGTTTTAAACAGAGAAATATATATCTATTTGCCCTACCACATTTAATTAGAAGTAAATCTTACTGATACGCCTTCTGAGCAATCTTGCATGCAAACCCAGTAGTTCAAGTTATTCCATAAGGACTCAATACCAAGGTAGGCATCACTGTTGGTAGGGTGAGATAAGCCAGTCAAAGGTTCAATGAAGAAACTTTCTGGAACTTCTCGTTTCCCTGAGAGGACAAGGACCCATGAATGAATGCGAAGGCCGTGTAGAGGATCTGGTGGGGGTTTATCTAACTCCTTGAAAATTGTGACAGAAACAAAATAGGTTTACAGAGTTTTAAAATGTTTTTTAACTTTTTCAAAATGGAAAACTGAAGTTGTATCATGGCGCTGAACAAAGCTTATGTCAATGCTAAAAACAAATAATATATAGTAATTAAGTAACTATTTATCCTTAGTTCCTAATTACATTTATATTTTAAAAGTTACATACAGAAATATAAAGAAAGTTTAGTAATTTATATATCAATGTTAAAACAAAAAACTGACTAAATTTCAAAACAAGAAAAACTGATTCTTATAATTTAACTTGATTTATTTTTAATAAAAACAGCAACAAACAACTAAAGCTTACAGCTAATTTCAGTTCAGCCTCTGCTTTCCTTCTATCATCTTCTGCTTTCTCTTCTTCTTTCCTTCTTGCTTCCATCTTCAATTCAAACTTACTGCGTAAATCTTTCGGGGGTTTAACAGTGTATTTTTTAATATTCTTTTTCTTTTCTACTTGTTTCTCCTGAAAATTTATGAAGCATTTTATCACCTATATTAGAAATAAAAACTATATCTACAATAGCTATGATGTAGATATACTCATTATGGACTTAAAACCAGACTATTTTCAATTTCTTTTACTATTACAGACTTGATCTAATCAGCAACCAGGAAAAACTTAAACATATTATCTTCATTAAGATACCTCTTCTTTCCTTCTCAGCAAAGGGCATATTTCTCTGGATTCATCAGCTAAGCAGGTATCTTTGCTAGCATAACCATTTACTACATAAGCATCATAGCCAGCACCTATGAGCAGTGAGCAGAGTAATGTGCTGTATTCAAAACAGTTTCCTTTTTGTCGCCTTAGAACAGTGGATGGTGACAGCAGTCTAGAAGGCTGTGAAGTTCAAATTTTTTTTTAAAATTACTATTGTGGCATGTTATATTAACCTAGCATTGAAATCCAATAGACTTAGATTTTTAAAAAATCAAAATTTTAGTCTCAAAATTTTTATTTTTGTAAAGTTTACAGAATAATATACTAAGACAGTTAAAAATTTGGTTAACAATAATATTGTGAAACCTGGAAGTAGCAAACCTTGAAATAGCACTGTCCTTTGCATATGTGCCAATTTACCCCTGAAGGGATCGATTTCTTTACAAAAGAAATACTTCAAATCCTTTCAAACGCAAAATGGGCAAGGGTGTCTGTGGGACAAAATCAAGGTTTTCCAAGCTAGCATCAAATTACGTCATGTGCAGGGAGTGAGCCAGACCTATTACTTCACCAAATTGTTCTGTTATCTCACTGTGCTTTTCAAAAATCATGAAGAAACAAGTGTGTTGTTGGAAGATTCCTATGAGGCTGGGGGTTGTTAATGAACAGTGGGTGTAGTGCGTTCATTTCGCCAACGCATAGTACAAGCAAGATGATCTTAATGGCAACAGTGCACCTATAGGCCTCCATATATTTTGTTTGGATATCCATAACAGATTTGTCCAAAACTGTAGGCCACACATACATGATGACCACACGTACATGTAGATCACACGTACATGTATATGTAAATGAACTGTATGAAGAATGTTTAAGCACAATAAAATCTTGCTTCATTTCATTATTGTTTATTGGTTTTTATACACATACAATTCACATAAATATATGCACTTTCTTTTTTTTTTCCTTCTCATTTCTTCTTATTTTCTATGTGCACATGTCTATTGTTTACTTCTTTCAAATTATTATGCTTAATCATCATACTGCCTGAACCTGCAAATAGCACCACTTTTGCTTTGGTCCCAAGGGTTCCCGTTATATCCAAGTTTCACAGTGTTATCAGTATTTGTATTTATCATGTAAAACCTAGAGCCACGTCAAGGCTTAAATCAAGTCCCTCTTAATCTACAGCACTAAACCTACAACATACCAGGTCATAAGGAGGATCAAGGGATTCAAAGTTGAGATAATCTGCTACAAATTCGGCAGCTCCTTCCCAGTTGTACAACTCTTTAAATGGCAGCTGACTCGGGCGGATTGTAGTGCAGACAAATTTCTGAAATGAAGAAACATTATCTCATTCATTTAGTTTACATGTTAAGCTGTCATTAGTAGGAATCGTAAATTGCACAACTTATTTTAATGTATAATATTGAATATCCATTACAATGGGGACTTACTTCAATGCCACATTCATTAAATGGACTCAGTAATAGAGGTTTGCGGTCGCGATAAAGATGGACATATTGTCTGCGAAAATTTGCAGCAAACTGCAAGACCATTTGCTCCTTTGGTAAGTTATCCTTGTAGGAGGGAGGAAACTCTGCTGGATCAAATACTTCCACGGGCTGCACTCTAGTTTGTAATAAAGTAAGAGTAATACAATTAGCTATCAGCTTCTCTTCAGGAGTAGTTTTGAGTTCATCATTTTAACAAATTACACTAAAATTTAACTTGCAAAATAAAATATTTTGAAAATAAAGCCATTTTTTTCTCATTTATCTCAGAAATATATAGAACTAGGACTTACTTTTATCATGTCATAATGATGAACACTGAGACACACACACCAGGTAAAACATTTAAGGACTTTACAAACATTAAATATAAAATTAGATCTTCTAAATTATGTCTCATGTTCGAAATAAGAAAGTTCAACTTTGATTTCAAACAATAAATTTTGATAACAACTATTTTTTTTATTTTTTTTAACTTAACAATAATGTTTAGTGTTTGTATCAATAGGACGTGAAAATTTTAAAGATCTCAGAATTTTTTTTAAATATTTTAAAACCATCATTAAAATGGTTAGTTGCTCCTTTTTTTAATGGGTTACATTTTAAAAGTAAGTATATTCTTATGAAACCACTTTTTCAATGTTTTATTTATAACATTTAATATTAAAAAAATCACTATCACTATTTAAAAAATTAAAAATATTTCTGTCTCACACAGCTTAAACAGTGAAATACAAAAGTATAAAAGTAAATAATTGTGTACAGCCTCCCTTCCCTAATCCGACACTAAAATAATTTACTAATATGTATCACACATAGCTTTTAACTACAACTTTATTACATACACGATTTCTGGCTCGGGTAGTGGTGTGTTTATTTTATCCAACTCATTTTTTAGTGCTTCTGCATCTTCAGAAAACTCTTCAGTTGCAATAATGTTGTTGACATCGGCTTCATGTTCACCCTCTTCCAAACTTTCTATCTTTTCACTTTCCTCATTAACTGAGTCTTCTGGTAGCTTTTCTGCTTCGCCCTCGCCAATGTTCTCGACATTGTTATCGTTCTCGGTTTGTTCTTGTGAGTCCATTTTGAAACTCTGCTTTGACCTGATAACAGCTAGGCTAAACAATTCCGCGACTATAGTAACGAGTAACCATAAAATATAGTTCTTTTTAATCGCGTACATTTTAATCCTAAATAATATTTAATTATTCTTTTTATGTTCATATATTTACACAATTTCATAAATTTATTTTTGTTCATAAATGAGATATTTAATTATTTTTGTTAATTTAATTTTTTTTTTCAATCAATATAGTATATGGCAGCCAATTATTGTACTTCTTTTTTTTTGTTTTTTATAATCGTCAAATTTATTTTTAACAATTAAAATTTAATTATAGAAATTTAACACTTACATTTTCCAACTCCTCTTGTAACAAATCTTTATATATTTAAACAAAATACTTCTGCGTCGTGAAGTGGTTTGTGAACGGAAAAATAATTTAAAATTCTTAGGTCTACTAAACATAGATAATAGATAGTCATGGTTTCACATTCACAGGCCTAGTATCTTAGTCTATTTATTTAGTTAATTATTGGTAGGATTCACTAAGACCAGAACTAATTCAAATTAATTTATCTTCGAACGCCTTTTAACAAAAAATTATGGCTAAATTTACAATGAAAGATTTTAATTTTGTGGAGTATGAGTATGTGCCTTTAAAAAAAATAAATAAAGACATTGATGAAATTTTAATTTATGTCCATGAGGAATTTAAAGAACCCTAAAAACAAAGTTTTTCATATAAATCCTTTATAAAATGTATTAAGGGTTGGGGCTGAAAATTTGACAAGATATGCATACAAGTAACGCACTTAATAAGAATCCCAAAAAGTGCCCCCCCCCCCCCCCGGCTCGCAGCCGCTCATTTGTTTCACGCCTCCTGAACTATGTTAATATTCTAATGACCCGCCCACTTTTACACCACAGATTTATTTCACCAACTATTCCAGAAAAAACAGAAGAAAACACTACCCACTTGAGATATTTAAACAAAAAATTATTATTATTATTTTTTTTAGAATCTCATTTAGAGCAGGTAGATCTATCGGGAATTTTATTTCGTGAAATCGGCATTTCTTTCATCTTCACCTTGAAAAACGGGATTAACTCATTTTGTGGTTTTAGTGTTGGAGGAGGGCTGAAAATTTGAAAGAATGTGTTGTCATCGGCAACAAGTCTATGTACCTAATTTCAGCTAGATATGATGACGGAAAGAGGGTCAATTAACCGTCCGATGATTTTTGCCAGCCAGAAACACACGAACCAAAGTGAAGTTAATATAAAGGATTTAAAATGAAATTTCTTTCTTTATTTATTATAAATCAGTAAATTTAGTAAAGGAGGATAAATAAGTTTGTACGTTTTTAGATGACTTATCAATATCTTATCTCGCTTACGTTCCCCATCCTTATTTTTCCAAACAAGAAAATATTTGATATTTAAAAATTGTCACTTAAAATATAAAATAGTCGACCTCTTAATTAAAAGGTGTATAACTGTTTTAAACTTTTTTCCCCAAGTAGATGATGACGATGTTAACTGCCCCCTCCACACACCTTCCTTTGCCACTGGGCCTGGATATTTAATGGATCACAAGTTGTGATGTGGCCCCCCAAAAAAAATTAAATTATCAATTTTGAATGCAGGGGGGTCACAAAAACCAAAGGTGGCTCGAAAAGTAACGCGACAGCACGGGGCAAAGGGACTTAAACCCTAATCTATTACTATATTTATACATTTATCCCCCCCCCCCCCCCCCCCCCCCCCCCGATCCCACTGACGCATTCAATATCAATAAGTAGAAGGCTAGATGACCCCAAAAATAAGACAATATCAATACGTGAATGTATCAAGTATTTAAGAAAATATATACACGCTCATTTTTGAAGTAGATAATAGTTATTTGTACATTCTAAAAATTAAATGATGTTGTTGTATTAGTATTTATCTTGAAATGCTTATTTCGCCTGGCGGTCACGTTGGTAATTATGGCAAAATTGCTTGAAAAATTCCATCATAGCTTGAGACGTTAACAGCAAATTAAATAACAATTTAACAATATTTTGGACCAAGTTCTCAAGTTGGATTTTTGAATGACATCCAGAAGTTGCATGGGTTCTTGCATAGGTATTTTTAAAAGAGCTTTTTTTTTAAAAGTTTGATTCGGTTTTTTGACTTTTTTTTTTTTGAGACTTGGTTAACCATGCACACAGTGCCCCCCCCCCCCCAAATTGATTTCGTTAACTAGTTGATCCTAGACTTTAAAAGGGAGAGGTCGGTGTAATAATTGGTCATCTAATTGTTACTTTTTTCCTTTTGGCATCTCTTTTTGAAAGTTATAATGACGTAAAATAAACTCCAGAATAAATTATGTAATACCATTGTTAGCTCTAGTTTATATGGGTCAGATTTGTTCCCTTGGCTAGCAAGCCTTCACTCCCTTGAGAAATCAAGTGTAACTTAAAATATAATTAGCCTTTTATTTCATTTGCTATTTATATGACGTGACAACCGTTCCCCCCCCCCCCTTTTTTCAGATTTAAAAAAACCAAACAAGCTTCTTACAACTACACAAAAAGACAATTGAAAAAAAAAAAAAAAAACAAAGTTTTAAAGTTTCAACTTTCTGTATTAACATTAAGATGGTAACTATTTTCTACACACTCATCATCTTTGTTTAACACTAACACTCTTATTTCAACAGCAAATTTGCTGCCATCTGCCATGTTCAGATTCAAATTCCACACTGTGTATTTAAACCATTTGCAAAGAGAGAATCCATGTAGTATTGATCAGATTAAAAGCTGATCAAGCCATGAGACAAAACTGTGTACCAACAACATTGCACCTGTCCTGTTCTGTGTACAAAATTGTAGCTCTGTCATGTTCTGTGTGCAATGTTGTAGCTGTTGTATTCTGCGTACCAAATTGTAACTCTGTCATGTACTATGTACCAAATAGTAGCTCTCTCGTGGTCTGAGTGTCATATTGTAGCTATCGTGGTCTGTGTGCCATATTGTAGCTGTCGTGGTCTGTGTGCCATATTGTAGCTGTCGTGGTCTGTGTGCCATATTGTAACTGTCGTGATCTGTGTCCCATAGATATTAGTATTAGCATTTGAACTGATTCCCTAATCAAACCCTACATATCCCCCTATTAAACTAGAAAGCAGTAAAATAAAAATTCAATCATCAACATGTTATGTCTTGAATAATGTCAGCAGTAAAATTAAGTCTAGCCGACTGCTCTTGACCAATGTCTATCCACTCTGTAACATAATCACTTCCAATTTTGAGTTATTGTATAGCAAAACAAAAAACTTTTAAACAAATTCATTTCATTGTTTCCTATCTGTATAAAGCAATAAAAAAAATAATGTTATTGTTTTCAAATAAGGATAAAATGCATGTCTGTGACAAGTTTGACATCATTCCAATGACATCCAATAAGTATGCGCAATTATCAATGTCCTTGTTTAAATTATGTCTGCCAACTCAAGTCTAATGATCCACATGAGTTTAACTAATTATATTAACAAGTTGGCTTCTTATTCCAGGGTGCACATCACGAATTCAAAGTTAATCTTAGTATCCAAGCTTGTCATTTAAACTTGTCCGGCCATCCCCTGATTGCTCTGGAGAAAAACAATTTTTAGTGTTGGTTTTTTTATAATAAAAGATTGAATGATTTCTTCATTAGCTCAGGAATAATAATCAAACTATAAGTCAACCTATTTTCATGCAACCTGGCAAGCCAAGTTCATAAAGAAATCAATGTTCTAAGATTCCTTAATGCAGAGTATTTTATTGACTATTAATACTTCAACATGTGACATAGAGAATTCTTTGACAAACTTGTATTTGTATACAAATGTTGAAATGAAATAACCCACTCCAGCTTAACCAAAATTATTTCAGTGGTAACTAACCTGTTGGTGGAAGCCACATTGCATAATTAGGGTCAGCACCATCAAAATTTTGATCTGATGCAACTTTGTCTTTTTTTGCTTGCTTGTCTAAGGAACCTGAAGATTGAATAATAAAGTAGTAAAAACTTATCTGCTTTATGTGTCTCCTAAAAATCAGTTTAAACAAATTATGTGACCTAATGTCCATATATAACTTGGTGTCATTTTGCATCATGAAGAAAGACTACATTTTTGAAAATGTATGCATCAGCACAGAAATTAAATATTTAGCACATAGACAAAAGAACAACCAACAAAATAGTTGTGAGAAAAATCAAATTTTCTTTGTGCCTGGAGGGATGTCCTTTGTAGGAAGCTCAGTATATGAATGAGACAATATAGGAAAGTGGGATATTGGTAGCACAGCCCTAGGAAGGAAAAGAAACCAGAAGAATCAGGTGGAGAGATGGTGGTGTGTATCCTTTTGAAAAGAGATGAGACCTGCTGTATAGAATCTTTGGTAAATCTTTTAGCTGCATTATTTTAGAGATATTGTTAATGCACATTTACTTGAACTATTTGTGATTACTCACTCAGAACAGATGATGTAGAGCGATAATTAGAAGGCTTAATGGTGCTCTGAGACTGCTCATTTTGTGGTGAATTCAGTGCAGGAATCACTGGTCCTTTAACAGGAATTTTAGATGGACCTGATACAGATTCATCTTTCTGTGCTTGTTCCTTTCTTTTCTTTCCACAATCAGAACTGTCCATTTCTTTTCTTTTATTTACACTATCAGAACTGTCCATTTCTTTTCTTTTGTCAAGTGTTGCTGCTAAGCTTTTTTTAGTAATATCTGTCTCCATGTGACTGAGATTGTTAACTGTCTTCCCTTGTTCTTCATCCTCATGTTCCTCAAGTTCCTCATAGTCATCAGGCTTGAGTTCTATCTGAGCTGGCTGAAAACAGACAAGAAAACAAGTACAATTCTAAGGAATTTTTGTTTAAAATATTGCATACTGTACAGCGTGATTAAACGAAAGCTGATTATCTGAAATGTCGGTTATCTAAACAGCCGCTGTCCTTTATTTTTATGCTGCATAATGCTGACAAAATACAGGTACATAATGTGCATCCATTGACCTGACCTGTGCATCCAGTGACCTGACTGGGGCCTGCAAACTTGTTCATTTAGAGAATAATTATCTCAAGAATGCCCGCCCACAAAGAGTCAAACCTGATTTTATTCTAAACACCAGTAATCTGTTTTTGGAAAAAAATTCTTTCCACAGAAAATGCAAGTTCTCAATAGTTTTTGACATCAATCAACTGACACGTAGACATGCAGTATTGTTAACACAATGTACATTAAAGCAGAGGGGCCCAGCATATTTATCTGGGGCCTCAAAATTTTGATAAAGGGAATTTATGTATATATTTTGCAGCAATAGAAAGAGAAAAAAAAAACATAGTTATTTATTTTGTTTAAAACTGTTCAACTTTTATTGCAAAAAAAAAAAAAAAAAGATATATTGTAAACACAATGAAAATTAAAGCAGAGGGGCCCAGCATATTTATCTGGGGCCTCAAAATTTTGAAAAAGGGAAATTATGTATATATTTTGCAGCAAAAAAAAGAGAAAAAAAAAACATAGTTATTTATTTTGTTTAAAACTGTTCAACTTTTATTGCAAAAAAAAAAAAAAAAAGATATTAATGTATACCCTGGACCAATCTTGACAGTTACACAAAATTTATTGACACTAATTGAATTTTCAAAATCAAAATGAAACTTTGCACATTCATTAAGAATACAATTGTTAAAACAATCACACAAGCTCACTGCTTCCCAATTATTTGAAGATCTGAAAATTGTAGACAATAAATTTCTAAAAAAATCTCTTGAGTAACTTTTTAACCCTCTAACTGTGCAGAGCTTTTCAGAGCTTTTTGAGTGACTTTTGAAATTGCATAAAATGACATAGAAATATTGATGCAAGACCCCAATTATTATATATTTTTAGAAAGGTAAATAGATGGGAATAAAGTTGGCTATATTGACCACCCCGTAAAAAAAATTTTGCTCAGTGTCCTTGACCTTGGAGTGCTCAAGAAAATAAAAATCGACAAAATGTCTTGCTTTCAAGTGCTCATAACATCATTAATTTTTATAAATACACTTAAAACACAATATAAATGTTGTAGCCGATTCATTTATCTTTCAGAAAATGTATAGTTTGCAAAGGTTTTGATTACAATTAAACCTCTGAAAGCAATTTTAGTAATTTTATGATGTCAGTTATATAAGAAACTGGAACCACTGCTAAAATCAAGTACAAAATACAAAATCTCAGGCAAAATAGTTATTATTGACTAGTAAACATTTAAAAAGGAACTGTGGAACTGATTTGGGTTGTTAAACTATGAAATTTATTATTTCTGATCTATAATATGTAGCTTCTGTAACTAAAATTCAGTCAGTCCTTGCCCAACCTCCGGGCCTGGCTCCAAGTCAAACAGTAGCCTCAGTAGGCCTACTTTAGTATCACTAAGACTAGTATCAGATTCACGAAAAGAAGAATCTGAAGTGAGATGTCTTTGGGAATGTTAAAATCATCATCTGTATCACTTAAATCCTCTCGTAAAAAACTTTCAAAAATATTTATTTTAGTTTTTGCACTGAGGGCCCAGCCATGGCTTCAACCATTTTAGCTTTAAAAAAAAACTCTGATTAAAAAGTATTTATTGTTAAATTATCAACCAACAGCTTGACGCGGAAGATGATTTAATTATTAATAAAAGGCAATGGCTATAATTCCAGTTAAATATTGGATTGGAAGTTGCTATCGGACCGTGTTTTTTATCGGCCAATTTTTTTCGGCCGCCACAGCACAGAACGAGAATATCTGCCGATTTCGTCGACCGACCACAGTTCGAGGGTTTAAAAAAAACATCAGTATGTAGAGAATATCATTGAAAAGAAACATGCAACGTTATAAGCATGAAGATATACAAATTTTCCATCTGATACAGCTGGCAACAACAGAATATTTGAAAATAGTTAGTTGAGATTAATTTTTTAAAATATGAAAAATATCATATCAACAAGTCAGACATTTTCTAATATAGCTGATAAATGAAATATGCACATTGTTATGTAGACGTCTTGTTTACGCTGTGATCCTCGAGTGTGAACTTTGGCTGACCCCAAATTAGGCAATGCGACGGGGTTGGCTTAATTACAAATTGTCTCCCTTGACCTTGACTACACGTGAACACAATCTATAGTCTTTAGAATTAAAATTCTTTATAACTTACGAGACAGGTCGAGGTACAGAAACAATGTCGAACCCCTTTCTGGAAAAGTCTCTAAGAAAGACTATAAATAAGCCGACCGACATAGAGCTAGTTAGAGGGACTGGAAGACAGAGAGACAATTTTGCGATTACGATACTGTACTGATCATAGATATTATATGTTATATTTACTGTGTATGTGTGTGCATCTTCCAACATTGAACCTGTACAAGTTCATTGATGTACTGTAAGTCAATAGTCTTAGTTTTATTTTATTTGATTTTGTAATTTTTAAATTACCTTAATAAATTATTATTTGTAATTGGCCCTAGTTTGGGTATCATTCTTTATTACTGTATATAATTAATGGTTTCGTCCTTTGATATGAACCGTTTGACACGAGCCAAAGAGTAAAATGAGAGATTAAATTCTCCACATTATAGCACTATTTAACATACATAAACAATTCATAAATTGAAAACAACCAAAAATAAATAGATATAAATTATATAAAATTATAAAAGCAAACATTTCAAACCCATCCTCCAAAATAATTCAATAAATAAATCATTTGACCACCCCAGCTAACAATAAAAGCCTAGCTGACCTAACTACTGTGGTTGACCACCCCAGCTAACAATAAAAGCCTAGCTGACCTAACTACTGTGGTTGACCACCCCAGCTAACAATAAAAGCCTAGCTGACCTAATTACTGTCGTTGACCACCCCAGATAACAATAAAAGCCTAGCTGACCTAACTACTGTGGTTGACCACCCCAGCTAACAATAAAAGCCTAGCTCAATGCACTACTGTGGTTGACCACCCCAGCTAACAATAAAAGCCTAGCTGAATGCACTACTGTGGTTGACCACCCCAGCTAACAATAAAAGCCTGGCTGACCTAACTACTGTGGTTGACCACCCCAGCTAACAATAAACGCCTAGCTGAATACCCTTATGTGCACCCCTTGCTACTATCTCATTCCCTCCTTTCTGTTCCTCTAATAAGTTCCTTCCTCCTCTTTACAGTTAATTTTAAAGCTGATTCAGCTTTCCTAACTCTAACCTTATCCCTTTTTTCCCTTAACTGTTGGGTCATATAACCCAGTGGTCCCCAAACACCGGGCCGCGGACCGGTACCGGTCCGTAGATCAAATGGTACCGGGCCGCCCAAGAAATATTAAATTATTTCCATTTTATAAGCATGCCAGATTTTCTGGATAAGTACGGACGTACGGACACAGAGGCTCACAGCAATCGGAACCATACAGGCGGCTGGAGTGGGGGTGGTGTTGTTGTCCTTGATTTTTTTTTGGGGGGGGAGGACACTACCCCCCAAACTCATACGTACAAGTAGCTTTTAGCCCCCATCCGTAGAAAAACACCAAAGACATCAAACGATTTAATGGGTAATAGTGACGTCACTGGATAAATATTTTTTTTAAAAATGAGTCGCGTGTTTTTACAGCCAACAATTTGGCCAGCCCAGTGGTCCCCATATTATGCGTCGCTCTGGGGGCCATGTTGCCCTCTGGAAGAGCCATGAGAATAGGGCAAAGAAGGCAGTCACAGCGGGCACCAAATTCTTCTTTATATGGTATCTTAATAGTGAATTAAAATATCAATGGCGGCATACCCTGAGATTGCCAACACAGCACTTAAATACCTATTGCCATTTCCGACATCCTATCTGTGTGAAGTGGGGTTTTCTGGAGTGACAGCAACCAAAACAAAACAACGGAATAAACTGGGAATAAGCAACACACTTCAGGTGTCATTGTCTCCTATTACCCCAAGATGGAACCATCTCGTTGCAGAAAAACAAGCTCATGGTTCTCATTAATTTAGCATTATAGTGAGTTAAAATGATAAATCAGTTTATATTCATTTTTGGTGTAACTGTATTTTAGTTTGAAGGCATGTTTAACTACAATTAAATAAAAATTATAAATCAAAACAATCCAAAAAATAAACAATCAACACCCCCAACCCCTCAGCGGGCCGCGGTAAAATAATCAAACGTTGACCGGTCCGCGGCTATAAAAAGTTTGGGTACCACTGATATAACCTATTCCTAAATCAACAGAGGATAAAAAGTCCTTGGACGTCTTTGAGCGGATATTGAATTCTTTAACACCCACCGGTACAGAAATTTGACTGTTTGGCACTGCAGTACGATAACGCAAACCATGTTTCGGAACTGACCTGCCCCACATTGCAATGACAGCCTGTTGCTCCATGCTGCCTCTAGACCATGTGTGGTTTACATCTCATGATGGTTTTTGGTCCTCCATCCTGGCAGTTTTTTCCCTCACTCTCTTCCTGCATCTCCTTTGCCAAAACTTTGAGACGCATTCCAAGTCAACAACAAGGCCAGCTCTGTTTTCTATAACATAACCAATGCCAGATTTTCAGCTGTGACCACGAGTATGCAAACTCCCATCAAATGACACACCAATGTCCACAAACTCTGCCTGATCTTATTCTGGATAAGCTGCTCACTTTATCCACTTTGAATGATGAAATGTCCTTCTAGGCATTCTGTCATGGACATTTTTGAAACAGTGACTTTAGGGCAACCTGTCTGCATTATAGATGAGACAGAGATTCCTAAGGTGTGCTAATACCCAGACCCGAAAGAATGAAGCTTGGTCTTCCAGGCGGATGATGCCATCGATTCTTCAGATCTTAAGGCTGGCGGTGAAGTGTGACCCATTTTCTTCTTTTCCAATTGCGCTAGTCTGGCTTTCTCTAACTGCTTCTATCTCTTAGTCTTGGGGCCATGATTTTCTGTATTTTGAACCCCAAAAAAAGTTTTTATTAGATTTTGAAAAATTAAATTACAATATATTAGGCAAAGGTAAATAGTACAGTCAGTATTGTTATGTTTTGTGATATAAAAAAAATATAATTATTTATCATTATTATTATATACCATATATATTGGCGTATAACAAGCACTTTTTCACCCTGAAAATAGGGGGCAAATGATGTGTGTGTTATATACCGATATAATGTTTAGTTTTTTTCCTGAAATTTCCTTCTTAAATTGAGGTGCGTGTTATAAATACGGTAATTAGGATTAAAGTAGCTTTTAATTTAAATCATAAGCCTAAATACATGTGTGCTTGTATAACTGTCATAAGCCTAAATAAATGTGTGCATGTATAACTGTTTCGTAAAATAAAAGTAGATGGCCTTTTGTATTATCACACTAAACCCATCGCAACATTCACTTAATGTCTAAAACTAGCAAAAATAATTATTATTATTTGCATCATACAATATTTAATTCAACTTACCTAATAAAAGCAACAAAATAAGTTCAAATTAATCAAATTTGAATTTATTTGAAGACTAGAAAAGTAAAGCTGATTGATCGATAACACGTTATGCTAACTCGGCGCAAAGATTCAGAATGATGTTGGGAGATGGGTGTTGCATTGTGTGATAGATTTGTTCCATCTAGGTCAAATCTAAAAGTAACCAACCAATGATAATTGCAGATAAACGAAAATTTAAATCTGAACCAATAATAAGCGTTTCAACGAAAACGTATAGGTTAGCAAAACAAAGAATTACTTCCAGGCTTATTCCTGGAATTTAAGCGGGGGATACAATTAAAAAATAGATAGGCTAAGCTTTCGAACTTTACCAAATTTGTCTATTTAGCGTTGTAATTCTATTATAAAAGCATAGGGCTCCTAAGAGTCTATTTTGCATGAATTTTTCCCCCAAATCAAAATTTTCTCTTGCCATACTACTTTAAAATACATTTTTAACAACTTTAAATTAACTTTTAATGTAAATGGTAAATGCCAAATTATTCAATATATTTATCTAGTAGAATTCACAATAATCTCATTTTTGATAAAAATTATGGTTATTGATACTTTCCCCCGTGGACCACCTTAATAAAATGTTAAAGTAGGCCCTAAGCGAAAATTTTTTAAGAAACGCTGCAAAAAAGCACTGCATGTGTATAACCATAAGGTAAGAATATTTTGTTAGGTCATCTGAAAAATGTGTTATCATAAACCAAAAAACAGTCCCAGTCAGAAAATGGACACTCTACTGTACTTCACAATTGCAAAATAAAGATTATTTGAAATAGCATAAATCCCAAGTGTTTTTTTACTTACTTTTCTGATAGGATTTGCTTTTTTTAACTGTTTCTGTTGTGCATGCAGTTTTCTGGATAAGACATCTGCAGTAGGAGTATGGACAGGAGCAACACTGTGGTTTAGATAAATCTTATTATAACAGCTTGTCACGATAAACAATATCAAATTAAGATCATGAAGTTTATATCAACAATAAATTTTAATTAGCAGGAAATCTTTTAAGCTAATAACCTTTGTTCTCACTGAATCAACTCACAAACACACACCATCACTTACTGAGGTTTTAATGGTGGCAAAGTGGCAGGTTTTGCAATATTGACCAGTTTTCGCAGCTTTTGTTCCTCCATTTTGAGTTTCAATAAATCCCCTTTTAGTTGCATTCGAGTTTTTGTGTCCATGGCTCCTGCTTTAATAGACACCATGTAAGCATCCAGCTCATCCATTTCTTCTGAGGCTAGAGCTTCTGCATCTGATGACACAAAATAATGAAAGCAACTTTTAGTATATACTCATTCTAAGGCAGACTTTAAACAAGTATTCCAGGGGAACAAGTGGGTGTGGTTGGCTTATGAGCTGGCCATATAAGATTTGCATTATTATGAAATTGTTATTGTAGATTGCCATGGTCAAAATATGTTAACAGAAGCTATAAATTTGAATAAAGCAAAGACCCAAAGTAGATGGCACCACTAGTCGCCCAACCCAATAAGTAGATAATAAAAGTGGATTACCACATACAGACATCTGTCCTATTAATCTCATCATATGTGTGTGCCTGTGTCTCCATGTATGTTTGCCTGTGTCTTTGTGTGTGTCTGTCTCTGTGTGTCTCTCTGTTTGTTGTCTGTTGCTTACGAACAAACTCGCTTTAGAATAAGTATCCACAGTAACTTTACTGTTATTTCTATTTTTAATTTCTTACAATTTTAAAGCAAAAAGTTTGAAATAATTGTGTTGGTTCTTACTTCTCCTCCAAATAAATGGCTTTGTTGGAACAAAACAATGGGAGCATTATATAAAGGGGGAATAACTATTAGATTTTTATAGGATGTTTTTAATGCTTTACACCATTGCTTATAAGGCCTTGATATAGATTTTAAGTAAGTAATTCTTGCTTTGAACAGAGTTTTATTTTTTACTTAGATAACATATGACCCTCTAAGTTTACCCATGTTTAAATATGAAACTGTAAGTTTAACTCCAATTGAAATATTAACTGTTAATCCCATTTCATATTGCTGTTAACTTTTTTACTTTTTAAAACTCAAATACCCAGTATGTTCAATTATTTGTTCAATTGAAAAACATGTTGAACATCAAAGCTCTTACACATTTATCTACAGGTAACACAATTATAATTAAGAGACAAAAAATATTCATTACCTGCTTTTGCTTTCTGCAGCTTGCTCTCAATATTCTGAATTTGCTCAATTATCTTATTATATTTTTCCAACTGAAATAAGATTCAATAAATAGTGCTTAGTTTAAAAGAAACTGCCATTTAGATTTTACAATTGTGCGTGTGGAAGAGAAAATGAACAAATAGACTCTTTTGAGAGCTTTATAGTAAAATGTTTATCCAAAAGGTCCTTAAAAAGGTATAAATAAGAATAAAGACAAATTCATTTGGAGGTTTACACTAAAGCTCAGATACATTTTATGACCTTCTGCTTTAAGGAAGATACATTTTTAAAAATTAATAAACAAGATTTATCAAAGCATCTTATTCGCACCATAAAGCACCTGATTCACACCATGTTTGGTGTTTAAGATAGTATGGTTACCATCCTCAAGGTATTGAGCCTTGGACATTCGGCTGCTTTAGATGAATTTTGGATTTGATATCAAGCCATCAAAATGTGTGTCATACTAAATCTGCCAGCTCATTATTATATTTTTTTAGTCTGCAAGAGTAAAAATAACTTACTAATGAATCATATGTCTCAGGTTCATCTTTCCCGGCTTTTTTCATTCGCATAACTCGCTTCTTTTCTATGGTTCCTGTTCTGTCTAGAAATGTATCTTCATCACTGTCATAATAATCATCATCTTCCCATTTCTTTTGTTTTCGTTTTCTACTTTCTGAAACGTGAGATTTAAAATATTTTGTCATTTTAAAAAGCAAAGAGCATGAAATTGGTACTCAAGAATTATTCAAATATAGCACAACTAAACATGCTCATGGTCATTATTAGATACTAAAATTAAACATGCTAATTTAATTTTTTTTTAAACCTGGGCACATTTCTTGCAAACCCTTATTAGGAAAAAGAAATCTTCAAAGTTTATTAAAAAAGAGTTACAGCCAGTGCTCGACTTACGACCACGATCGGTTCCAATAGACTGGTCGTAACACGATTTGGTCGTAAGGTGAGTACGCTATGTGTTCAGTAAATGTAAAGTGATGTTATAAAAATATTTAAGTTAAATTATATCATAAATTTCTTTTATTATTGTTATCAATCATAATTTTCGATGGGAGATGGGAGTTATAATTTTCAAACTCTGAAGAGCTTTCCAATCAACAAACTTAAGCCGCGCTTGGGGAAGTCAATGGACTTAGGATTATTGAGTGTGACCATGTTATTTCTTAGAAATTGATGACGCTAGCTAGCAGCATAGCATCATCATAAGCATCATGCCTCCTTTTCCTTAGTTAACGACCGCCGATGATTGCAGACACCGTTCAAATGATAATTGAGGCGGAAATAAATCTGAAATCTAATATGGCTAGTGATTGTGGTCATAAAGTCAAATGGTCGTAAGTTGCATAGGTCATAAGTCGAGCACTGGCTGTATATGTTAATCAACAAGTACAACTTACCATGTGTTGAGGAACGCAATAAACCCAATCTATCCAATATTCTACACGCTTCTAAAGCACAAGCAATGACTGCATCTTTCCTTTTGCCAGACACTAAGGCTTCAGCTACAAGTTCCTCTCCATTAGGACCATCAACTGGAAGTCTAAGAAAAGTTGTTCAAATATTCAAGTTACAAGATCAAAGTTGCATTTGATAAAGTCATGACAATTATTTTTAAGCAACCTTATCGGAAACTTCATTACTTTGGCTGTTGGTTCTGTTATGGTTAAATATAATTTTAAAACATTTCAAGACTTATTAACTTTCTTAAGGATAAACAAAGACGTTTTTTGCACTTTCCTTTCCAAAATGAATTCAATGCAAGAATTATAAAAAGTAAATATAAAATGACAATTGTAACAGGGAACAAATTATATTTCTACTTACTCTAGTCTGCATTTATGCTTTCCCAGTGCAATATCTGTAAACTGATAATCTGGTAAATCACAGCCTAAAATAAAAAACATTTTTTTAAAAAAACCAGTTACTTTATGATTAAAAAAAGGTAAAGAATGAAACACTGTCCAGATCATGATTTATGTAAAACCTTAGTTGCAAATCTTCTCCTGGCTAAAGGAGAATATTATGTGCTATTCATGCTTGGCTCATGATAGGGCAAACATTGAGCTCACAGTGTTGTAGCCAGTGTATACCAGTTTTCGACCCACCTTTCAGCTCAACCATATCTCCTCATGCAAAGGGATATTATCTCAATAAAAGCCATAGTTAGACAATAAAGTTATCACATGATGCATCTTAAGTCCCCCCATGGCTCACAAATATCTTCAACTATTCTAGTTCTAGATCAGTCAGACCACTGTAGAGGCTTATGCATACCTTAAACTCATGGTCAGAGATATTAGATGCCCCTTTAGCAGGGCTTTGTGGTGATTAGTGTATTCATCTCAATGACCACAGCTATAGTGTTGTATAATTTAAGTAAGTACAAAATTTGAGTCCTCTAAACTCAAAACTAAGATATTACCAGGTATATATACATGTGAATTGTGTTACTTCTTATGGAAGATTTTCTTACGCAAGTATTTTTCACAAACCTTATCATGTATTCATTACTGTGTATATTGTTCACACTATGCAACTTGCAACTTGTGCTTGCTCATTCAATGGAAGCAATCTAATGCCAATTATTTCATATTCTCTAGTGTATATATATGTAGATTGGTTGTTCAGAGTTTTCCTTTAGTACGTTAGTATTAGACCATGTTATCTTTTTTTTAAGTATGTTCTCAAATATTAGATTGAAAGACATGATGGTCTTTTCTAGCGTAAGAAAGGTTATCCTCCTGCATTAACCCCTTCACAAAAAAATCCATAATTACCCATATAAATATGGAGGCATAATAATATATAGTAAACCTGGCTAATAAATATTGAATCAACAACTGCATTTTCACTTAGATCAACAAGACTTTAAGACAATTTTTGTCCCTAGAAAAATATGATTAAAAACAGATTATCACATTACTAAATTAAGATTATGAAATACCTTCTCTTTCATAGAAACCTTTTAAAGCCTTCTTGGGATCATCTATATACAAGCTCTCATTCTCAGCAATTAAGGAGCCAAAAGCAGTTTCCCCTTCTTCTTGTTCCTCCGCATCATCCCCTGAATATGTTCAAATGGTAAATTATTTAAAATGATTTTTCAAAATTTAAGCACTATGAGAATATTTATTCCCACAGGAGAAAGTTGACTCCTGGTTAAATGTAGCATTCCGTAATGCTATTTTTGTTATAAAAAGGCTCTGCTTCTCTTGGCTAGGCAGTGGCTTAGCCAGGGTGGTATTTTATAGAGACCAACTGTCGCCAAATGCAGCAGTTTACACTATCCACGCGGCCAGTGGATCCAAGGGAATGACAACTGTCAATACAACGTGGCATCAACTGCGTCTCAGGATTTGCCAAAATGTCATTGATATCAGCGCTAGATCAGCTCCTGGACAGTTTGGGTTTACTCCCATAGTCTTACCCTAGCTTCCCGCATTGATTTTATACATTTCTATTGAACTCATAAAATAGATGCAGACCTCTCAGAAACATAGTTTCAAGCTCCAAAAGGTAGTTTGGGCAATGGGGGATTGCTATTATTGACAATACAAATGTGTGAAAAATAACATTAACATATACAAAATTTGCACAAATAAATATACAGGATATAGTCCTCATTTTTGTGTTTTAAGCATTGAGAAAATGTCTCAGGCCAGCTCAAATGGCACTGACTGCACAGACTTGCTTGATTGATAGGTAGATCTGAGATTAAATTTATGACTAACGCAAAATGACATGATTTGTTGGTAATCTGAAAACAAGTATGGATATGTAAAATCAATATTCAAATACTACACACAAGAAAAAAATAAATAATAAAGGTTTAAACATGTATATATTTCTTAAGCCTAGCAATTGCAATTTTTCATCAATTTACTTAAAATAATTTTTCTTCTTTTTTATGCCTTCACTTTCAAAGTGCTTAGAAAAGTTTAGCAATGTGTCCAGGGCATTGGAGCTGGCTCCGGACAGGAGCCGGAGCTGCTTGGAGCTAGTTTTTTCACTATGTTATTATGTGCTCTTTAAATTAATTTCTCTTTTGATAATTTAAATGCGTGATGATCTTTCTAGTTTATAGTGACTTGTTTGCCAGTTTCGCAAGCAAGCGTAGAGAGGCTATTTTCTGCACTTAAGTTTATAGCGAGCGATTAGCATTCTTCGCTTAAACTAGATTTTTTGGAAAATATTTTATTTCTGAGGATGAATCAAGATTTTGCTGATTAATAAAGTTTTACCAGCATTATTATACTTCATTTATTTGCCTTTAAATATAATAAAAAATGTTTTACTATTTTATATGTGCATTTGTTTTTATTTGTTTTATTATTCGGAGCCACTTTGGAGTTGGAGGTGGAGCCAGAAATTTTAATGGAGCCGGAGCTTGGAGTCGGAGCCAATTTTTAAACTTCTGCTCCAATGTACCTGAATGTGTCTAGTCTCTGTGGGATTTAGAACATGCAATTAGCTTCCACGAGTAGAAAATATATTTTCTTATATGGAGTCTAACGCATCTTAGCGGTCTTGAACAGTGGAGGAATATTACTGGGATATTTAAATGAAAGGATAGATATTCTGCCCTCAAATTGGTTTACTTCTTCAGCCTTTTTTTTTAACGGTAGTAGCATAATGAATCATTTGACGTGTAAAATTTTCTGGGCAGTTATTTTGAAGTTACAATTAATTATAAATGCTATTCTTAATTTCAAGAGCCTCTAAACCATTAGCTTAAAAAACAATTTATATAATATTTGATGCCACATACCCATTCCCCAGCCACAGCCTTTGTCTTCTAACATTTTTTTTTCTTCTTCTAGCCTCTGCATTTCTTCCTGCATTTCAAGTTGTTGAAGAATTTCTGCTTCTTTTTGGAATTTCATTTTTTGTGCCTTTATTTCTGTAATAGTCATTTCACTTTCTTCTTCTTCATCTTCCGAAGGTCCCTGTGGAGAATGTATTCATTATTTCTTAAAAAACAAATATAATTGTCTACGCATAAAAAGAGGGCCAAAAGGCCAATGCTATACATTTTGAAAATATACCCTATTCTAAGCTTTTATTTTTTTAATTTAACACAAGACTCACAAGTGCCTTGTAAGGTGTTACCACACTGTTAAATGAACAAACCTGGAGAATATGCAATCTTGAACTGCCACCAAACTTAACAACATAGCCAACTTTGAGTCGGTGATACTCTTTTGGGGAAATTTTATTTTTATTAACCCACGTTCCATGTGTGCTGTCTAGATCATAAATGTACCATCCTTTATCACAGTTTGATGTTGCGACTGTTCTGTATTGAACTACAGCATGGTACCTTGAAAGAGATGGGTGCTCCAAAGTAACATCACAACTTGGCAGCCTGCCAAATATGTAAAAAGGTTTATCATTTAATGAAATAGTGTCTATTATGCTACCATTTTTTAAGACGTCAAAACTGTATTTGCTCTCTGATAATCCACTCCATTCAGGTTCCTGGTAATTTGAAGGATTTTGTGAGCTATGATTTTCTGTAAATTTAATTTGGCATTTTTCTGGAACTTCACCGAGTCTCTCAGACTTTGATTTTAATAAAATATTATTGTCTTTCTTAACTTTAGGACTTGATAAAGAAAACGAAAGTGGAATCGGAACTGCAAATTCCCGTTCCGCGGTGGTAATTTTGTTTCCACTGGAAACTTTTCCATCAGATATATCTTTTTCACCGTCTGTTTCATTGATCTCATTTGTATTAATTTTATTCAGATCATCGTTTTGAGCCTCCGGTAATTGATTATCAGAATCGACCGAATTGACTGGTGCTGGTTGCTCTTTTATTAGAGTGTCGTCCATTTTGAAACAATACAACTTCGTCTTAGTGAGTAAAGCTAGTTTAAATATTTTCGACTCCGTTGGGGTTTAGGGGCGCTTAAAAAAAAATGTTTTAGTCATGATTTTGATTTTAGCCACTTGTTTTTTTTTTTTTTTTTTTTTTACAGCAATATTTTTTAAGTCAAAAATAAAATAAAATAATTAAAATTTGAGGTAGAATCGATTATTTTAATTTTATAAAAATTTTTTTTTTTTTTTTTTTTTTTTTTTTTTTTTTTTTTTTTTTTTTTTTTTTTTTACAGCAATATTTATTAAGTCAATAATACAATAAAGTAATTAAAATTTGAGGTAGAATCGATTATTTTAATTCTATACAAGGTAACTTAAACGGCGTACATACTGATAAAATGAAAACTAGAGGTTCTCAATTATTTAAATTATTGTACTCCTTTTTCCAATATCAACTGCCATGTTGCCATAATTGCCTAGCAGGTTTCCCAACCTATGGAGTTAGTAGGGAGTGCGAAGAAGGTATTTAAGTTCAGAGGAGCCATTGACTTTTAATATATATATATAGCAAAACTCTATTCCTGTGTGTGCTCTCAGACTGAAACACGGAGTGACTTGTCGTAGTCGTATGTTCAAATACAATATTACACTATATATATAGCTTCGGGTAGATGAGACTCGTAAACCATGGCCGGTAGCTCATATAGGAGAGGGAAACTCTGACTCCAAACCTCTGCTGCTTTGCGGCTATACCCATACGGGAAAGGTTAAGGGAGTAAACCCCGACAGAAAATCAGGAAGTGGAGCTCCTAAGGCGGTCTGTTTTTTAAATCAATTGCATTCCGGCAGCTCCTGCGACGCCAATGGTGCCAAGCCGTATCGACACTAGTTGATCCCTTGGGTCCACCACTGGCGTGGAGAGGGGGGATCTGCTGTCTGGGCAGCAGCTGATTCTCCATACTAGTTTGCCCAGGCTTTATCTTCACTGGAGAGGACACTCCAGCATCGCCGAATGGTGTGAACACAACACGACAGGCAGCAGTTACCGGTTTTAAGCCATATCTCAATTGGCGTAGAGCTAGGCGCCAGAGATTGCTTCTGACGGTGGAAGAGATCGCCATGTCTCACTGGGTGCGTGGAGCTCAGAGGAACATCCCAACAAGTAGGCCACAAAAACATGCACCTTGAAATAAGAAAACAAAAGAAAAGAGGACCCCAGCTCTTCAAATAGCAAGCTGGAACGTAAGGACAATGTGTCCGGGCATTACTGCCGACCTGCAGCTCATAAACGATGCAAGGAAGACAGCTATCATTGAGAGAGAGCTTAGCAGGCTAAACATTGATTTTGCCTGTCTCCAGGAAACTAGGCTCCCCGAATTTGGTACCATAAGAGAACACAACTACACTTTCTTCTGGCAGGGTGGACCAATAGACGCACCAAGAAACCATGGGATTGGTTTTGCTATAAAAACACACTCTGCTCCTCCATAGAACCACCGACACAGGGCACAAATAGAATACTAACTATCCGTCTATCAACATCTTCAGGTTTAGTCAACATCCTCAGTGCTTATGCCCCAACCTTTTCCTCCAGCTCAGAAGCCAAAGACCAGTTCTACGAAGATCTTAATCAAACAATAGCCAGCATACCCAGCAACGAAGCAATTTATCTTTTGGGTGACTTCAATGCAAGAGTAGGAAGCGATCACATGGCCTGGCCAACATGCCTCGGTCATTTTGGAAGAGGCAGGCTAAATGAAAATGGGCAGAGACTATTTGAACTGTGCTGCCTACATGGACTATGTGTAACTAACACCTACTTCAACTGTAAGGCTATCCACCAAGTGTCATGGAGGCATCCCCACTCTAAACACTGGCACCAGTTAGATCTCATAATCACAAGACGCACACAACTGGCCAGTGTCCTCCTCACACGCAGCTACCACAGCGCAGACTGCGACACTGATCATTCCTTAGTGGCTAGCAAGATAAGGCTACAGCCAAAGAAACTTTATCACACTAAAAACAAGAGTAAACCACGCATAAACATCTGCTCCACCAAAAACCCAGAGAGGACAGAAGTATACACCCATGGTCTACAAGAAGCTGTTGTACATATGCCACCAATGGACACTATCGAGTCCAAATGGTCACATTTGTGGGACACTATCTATAACTCGGCTATCATGGCATTTGGAAAGAGAGAACGCAAAGGTGAAGATTGGTTCGAGGCCCATTGGCAGGAAATGAAACATGTCACCGATGCAAAAAGAAAGCCCCTCTTAGCTTATAAAGACAGACCTTGCCCAGCAACTCTAAAATCGCTTAAAAGCGCCAAGACAAATGCCCAGCAGGCAGCTCGCCACTACGCTAACACATACTGGCTCAATATAAGCTCCAGCATACAATCAGCTGCTGATAGAGGTGATGCAAAGTCAATGTACGAGAATATAAAGCAAGCAACAGGCCCTCTGATCTACCAGAATGCGCCCTTAATGTCCAAATCAGGGAAATTGTTACTGATCGAGATAAACATCTAAAGTGGTGGATAGAGCACTACTTGGAAATGCACGCAACGATAAACCATGTCTCAACCGCTGCCCTGGACGATATCCCAGACTTACCGGTCATGGAGGAGCTTGATACCCTACCCACCATAGAAGAGAATTAAGTGGCAGGACAGGGTCCCAGACACTGAGGTGCTCACACGGGCAGGTCTCCCAAGTATCTTCACAATCTTGATGAAGTCCCAGCTTCGCTGGGCGGGACACGTTGTGAGAATGTCAGATGACCGTCTTCCCAAAAGAATTTTCTATGGTAAGCTTGAACAAGGAAAGCGGTCTGCTGGTGGACAGAAAAAAACGCTTTAAAGACAACATAAAAGTCTCACTGAAAGCGTTCAACATAAACCCAGACATGTGGGAGGAACAAGCCAAGGATCGATCTTCATGGCGTTCCACTTTGCACAGGAGGTCCATGCAACATGAAGTTGGCAGAACAGCGGCTGCAGAGCGCAAGAGACATGCCAGGAAGGCCAAGAGACATGCCAGGAAGGCCAAGAGACATGCCAGGAAGGCCAAGAGACATGCCAGGAAGGCCAAGAGACATGCCAGGAAGGCCAAGAGACATGCCAGGAAAGCCCGGTCTGATTCTGCTTCCGGGGATGCGCCATCCTTCCCCTGCACCTACTGCACATGAGAATTTCGTGCCAGAATCGGCCCCATTAGCCATCTGCGCACCCACAGACAGAGCCAGCACAAACTCTGATGAATAAAGTGGTCATGGTTGACTCCCGACTGACGAACAACAAAAAAGAATATAGTAATATTAAGTACCAAACATCTGACATACACAAATAGCATATTCATGTCTTATTATTTGGAAAGAGCTGGCTTTCAGCTTTTCAATGTAGGCCTATGTATACTCAAATCCATGGACATTGACCTTAATTCGTTGGAAAGACTTGCTATAGATCGTACAGGCTGGTGAGGCACACTCATTGTTGGAGCACAATCCTCAGAGAGTAAACGCTCACGCCCAAAGAAAGTACACACCAAGGAAACGCAAAATCGAATCCAATCCAACTAGGACCCAAAGCAATGTGTATCCTACGTGCGGGAAAGCTTTCAATACACAAATAGGACTGGCAAGCCACCTGCGTACTCGGCGTTGAATATAGCCCTGGCCATTTCCGCATGCGAAGAGGGAACGACATATAAATATCAGGGACGTCAATAGGGTTGGTGTCACTCGGTGCGGTCCATTCACGGTGTCACTCCCACCCCTAATCCGAAGCTCCCGTACCTGAATCTAAGAAGTTCTTAGCCAGATCATACAGAATCGCTTGTAGTATTTTTTGTAAATTAATTCATATAGCAACAAAAAACATAAAGGAAAAAAAATTATGTAACAGTTTTTAAACATGCCCACACAAATGAATTATTCAAACATTAACATTTACAGTTAAAACATTATAACCTGTCTTCAAAGATGTAAATATGTCAATCACATCATCAAAATCGACATTAATCTTCACCTTATCACTTTCAATTGACAAAATTGTAAGACCGGGACATAGGCATAACTCAGGGGTCTCAAACTCAAATCATCTGGGGCTCACAGGACCGAGGCCCGCAGGAGGTAGAGTCTGAGTGAGACAGGGCCACATCAAGTATACCACAAGGAAGCGATTACAAATTCAACAAAGTACGATTGTTACAATCTGCTCAACCTTCATAACAAATAAAAACATTAAGGGTTCTCAAGAACTAGGCTTCACTTCACTTTCTTCCTCCTACTCCTTGTTTCTAGAGACCTGGCAGAGCTTCTTCTTACACACCTGAGCAACATTTGGCTTGAGTGAGGAGGCAACTGAGACCCTCAGAATAGCTTGAACTTGAAGATGCCCATCGGTACGTTTGGCCCTGAACTTTCACTTGTTAATCTTAGGGAAGGTCGAGGACAATGCTCTCATAAATTGACCATGCTTGTCTGTTTTTCCATTCACCTCCCTGATTTTAGAAGTGCACTGAAGATCAATCAGCTCCATTTGAAGAGCAAAAAAGGGGGTAAGGTGGGGGAAGGGGCATCTTCCACATTAAAGGAGAAAGGGTCAGCAAAAAATTGAAAAGGGAGTCTGTGTGTTTTGAAGTCTAAAAACATGTGATCAAAGTCTCCCTAAAGCTTTGCAATGGCATCAGTATACTTACTACTGAATGGTGTGCCCGAGTCCACGGGTACTTGGCATGTTGGGAAATGGCAGAGTTTTCTCTAAGAACCATAACATGAGTTTTGTGCACAATGCCCTGACATTGTCATTGGCAACGTTGACAAGCTACCCCTGGTCTTGTAACTTCTTGTTGAGTACATTCAGCTTGTGTGTAATGTCAACAAGAAAAGCCAAATCCATGAGCCATTTGGGATCATTGAAGCTGACACGTTCGTTGTTTTGTTGCTTTCCCTTTTCAGGTTTTCCCATACTTTGTTTTACTCATTTCCTTTTTGAAACTCCCAAATAGTATTGGCTTGAAAGACATAGGGTAGGCCTCAAGGCTCACCCCACAGCAATTGATTCTTAAAAAAGGGCTCCACGAGTTGAAAAGTTGGGAAGCTTGCCTTAGAGAATAGCTATTGGAGTTTATGAAGGCAGTCTGGCTACATTGCACTGACCTCTCTCAAACCGATGATCAAGCTCTGAACACAAAATAATATTATGGAACCACTTGTTTTATAAAGATGGCGTCTATGTCAGGTAATAAAAAATATTTAAAAGTGAAGTACCGATGTTTAAAATTCGATAAAAGTAGTACACCACTTAATTATTAATATTGGAAGATAAAACGGGGACATTGAAATCATTTAATTTTATTGCTCCCTATTTAATATTAAATCAGTAAGTAAGAGTAAGGAGACTGACTGAGTCTGAGTGGACTCTACAACTACAACTTGACACCTCTCTCCACGGTACTCTATGTCTATGTCTACTCAGCTAACTCAGTTACTCATGTAAACTACGTTCCACTATGGACTTGTGTGCCATTAGCTCACTAGCCAGTAGAGAATACAGGCAACAAAGTCAAAACTCACATAACAGACTTGAGTTACACTAAGTTGTAGTACCAGCACAGCAGAGAGGCAGAGAGTAACTAAAACTTGTCATTGAGATTGTGATGTGACAGACACTCTACTTCTATAAGAGTATTAGTATTATTCAGTATAGAAATAGAATATAATAATACTTTATTCTATTTCTATAGTCTATACTGAATAATACTATCTGATTATTCTTTAACTATAATTGTAACTGTAACTAAAATCACTATACTTATTGACTTATACACTTACACTGATGTTACTTATCCGTATACTTATTTATCTTATTAATACTATTAGTATTAGTACTATCTATATTAGTCTATAATTGTATAGACACTAAAGTAATAGAGTAATCCCTTATTATAGGCTAAGTAAAGTAGGTACCCCACATCTGACATTCACAAAGAGCATATGGCATATTGATGATATTCATGTCAATGTCAATAATCATTGGAAAGAGCTGACTTTGTTGGACACTTTGGTCACCAAGAAAAAGATAATCTTCTATCATTATAGGCATAGGAGAAAAGTTATGATTTTTTAGTGATTTATTTCCTCCCCAATATTTACTAGCTTTGTTTTTAATTCTAAAAACTATGATCCAATTATTACTCTTTTTTTGTACTATTTGCTTTGTATCTTTTTGGGTTTTAAAGTTAGAGTGCTAAAATTTGAAAGAGACATTTTTTTAATACAATGATTAACAAAACACATGTCTATCGGCATCCTTCCATCTCGTGAGCCGATGGTGCATCACCGTTAGGTTGGGTTGCATTTTCTCGAGTGGCTGTGCAGTCCTATCCTTGAGTGACAGTCTTTACCACAATTTTTACACACGAGTTCCGTGCTTCTAAATGTTTTGGCCTTTCTCCTAGCTCTTCTGTCTGCAGCCTCTTCCATTCTTCGCTCCTCGGCTACCATGACGCCCTCTTTGACAACTGTGCGCCACGTAGATCGGTCTTTTGCCTTACACTCCCAGTCACTTGTATGTATTTTGGCTGCTTTCATGTCCCTTTGACAGACATCTTTAAATCGCAGACGTGGGCGACCTGTTTTCCTCTTTCCCGAAGCAAGTTCACCATATAGGAGGTCTTTCGGAATGCGGCCGGGACTCATTCTTTTAACATGACCTAGCCACCTCAGGCGTCTTTCACTAAGGATTGTGAACATGCTTTGGGTATTCGCACGCATTAGGACCTCACTATTAGTCACTTTTTCTTGCCATTTAATACCAAGGATGCGACGCAGGCATCTCATATGGAAGCTATTAAGCTTGCGCTCTTGGGATGTATAGGTGGTCCATGTCTCGCTCCCGTATAGTAGTGTACTGATGACACAAGCTCGATAGACGCACGGTTTGGTTTTCTCCGTTAGCTTGGTGTTTTGCCAGACCCGTTTATTTAGTTTAGCCATTGTGGCAGCTGCCTTGCCGATTCTGCTGTTAATTTCTTCTTCAATGGACAGTGTATTGGAGACCTTGGACCCCAAGTAGGTGAAGCTGTCCACAACCTCCAAGTTTTCATTATCGATTTTTATGTTAGGTGGAGGTCGAGTGTCTTGGGCCATGATGTTTGTCTTATTCAAGCTGATTTGCAGACCAAAATTCTTTACAGGCATTGGAGAAGCTTGACACGAGTTGTTGCAAACCAGTTTCTGTGTGTGCTGTTAGTGCCGCATCATCCGCAAATAGTAGCTGGCGAATTAGGACATCTGTCGTTTTGGTCTTGGCTCGGAGGCGGGCAGTGTTGAAAAGTCCTCCATCAGCTCTGGTGTGTAACCAGAGAAGAATATTGCGAACAGTGTTGGTGCGAGTACACAACCTTGTTTAACTCCGCTTCTGACTGGAAAGGCTTCTGACTTGGCTCTATCGAACTGCACTGTGCCCTGCATATTTTCATGGAACTCTCTGATGATGGCAAGTAGGTGAGAAGGACAGCCGATTTTTGCCAGTATTTTGAATAGCCCGTTGCGACTGACGTAATCAAAGGCTTTTGTAAGGTCCACAAAGGCAATGTACAGTGGCATCTGCTGCTCTCTGCATTTTTCCTGGAGCTGTTGTATGGAGAACACCATGTCTATGGTAGACCGCCCAGACCGGAAACCGCACTGAGATTCTGGATAGACGCGGGATGCTAGACTCTGTAAACGTGTTAGTATGACATGGGCAAAGGCCTTTCCTACAATACTAAGGAGTGAAATGCCGCGATAATTATTGCAATCACTCCTATCACCTTTGTTTTTATATAGTGTCACTATATTTGCATCCTTTAGGTCTGGGGGGATGTAGCCCTGTTCCCAGCAGAGGGACAGAATCTCGTGCAATGGTTGGAGTAAAGCTGTCTTGCCACTCTTTAGAGCCTCTGGTGGTATTCCATCATCCCCAGGCGCTTTTCCACAAGCTAGGCTATCAATAGCTTTGCTCAGCTCTTCCTGTGAGGGCACGACATCAAGTTCTTCCATGAGTGGCATATCTGTGATGTCATCTAGAGCGGTGCTGGAGACCGTGGTAACTGTTGAATACAATTCCAGATAATGCTCAACCCACCGTTTTAGCTGTGCTGCCTGGTCTTGGATAATTTCTCCACTTTTGGACTTTAGAAGAGCAACTTTGGACGTCAAGGGGCCAGTTGCCTTTTTGATGTTTTCGTACATTGCTTTTGCATCGCCCATATCTGCAGCTGATTGTATGCTGGAACAGAGGTTAAGCCAGTAGGTATTGAGACAATTACGTGCAACCTTTTGGTCAAGTGACTCTGCTGTTTTTAAGACATGCAACCTGTCGGGTGTAGGCTTTTCCTTGTAAGCCGTGAGAGCTTTCCTTTTGGCTTCAGTGACAGGTTTCATCTCGTCCCAATGTTCATCAAACCAGTCCGGAAACACATGAATGAGTGGGTAAATTGTTTATATGATGATAACCAACTTACGGTTTCATTGAATAAACTTTTACACACTTGATTGCAGGTTCCACCAACATAACATCCAAAAGTTGTCAGAAAAATAAATACAATACCGCAGGCCTGCACAACTCAAAATGTAAGGCGCGCCTTAATACTTTATGATAAACTTGTGCAAGCCAAAAGAAAAATAGGACAGGACTTGTGCAGGACAAAAGAAGATAGGGCAGGGGGATAAGAAAATAATAAGAATAAAGAATATTTCGCTACTTCATGGGCCCCAATTTGGTTGCTGGCGGGCTGCATATGGCCCGTGGGCCGTATGTTGTGCAGGCTTGCAATAACGAATACCCATTTTCCAAAATGCCGGAAAATTTAAATATTATAATTGACCACTCAATGAAATATTAATTTAAACCATTCAATCTGTATATTAATATTTAAAAAAAGAAATTTAACTCCAAGAATAAACAAAAGGGAGAGAATCCTACACAGAAACTCAAAGTGGCACAGAAAGCGTAAATTGACAGAATTGTCAATTAATTCATTATATTTAATAAAATATGATTATATTAATAGGCCTACTTTGTACTTACTCATTTATTATCATTTTCATTTATATAAATAATAATACTTCAGACCCTAAAAGCATGATTTTTTGAATCGCCAGGGCTGAAGTGTTAAATTACCCTGGTTTTTTTTTCAAGTATTTGCTGGCCAAATACTACCCATGCAGATCCAAATATATATTTAAAATGGATGGCTGGATAGCTGTCCTGTCTAAATTGCATCAATTTCAAACTCGTGGATTGGTGTTCAGTCTCCAGCAATACATAGAAAATAAAGTAGTGGTGCGCATTATATGCTTGTGTACAAAATTTTTGATTACCGCTAAATGATAAAATCGAATGATTAAAGTAAACAATAGTATTTGTGCATAACACCATTAATGTTAGTAGCAACCCTTTGAAGGGCTACTAGCATAATTGTTAATTTTAAATAAATATTGTAATTATGTAAAGGCAAATGATTTTTATTTTAAAATAACAATTTATTTGGTTAATTTGTATCGTATTATTATTAGATTTACAGATTGGATTATATAATGTCATCATGCTTTGATCGCATTATGCGCTGTATTTTATGGTAGGTTTCATCATGAATAATGTGTAGCTATGTATATGGAACAAAAGGTACTCGGATCTGTACCCAGATTTGGCAAATAGCAATCCTGGATTTGGTACCAGTGACAATGTCTGCCTGGTTGATCGCTAGTGAGGACATTATATAAAAAAACAAAATTCACTTTTAAAACCAGGACATTATGAAGTAGGCCTAATTAAAACAGACCTAATCTATAATTAATATAATTTTTAAAAAAATTTTTTTTTTTTTTTTCAATATGAATAATTTATTTCTTTTCAATTTCATTGTATTGTCCTAGGATAAGATCATTTATTGATATAAAAAATTGACATGTTTTTGATTACATTGTACATATTCATTTTCAGCTCATAGATACACACAAATTTAAACCAAGACAAAATTATAACAATTTAAACACAACGTCTAAAGTATTTCTATAGCGTAGAAAATGTCATCAATGAACTCCTTTTGTGACAATAATGACTTAATTAGTGATCCTATAGATTCGGTAACTGCTTTGGGTGCATGGTGGTAAATTTGTACAGGCTGGGGAACAAAATAATTTTTTTATCTTTCGATCCTGACTTTAAGAGAAACAATTCACCGATCTTATGTATCTGTGATGAAGTGGGTGGGATGTATCATCCCAAAATTTTTTTTAGCTTAACAAATGCATTTTCCTTCAAATATTTTTTTCAAGTGAAGGGTGGTTAGTTTGTATGATATTACTAGCTTTCTTGATTAGTCTTTTATTCAATGTTTGATTCAAGACGATGAATTCCCACACCAGCAGGTAATACTGAAGTTGAGTAGGCTTCCAATTATTGCACTGTAGAATAAGTTAAGAATTTGTGTTTTTTTAATGCAAATATTGTACAAGTTTTTAAGATATAAAAGTCTTTGGTTGACTTTTTTATACAGATTTTTAATAGTGTTGGCACCTCGGTACTTATATGTCTTTACTTGCTCTATACTGTGATTATTTATTGTGAGATATGCAATTGGGTGATTTCCCCCTCTGGAAATCGACAACCATTTCTTTTGTTTTTGAGATATTCAACTTAAGAAAATTTGCATCGCACCAACTGATAAAGCTTATAACTACGTGGTGGTTATCTTCAGATAAGCCAACAATGGTAGTATCTTCAGCTAATTCTTTCTGTTCCCAGAACACGGACTAAAACATATGGTGAACGATCTTTCTCTTTCTGTGCCCCCAAACAATGGAATTCTCTTCCATTACACATCAGCAATGTACTGACCATCCCAGCCTTCGAAACTGCCCTCAAGATCCATCTCTTAAAACTCTACTATAGTGACTCATTCTCCCCCCCCCCTCCCCCTTGCGCAACTGATAAACAACGCTCAATGCTGCTGGGTGCTGTCCATGGGTAGACAGGGGTAGATAGTACTTGGGTGGGTGAGGTCAAGCTTTTTACCAGTTGTTTTTAAATGTATAATTTTCTGTAATTGCTAAATTTTTATATGAAGCGCAGTGAGCCAAGCCCTAGGCTGGGGTACTGCGTTATATAAAACCATCTTAATAATAATAATAATAAATTTAATGATTGGAACGGTGTTGCTTAGGCTCTGGATATCATTGGTATAAATTGTATACAGGACAGGTGAGAGAACGCAATCCATATTTACATACCCTAGGCGACTGCTGCAACAAATGACATGAAAGTGGAACCAATGTACTCGCTCTTTTCTCCTTGAAAATAAGAAGTTATTTTCCTATCAGATTTTCTCGAAATTTTGTTAATGAATAATTAAATTTTGTAGTTAGTCACAAAGTTAATGCTTATGACTACTATGAGTATGACATCACTGACACTGTCACATGTTGTCTAAACAGTAAACCTTTATCTATAAGAAAATTTCTAATTGCCAATTAACCTGATTTCGCATAAAATTAACACTAACCCTAGAAGTAGAAGCAAACAAAGAATCACAATCATATTGTCTACATGTTAGATTGAATTTTTATAATGCTAACTAGTTTACTAACATTCCAAAAAAATCTTTACAGAAACCTCATACTGGATAAATTTTTTCACAACTGCTGGGATTCCTGCTGGAGATGCAGCCCACTATGCTGTTATGTTCTCCGATAATCGCATCACACGTGAGATGCTTCTTGATCTCAGCAAAGAATATCTTACAGACATGGGCATTACCAGATTAGGTGACATCATAGCTATCCTGAAACACGCTAAAGATGTTTTCAAACAGGTACTGCACTTTTTTCTTAAGTTTAAATTATGTCTACACTCAATATTTTTTTCATATTTTATTTTCAAATTACATTTGTCCAAAATTAGATTGATCAATTCATTGACAAAAGCAATTGATTCGTTTTTTTTAATGGTACAATATCTTAGTTTTAATAAATTCTAAGCATTTCTGTAGTTGCTTTTACTAGCTATAAGTCTAAGTTTAAATATTATATTCTTGCATTTCTATTTTCTTTAGGAAGCAAAAGATAAAATATTAAAATCAACTTCCTTGACATCGCTTTCATCAGCAAGTTCTCAATCAATTTCACCAGCCTTACGCAGATCAACAGGTATAAATTAAATTAATGAGAGACTTAAATTGTTTAATCAAACTACATGATTTGATACATCTGCTTGAGACTATGAGATTAGATGATGCAAGTTTAATTTAATCAAGTATGAAAAAGGCAAGAGTGACTATGTACATTATTGGTACTGTCCTCACACATACATATACCATTGGTCCTTGTTTATTGACACTTATTTGTTCTGAGGAAATAGATGTTTAAAAAATTACATGGACCTGTTTCCACAGACCCTGTAGTCAAAATGTACTTCCACAAAAGCTAATAATTGAATTTTTTTGTAAATGTGCTTAATGCGTACAGTAATAATAAAGGTTTATTAATCTTGGTCTCATTCATGCTCAAGCTTGAGGTGTTAAAAAGGTGGAGAGTTGCCAGGGAGTTTTTCTATGTGATGTACCTCTTCTTCTGCAGGAGGAATCTCTGGGTTGATGTTGCTTCCTTCAGTGGAGGTTGAAGGAGAAACTCGTGCCAGAGGTTTGAAGAAACTGTGTAGGGTATTCTGCTTTTTTTTCCTCTCTTTCAGGGGCTTTTTAAAATAGACCACAGTGCTGACTTCAGAGTTAAACAACTGCTTCTCTGCCTCTATGTTGGGCTGAAACACTGCATTATCTTTAGCACCCTCCCATCATTCCAGAAAATGTTTTATTAATGCAGTAGAGACGAGACAGTAACTATCTTCCTCAGGCACCTTCTCACCACCACCAGATTCAGATACCTTTGAAATTTTATTGATGGTATTTGAAGTAATTGATGGAAAACAAGCACTTGTTGGTCAATGGAGGCTTTGACGCTAAAACAAAACAAATAAACTGAATTTGATGTTAAACAAGGGGTTGATCTATATAAATACCTTTATAAATACCCTTCAAGCTTTTGGTTATTGGCTATATTTTGAATATCTTTTTGTTACAGCTGCAAGTCGTATGGTTAATCACTTCACTAGTAAACATCCTGAGGCAGCACCGATGAGCCAGTCCCCTGTTCCAAAACTACCACCACCAGGTAGAATACCTTTTCATGTAAAATAATTAAGTTGACCTGAATCATTTTGATTTTTATATTGTATATTCATTGCTTATATGACTAATAATCTTTCGGATTGAATTTGAATACAGTTTTTGTACATTCTAATCAAAGTCAAGAAAAGTCAGGATCACATGTCACTTTTTAGGTACACAGCTGCCAAAAGAAACCACCAAACATTGTTTCCTTAACAATAAAAATGTTATTAATTTTGATTGATAAATTCAAGATTAGGGAAGACTTGGCATTAGTTTTCTTGAATCATATCTAGTTTGAACTTTTGCAAGTCTTGTGATGTGAGTGGTACATTTAAAAAAATCCCTGTCTTTGTTTCACACACAATTTTACTGTCTTTACCTTTCCCTTTTTTTGTTTCTTTATGACACATTTCCTAAAGATAATAACTAATTATGATATTTAAATCAAATACAGTGTGAACTTGTTGGCTCTGTTTTCACCATGATTCTTATGATCACATATCCAATCATGCTATTTATTGTTGCCATTTATATACACAGTCAGAAATTTTAAAACTTTTATTAGTTTCTCTTAGGAATTCCATATAGTTAGTGTTTAAACACAAAAAATTAGTGAGATTAATTGGACTTCGAGTTGACACCTTTCATATGTGCAGTTATGTTTTATCAATGTTGAACGTGTTAAGTTAAAGTGGTAAAGGTTTGGTGTGTGGCTAATGAATGAATGTTTATAATTCTTTATAATTCAGTACAATAAGCTAAATTTCTTACCTTGTATTTATCATCATTTGATGTTTCTTAATAGCAATGTTTATGAAAGCAGCTTTAAAAGTTTATACCAGTTGCTCAAAAGTTATGAGGTGTCTCTATCAACTTTCCCCTCATTAATGGGTTAGTATCTGACCTGTAAGAGTCAGCAGTTCTTGGTTTCCATTTACTGGGTAGTTTAGTAATTTGAAATGAATGAAACTGTATTAGCAATTGATGCAACAAAGAGGCTGATGTCTGCATTTGTGCTATCACGCATGGACTATTGCAATGCTCTCATGGTGGGTCTTCCAGCTACGCTCCTGGATAAAATTCAAATAGCACAGAATAATGCGGCTCGCATTGTTCTCCGCAAACGCAAGTTCGACCATGCAAAAACACTTCTGAGAGAGTTGCACTGGCTGCCGGTGCGTGCTCGCATAGAGTACAAAATCGCAACTTTGTGCTACGGCTGCTTACATGACCTGGTGCCGTCCTATCTGAAAGAGCTGCTGACGCCTTATGTACCTACTAGAGAGCTCCGCTCATCTGATAGTGGCAAACTCTCGACACCACGTTTTTGCCTTGAGACTTACGGAAAGCGCACTTTCGCATTTGCTGGTCCAACAATTTGGAACGCCCTTCCTGTCGATCTCAGAAACAACAAAACACTGGAGTCCTTTAAAACCGATTTAAGGACACATCTATTTCGCAAACACCTTCTGGGATGATTGTCTACCTTATTTTCCAGTTAATGCATAATGGCTGTGTTGCTTATGGTTGAAATGGCTTGAAAGACTTTGCCATTGTATGCTTGTAATTAGTGTTTGTAGTGTTGCGTTTGTTTTAAATGTGGTAAATTATAGATTTGTTTTTTGTTGACTTTGTACCGCGCTTCGAGCCTTTGGGGATGAAGCGTGTTTTTGAAATGAACTTTATTATTATTATTATTAAATGTAAATTGTTAACATATATGTTTAGTCAGAAGTATTGTAGCAATTTTTAAAAAGCTGAATTTCTTTTGTAGATCCCCCAAGGTCTAAAAGGAAAGTCTCTGTCTTTGACAGATTGGGTGATGATGGCGTTGATGATACAGTGACATTAACAACAAGCTCTAAGTTGGCAGCATTACAAGCTTCTACGGTAAGTGTGACATTTAAACTTCTTTCAGCAAACAAAAGCTAATGGTATTTTATGGAGCTTTCATTCAAAATACAGAGCATAATCTTAACACAAATTTTTTTTTCCAATAGTTTTGTGCCCTATAATTTATAATACCTTATTGTAAAATGCTTTTAAAAAAAAAATAATGCATTTATACAGTTAACATTATCAAATGTTATGTTTTAGTCTTTTTTTGTTTGTCACTCTTTATGTGTAGGTCTATAGTTCAAATTCAAATTTACTTAGTAGGATTAGATTTAGTCCCTGATTTTTAAGAAATATTGTTCTTTCTTCAGCAATCTTCTGTCTTTAGCCGATTGGGTGGCAAAGCAGGATTGAAGAGGTCAGCAAGTGAATCGGCATCTCTTGAAAATTTAGATGATTTGTTAGGTGCAGATGAAGAAAGTTTGCCCTATGCTGGCGTCCTAAAAGGTACTGGCCCATCACCCGCAAAGAAAGCTAACATTAAAGTTGCCGTTAACAGATCTAGTCTCAAGGAACCATTCAAGATTAAAAAAACGTTTAAATCAGTAACTGTGACGGAAGAAAAGAAAACATCACGTGAGTATTTATTTTTCACTGGTAATACTTGATGTAGAAATGGAGGGACTCTTCTTAAGTTCTGGGCAAATTTTGAATTATTTAACTTAATTAGGAAAGTTAGATTTTTAAAAAAGACTTATTGACCCTATAACTGTCAAGAACATTTTTCTAAAGCCTTGAGCCAATTTTAGCATTTTCATCTGCTTGTCAAAAATGACAAAAACCCATACTATATGAATTCAGAGAACCTTACAAGTTATATTTTCTGAAAGTACATTGGACAAGGTATCTTATGGTATGAAAAGAATTTGTTTTTATAGTGTGTATGTTGATATTGACCTTTACAGAGTGAGTAAAATTTTGCTATTCAACTTCTGAATTCAACCCACCCTAAATACTCCATAAATTGTTCAAACTATCATAAAATCATGTTTTTGAGATACTAGAGGCAATATTCTTTCAGAAAATTTCAAGTTATAGTTACTTATATTGAAAGTTATGATATTGGTGAAGTTTTTCATTCCCTACCTTCAAATCCTATCATACAAATACGATTCCTTTTCAATAGAAGTTATTAAATCCATTTTTATTAATAACTGTCGTGACATCACAGAAAGGAGTATAATGGCCAATCATCAGCAAATGACAGTTATAGGGTTAAATTAAGAATTATGCAAACTCATCAAGGAGGTACTGCAAACTGATACATTATTACTATAACTAAATGACTGTACACTAAAATCTGGAAGAAAAAATTTGAATGAGTTGGACCTCTACTATCAATGTAAATCTCTTTGATAAATAGCTACTTGAACAAATAATTTCAAAGAAGCAAAAAATTTAAATAAGGTGTGTTACACTCCATGGGACATTATTTAAGAATAATAAATTAAATTAACAAATGCTATTTTTAAAAAAACAAATCATTACCTTATAAAACATTGGAAGTTAAATTCTTTGTTGCTTTCTATTAGACATACAAAGACCAGAAGTGTCGACTACAACAGAAGGTGTGCTCTCAGATTTCGCTAAACGAGAATCTCCATCAGTAAAAGAAAGACTTGGATCTAAAGCTCAGCAATCTTCTGTGACCAGCACTTCCATACCCAAAGTAGCAGTCACACAGAAGCAAAAGACTAAATGTAAGTATTAATTAATATCACATTTTTACAATTAATGCTATAAAGCAAGGGGGTGGCAGGCAGTTGTTAACAACTGTATGGATGGTGGATGGACAAAGCAAAAGACAGCTTCAAATCACTTGAAAATTGACAGGAAACTGAAGTTCAGTTAGGGAGAATCAACAGAACATCATTCCTCCTCCACATATGAGAAAATCAGGTTCACTGACTCGTTTGAAGTTTGGCAATGAGGCTTGGGGATATATCTAGAGAAAAACATCAGTAAGAACAATCCAAATTTAGAAAAATGGTCCCCTTAACAAACATGATGCTGCTGATAGATGAACTCGGCAAAAACACACTACAATACAAATTAATCACTTCTGCTAGTGACGTTTCTATCAGTTAATCTGATTCATAATTAATTTATCTATTCATTTCAAGTCATTTATTTTAATGCTAAATTCTCAAGTCATGTTACTTTTGTAAACAAGATATGACTTTTTAAAACATTAAATCTTCACTTGAGCCGCAGGGGTTTGGAGTCAATAACAGAACTGGGGCTGTGGATAAAATCCAGGCTAAACAAAAAAAAAGATTTCCATTCAAGCGTTTTTCCATTCAAGTGTACAGAATTACAACTACAGGTTCACTGCCTTTTAAGGAAAACCCTCATAAAAAAAAAGGCCCAGTTACCAAAGTGATCTAAAAAAAAATGTACATAAGTAAGAGTTACTTGGCCTTTGTCAGTAAATAATCATGCATTAAAGGCTATTTTCTACTGGTACAGAACATTTTGTATTTCAGAATTTTGTTTTGCATGTTGTACCCATGTTCAAAAAAATTTTAAATCCACTTTAATAATACAGTAAGTCATTTATTAATGGATGAGGTAAATATTTTAAATAAAAGGTTTTATATTTTTCAAAATAACAAAAATTTATACTCATCTTTTAGTTGTTTTTTTTTCAGATTTTGAATAGTTCTAAAAATATTTAAATAATGACACCATTTAATTTTAATTACAAAATATTTGCAGTGACAGTTCAAGACAGATTGGGAGCTAAAGTAGAAGAACAGCAATCATCTCCAGTAGTTTCCTCAACACAGCGTATTACACCTAAGCTGAAAAAGAAAGATACTGCTAAATCCACCCCAGTAACTAGTGCACCAAATCCTAGTGGAGTGTTCAGCAGACTTGGCAAGAAAGCTCCAACATAAAGCTTTGAGGGATAAGAGATCTTAAGTTTGTTAAATATTGATAGCTTTAAAAACTAATTCTATTTCACAAATATATCTACTTATTATTTCTGAAATAGAAAAACATTTGTCCTCTGTAACAGTAGGATTCTAATTGAAGTGGAATGAGTGTAATTTTGTAAATTATTTCATATATTCCAATTACAAATATTGCTTTTCGGAACTTTGCAAGCACAATATTATGAATATATTTTCTAACACCTTATGAACTGAGGTTAGTGACATAGCAAGTTTGTATACGGTACCCTACAATAAATAGTTTGTGCTCTAGTCTATAGTTTACCTTAAACTGTGCTTCTGGGCAGTTAGTAAAGGGCAAAATTTTACTGAGAAAACTAGATCTAAGATTATTTTAACAAATGCTGCAATTTCTATCCACATGTACCAGTTAAAAATATCAGCCTAACTTATGAATAAAATTTTGAGTTTATTATCGTACTATGTATACTAATTAACTTTTGTCTGGATGAATGACTGTGTTTGAATAATCACATGAGTCCCTCATAATAACTGTCTTTTATGAGTGATCAACATTATTAAATACACTGGTGACTTGATATAACAGAACCATTGAGTTTGAGGTCTGAAGCTTTCTACATCTTTGAATACCAGGCTGGTTTAATGAGAAACCCTTTTCTGTCACATTTACAAACTTATGTAACAAAGGTGGCTACTGTTGATCAATTTTTGATTTACCCTCATTCACCACATCCTCTCAGTCTATCAGTTATGCTCTGTATGTTTATGCACCTTTGATTTTGGTTATGGTAGATGCTTGTGCTAGAGCCTGTTTGCTCATAAGCCACGCTCCACTCCCAATTTTGTACAGGCAAATTTAATTTTTTTTATAATTGCTCATAAGTGGACCCCATAAAATAACATGCCAGTGTAAGTATTACAGATTATCTAATCTAGGATGAGATTATGTTGGTAATAAAAACTACTAAAATAAATAATGGCAACATCTAGTTTCAGCTTCATTATTTTTATGTTTCAAAATTGTTGAAATCAGACTTTGTAAAACTTATACAATACCAATTTTATTATTCAATGTACCTAGAGAAAATCATAAAAATCTCTATGACCCGCTCATAAGTCCACCACCCCTCATTTATTCCCCTGGAATATTTCCGCACAAAAAATTTGGCTTTATGAGTATACGCAGTACTAAGAATTTAAAGAATATTTTGCTCTTAAATTGACTCACAAACTACAGTTTCTTCAATGAGATTGCACTTTAATTTTGTCAGAGTCATATCTTATATGTGAACATGTAGGGCTCAATACTGTTCTGATAATTGCCTGTTTAACTTTTAAATTTTATGTGCGGTGAGTCTATGATCAAAGCTCATGGTATCATGTTGCCAGATTACAAATCAACTCGCACTCCTATTATTCATATCCCTTTTCATTAAACTTCTTATCTCATTGTAGGGTTAAATATCAATATATTTATTTTCAATTGAAATTGATAGTTGTGTACATTTTATTTTGTCTCTGTCTTCATTGATTTCATGTTGTTTTTTGATAGGAAATGAGGTAACTCTAAATGAAATAGGGAAGATTATGCACAGGTGTTCATGTTGATTGAGGTTTAAATCCAAGACATGCAGAAAATTTAATGTACAGCTAAATATGGTGTACTACTCCCAGACTCTATTTTAACACCCAACATGTTGGATTGAAAGCTTTATAAAAGCTTTAACAAGACAAAAAAGAAGCTGAAATAGGATAAATAAGACCAATTCATGACAGAGAACTGAAGTTTGTAATATATATTATATAACACAGCTGGAAAAATAGAAATTGATGTTTTCCCATTATGAATGTTTAATTTAAAAAACAAAATTCTTAAATCAATCTCCACCTTTTATCCTCAATCCCTTCCACATCACCTGTTTATCTTAAAGTCAAATCAAGTTATTTTCCCAAGTTTAAATTGTATATTAACCATATTTTTAATGAAAAAAATAAAATGACAGTTTGTTACTCTGTCTTGGAGAAATTCTCTCCCAACAATAAACCAAAGTATTAGTATAACCTCTGGAACATGTGCTGATAAACCCCATCAAAATGGCATGGTAAGTAGATGATTTATTGTATTTATATTGGGAGGTGGAGAGATTAATAAGGTTTAGGTTTCTTTAACATCATATTAGTCATTTTACAGAGCTAAGTGAAATTATCAATAACTGCAAAGAGAATGCACATGATACAAGTTGTTCAATCCATGCCCTTTATTACAGCACTTATTACACTTGTTTGAAATGACACATCATATCTGAGCTTTCAAACTTTCATTCTTCTTCTCATGCACAACTATTTATATTGGCAGTTTACAGATAATTAATGTTACAAAACCTTGCATTCGGGTATTCATCAAATCATTGGTACATGCTTACATGTTAAAGAAAATATATAAAACGATTCAACCAATTTATATATACTATTTACCGTGCTTACCTGACAGGATTACATTATGTTTCCATTTATTAAACATATGGTTCCCTACATGAACCATATAAATGATCATTGACACAGAATACATGTTGCTGCATATATTAGGTGCTAAAATACTCAAGGAGTATATTGTTTTAAATTCATATTTAATATGTTAATTGTACTTAATTTAATAGACCGAAGTGGAATTCTGCACTGACAATAAAAGCCAGAGATTCTTCTTTCACTAAATCAGTGGTGATATGCAGGGAGGCAATGCATTTAAATTATGATGTCAATAAGATCTGAACAATTAATAGATGAAACTATTTTATTTTTATTAAAAAGGTGATCAACACAAAGTTGTCCTCTCCCCTCTTCTTATTAATAGTCAAGTTTTTCTGAAAACTACAATTTTATTAAAATGTTTCAATAAAAAATATGTTTAATTTCAATAGTACTTAACCGCATTTTGAGTCTTTTTTCTCCTTTAAATAAACCTACCAGTATCCTATTCTTAGATACCAGGTACTAACATATTTTAATTAAGCATTTAGATTTTTACATTTTTAAAATACTGTCCTTTTTATAAATGACATTTGAAAGAAGAATGTTTTGAGTAATGAAAAAATGATTATGAAAGCACTTCTACAAGAACCAAGAATAGCATTAAGGACCATTTAATTGTTTCAAACTGGATTTAAGTATCCTTTCTAAGAAAAGATAAATGATTGCAAAAATTGAGTTTGAATGGATAACGTGGATTGTTTTTATTGAATTTAATTACAGTTGAGTGTATGCCAATTATTTGAAACATTAGTTATCTGAACTGCCTCTGTTTTTTAACATATTACCATTAGAGCATTGGCATGACAAAATCCACCTTTGTTGTAAAACTCAGGTAAAATCTAGATACATGTACATAAAAGCACCAGAGATCTATTTTTGGAAACAATTAAGTTTGTGCAGAAAATTTATCTTGGCCTTACATTTACATGTTTTTTTTTTTTACATCAATCTGCTGACATTGATTATTGTACAATAAAGCACATCATAAAAGATTAAAAAATATTCTACAAACTACCTTCTTTAACACTAGCTTTTAGCTTTCCATGAAAGTGTGTAGATATCTCAAACACTCCTAGTAATTAGGATAAGCAATGCTTTACTGTGCATCATAAAATTATTTATAGGAAAAGCCCTTAAATTATGTTATCTTACAGGGCTCAAACAACAGATATTGTTAAACATGTGTAATTATGTGGTTCCATGCTTCATGTATGAAAACATTTTCAACTTATGCATTTCAACATAACTCATGGTTTCATAAAGATATTTCTTCAGATTATGCCAAAAATTCTGAAACATAAAATATTACTAAATGAATCAAACTAAAGATGTGTTTGAATTAACAAGGTCAGTAGATAAATTTTATAAGGTGATTATAATGTTCAATATTTTACACTAAATAACCAATCATTCTGACTTGAAAGAAAAAAAAAGTACATATCTTCATTAGAGTATAAGACTTTGAGGGTATATGGCATCTAGCATACTATATTACATGTTAAATATATTTTTTTTAAAATTTACACCTAGTCTTTATTCCATAGATAACTTCATGCAGTACATATAATTTTATGGACAACCAGGCTTTTCTAACTATCACTTCATTTTATAAAAGCCATTGCACTATCTAGTCATATTTAATCATTTATTTATAACACATTAACAAGCACTCTAATGCAAAGTACTAATAGTACCTGTATGATAACCTGCTTATTGGAGAAGAAAAGAAAGTGAAGCAAGGTAGTTGTCATTCACATTCATTGAGTAAAACTAAAGGGAATCATTTCTTTCACATTACTTTTTGCTAAATCCTATGCCCTATGAATGAGTTTATTAAAATAAGATAATATAAATAAAGGATAACAAGGAAACAATCCACTTACATTTCATAATACATACATTATATTTGTAATAGGTTATCTCCACTACATGACTTCATCAAAATTTAAAATCTTTAAAAAACTGATTCTTTTAATTTTTAGCATGGTCAGCTTGTTCAATAATTCAATATCTATGATTCTATACTAAAAAAAATGATCATTTGACCTCCAAACTTTAAACCACAATTTAAATAATACCTGCCATTTTATAGAATGTTTTACTTGAGCCAGATATGCCTAGGGCAGTGGTTCTCAACCTTTCTAAAGCCGGGACCCTTTAATACAGTTCCTCATGTTATGGCGACCCCCAACCACAAAATTATTTTCATTGATACTTTATAACTGCAGAGTATATGTGTTTTCAGATGGTCTTAGGTGACCCCTGTGAAAGGGTTGTGCGACCCCCAAGGTTGAGAAAGGCTGGCCTAGGGCATGACAATGAACTTTCACAGAGTCCCATTATGTTTAGAGAGTTAACATAATGGCCTTAGTTCATATAAAAAGTACAAGAACCGGGGTACTAGCTTTTTCTTTTTATATGTAATTACATAGCTGAATTTTAAAAGACAACACCTCTCAATCAAATGTCCTGTTACTGCATTATGTTTGAAAATTATTAAGGTGTATATAAATAAAACGACTAAAAATGGTACATAAATTCTCTGATAAAATTCATGCAAGTCTTTAACTTACTTTAAGATAGAGTATATAATTCATTAGACATTTTATTTTTTAAAATTACTCAAATAAATAATTTCAGTATATTATTTAAGAACTTTTTGAGATCACTGCAAGGGCCAATAGTTAATAAGAATAAGATGATTTTAAAAAAAAAACAGAAGAAATGACAACAAATAAACATTATACAAACATACACAAAAACATCAATTAAATAAATGTTATAAACCATACAACTGTACAGTAAAAATCAACATTCAATGAAAGATAGTCAAGAGATAAGGACTAAACATAAAAGAATGTATAAAATAAACTGGATAATTTGTCAGTGACATGCCAACTTTTCTTGATAGACACATTTCTAAAGAATGCAAAAACATTATAAAATTGAAACAGCAATAAAATATGCTGTTGAAAAAGAAAAAAAATTGAACTTCAAGCAAAAGAACATATGGTAGCAACTACAAGCGTAATCAGTATAATCTAAAATATAATATGTAAAGTAACAATTAATAACAAAAGAAGACACTTTTTTTTTAATTTGATGACATTATTTTGCGCACTTTTATTGAAAAATGTACATGATTATCAGAGATAGTGATTCAGATATTTCAAAAACAAATTACAAAGGACTTGCAGGCAGACACTTATTTGTAATGTGTCTAACCCATGAAATAATATATTATGGCTTCAATAATTTTGACTTTATGATGTCCTCAGATAATATTCACTCACTCTCTAGCAATACAGCATATGAGCAAGCACTATTTCAACTTTTAAGGTTTTTAACCCACAATAACTTAAGCACATGTTTTATTCTCATTTTCTTGTGCTATAACACAAATATCAGTTGAGAAATTTTTTAACATGACTTTCCTTATTAAAATTCTATTTAACTCTCCCATTCTTCATCTTAAACAGTTTTTAATTCAGATTAATCATTACTAAAATATTTTCAACAAAAAAATTATTTGATGAAATATTTCTAAAAATGTTCATAAATGTAAAAGCTCTGAGTAAAAAAAACTGGATAGATAGCCTCCTGTGCTATTTGGTTTGAATATTGTGCTTGTAAAACAAAGTAAAGGGGGAAGAACGAAATCAAGAGCTCTCATCCACAGTCAGGGGAAATTGTTACTCATAAAAATAAAGATGTCTTTTTACTTTCAATTGTATGAAAAGCAAACAACAATGATCAATACCGGTTTTTTGTTTTTTATCATTACCGTTTCGCTCTTCATTTTAGCAATAAATTAAATGTATAAGTGGAGCTTACAAAATGAGCCCAAAAGAAAGGTAATCATTTTCATTGAAACTTCCTGTTGGCTAAAAAAATTATGTACATAAACATTGGCTCAAATTTTTTAATAAAAAAAAATATGATTATATCAGATGTGAAAATAAATAATTTTTTTTTACTCTTGCAAAAGGGGACTATTTAAAAAAAAAAAAAAAAAAAAAAAAAAAAATATGATTATATCAGATGTAAAAATAAATAATTTTTTTTTACTATTGCAAAAGGGGACTATTTAAAAAAAAAAAAAAAAAAAAGTCAAATTTATTGACAGTATAAACATAAGAATGTATATTTTTGCTGGAAAAATTGTTTGACATACAAACGTTATACAATCAGTATTTCATTTGATGAAACAATATTTCATTTCAAACAAAGTTCCATTTCAAAGTTAAGAATATTTCCATTTTTATTGATACGAATGTACAATTTTATATTTTCTTTAAAAGTTTTAATTTTCATTTATTTATTATGTTCACCTGAAAAACATAGAAGTTGATTATTGATTTCTAAGGGGCAAAAATAAACCAAATAAAAAAAAAACACACACCAAACTCATTTTTTACTATTAACAACAAGAAAGCCAATTCCTGCGGCTGCAGCTAAAGCTAGAATTGCCAAAATGAGGAAGCTACTACCGCCACCCTTTCTTGCTTCGAGCTGTTTCTGTAGACAAAAATAAATTAGTTATTAGTTAATGATAATGCAACCTTTTTAAATATAGCTTTGACAGAAAGTTAATTGAAAAAACAATTCAACTAAGCAACAATACCTTTATCAAAAGATTCTATAAAATTGAACACTAACAATCCACATAATATACTTGTAGCACAAACAAATGCAATCATTAAGAAAATTTCCAGGATGTATTTTGATACCGGGTAACGGAAGTGCTAGGTTAAAAAAATTGATACAATTAATTCTTGTAGTTGTAGAATGTATGTAGAGATAAATTCTAGATCATTTGGGTTAACGAAAGTTAAAGGAAATCATTTATTTAACATTAAGAATAATAGGTTTGGATGAGGACAAGGTGTTACTAAAGACATCTTTGAAAGATAGCACCAGGTAAATATTAAAATGAACATGCATATCCATATTATTTTACTATTCGATGTAAGTTCTTTGTTTATTTCACTTATGGTAAAGTTAAGCTAATGCAGATGCTCTGTATGGGTCAGTTATTTTCAAATGGTAATTCTCAATCAAACGTACCAGCTCAGCAAAAAGATCAAATGATTAAAAGATCTATAATATGGAAAAAAATATTTTTTTGCCTTTAATATACCAGAAATTTGAACCAGAAAAATATTGTAGCAGATCAATATTAATAAGCAACCCAAAATTTTGCAATGTTAAAGAACATTCACATGATAAAATAATAAAGTAACATACCAAGATAAACTCTTCTGCTCCATGCTGGACTTTCAAGTGCACTGTCTCTCCTGCTGTGATAAATATCTGAACGGCTTCATTGTGAGTGACAGACTGAATTTTGTGTCCATTTACCTTGAAAAGCAAGAATAATACTTCAATATCATCCTGATAATGAAAAGGATTCATATTTATCTTACTCTGGGGCATATTTTTTAAAATTTATTATTAGTGCAGTATTAATATTCAGTCTCAACTATGTATAGATAAGTGACTTGTGCACTCAATACTTACAAATTTAATTTTTTGGTGCATTTTTAATGAGGTGGGGTAAGGGTTGAGCTTCTTACAGATATTTTTCTTTTTATATAAAACCTTTGAACCATTTAATTCTTTAACCATCAGACATTTTATTTTTGTAAAGATGAAAAATATTACACATTTGAAATAAGGATCCAAATCAACAATCAATATGAATTTTACTTTTTTTTAAATACACTTCTATATATTTGATCATTTAAATTCTAATTACAGCAACTACATACAAGGAATGTAGCAAGATGACTAGCTTAACACTAAATAATTACGAAAAATTTGTGTCATTACCCAAATCTATGCGTTAACACAATGAAAGATAAATTTATCATATAATTTTCAAACCTCTAAAATTTTGTCTCCTTCCTTTAGTCGCCCATCTCTGTAGGCAGCACCAGCTTCCTTGAGCTTAGTTACAAAAATACCTGTGTCTTCCTTGAAATGTGGGATATCTGTGCCCCCTCTGATGTTAAAGCCTAAACCTAAAAATGGAAAAACCCTTAGATTGTGAGAAAAACAGTAACATCAATTCTAAAGTCTCCTCTATTTAAAAAAAGGTACACTGAACAGTACACTTATCAAATGTATAACTTAATCGGCATTGAAATAAGAGTCTCAGGCAGATGAATTTACTCTGAATGAATAACTGAATATAATGCCCCCAAACAAAAGGTTTTTAATTACACACTGCATGGAGTGATGTAGGCTGTGTCTTATCCTTTAACAGTGGTTTGGCAACCTTTTGGACTTGCAGAGCCCATTTATAGAATCAATTTCTATGGGCCTTAAGCCTACCATATGTCTTGGGGAGCTCCTTGGGACTACCATATGTCTAACAAGTTATTTGTGTTTAGAAGTTTCCTGGAGTGGCAACACAGCCCTTGGGGATTGGGGAACACTGTTTGGGAACTACAAGAGAAGGCAATATCATAGTGTCCACTACACACCATCATTTCTTTAAATTAATAGTCGTATATATAAATTAATTTTACGTACTGCACATACTTTTACGCAGAACTTATTATATATGGAGGAAGGGAACTACACACTCAGACACATAAACTTCTACCTACAATTTGGCAAGAAGAGGACAATTCCAACAGAATGGGAAACAGCACTAATGCCCCCCAATACACAAGAAAGGTTCCAAACGTCAATGAGCAAACTACAGAGGAATTTCCCTATTGAATGTTACGTACAAAATACTAATAAAACTAATTGCCAAAAGAGTCCAACCATACACTGAACAAACACTAGGGGTTTACCAATGTGGATTCAGACGAAACGGATCAACGACTGATGAGATTTTCACCATCAGATGCCTATTGGAGAAATGTTACGAACATAATATGCCAGTAGAGCAACTCTATGTGGACTATAAAATGGCATATGAAGCATAAAAAAAAAAATCTACATGAGACTCTGCAGGACTTTGGCATACCTAACAGACAGACAAGGCTGATAAATATAACATTTAACAACTCAAAAATGAAAATCAAGTTTAGGGGTGAATATTCAAGGAAATTTCAGATTAGACAAGGACAATCACTTTCTTGCATGCTATTTAACCTAACATTGGAAATAGTTATAAGCTTATATGTTGACACCCAAGGAACAATAAAATGATACTTTCTGATGGAAACCCAAGACCCACAACCAATAGTAACTCCTTAAAACCAACCCCTTCAGTATCTTGCATATGCTGATGACATAGCACTGTTAGGAAAAAGTAGTAAAGATATATCAAAAGATTTTATTGAATTAGAAGACCCATCACTGCAAGCAGCACTAAAAAAATAACTCATGACTGTGTTAAGAGAAGAACAGACAAATGAAACCATTAAAATTAAAAACCAAACCTTTGAAAAAGTAAATCAATTCAAATACCTAGGTCTAGGTGGAAGGATATGGTGAGGTAGACCAAAGCCCTACATGGGCTGTAGCACCACAGGGATGGATGCATATAATTGTAAATAAACACATTTTTATAATTGGAAATATTTCAGGGAAATAAGTGGGGTGGTCAGCTTATGAGCGGGTTATTAAAATTTGTATGATTTAATCTAAGTACATTGAATAATGTAATTGTTATTTTAGAATTATTTTAGAAATCAATGAAGAAGAAAAAATTTTTTTAAGGATGTCAAAATTAATCAGTGTGCAAAATTGGCAGGGTGCTAAATTGGGTCCTCATTTAGCTTTTTACATGAACCACAACTATTAAAAATTTTTTTATTATTTTCTTTAGTACTGTATTGCTTTAAATGGCATAATTAATAAGTTCGGCTTCTGGGCGGGTTACACGCCTTTTCAGGTTTTCCCTGAAAAAAACTACGGCAGTCTGCTTATGAATGAGTATATACTGTAAAACAACATTATTTCTGTACTATTGCACAAGCCCAACATACCCTGTAATATTTTTTCCTCAAATCTACAGCAGACCCGTTTACCGTCAAACTTCTAATATCGTACAATATGTCTCAAAATTGTACAATACAGTATCTTAATAGTAAATAAACAAACATTCAGTATATGTAATGTAGACATAAACTGCTCGCATCATGTGACTAGTGTAATTGAATTAAGCTGGCATAAAAAAAAGTTACTTCTAAAGGTAGATGACTGGCGTTTATATTGTAATCTGCAGTCACTTTTTTTAGTAGACGTGTATCGCTATAGATATCAATAAATATTTAAGTGAACGTGCAGTTCGCATTATTAGTCTGTCACTTGTAAAAATAAAGTTACTGGTGAAATTTAATGTGGTTCAGACTTGAAGTCAGATCATCATAAAATAATAAAATTTACTAAGATAAGAATTAATTAACAAATTAGGGCGTCATTTAAAAAACAAAAAAAACAAAAAAAAAACACATAATGTGAGAATTATTTTTTAGTAAATCTTTTTAAAAAAAATAAATAAGAATCAATATCCATATAATATTGATTATGCCTATTACAGTCTGTTAACTACCAGACCAGTAAATGGGTGAAAGAAAGATGTCTATTAAAAATCATACAGCTGTTTTGCTTGGTCTAAAAATAGATTTGAAAGGCCCCCCTCAGATCTTATAAAATATGTCGAATTCTAATATTGCTGCGCAGAACAGTTGCATTCTCTAATTTTATTAGTTTCTGCACTCGTCAGCCACAGTTTAGACGTAAGAAATAATTGGTACAAAATTACATCATACAGCAGGGTCAGGGCCAAGACAATGGGCAAAGAGCAACAGGCGTCAAAATCATCTTTATAAAGGACCCTAATAGTGAATTAAACTATAAAATCCCAACCCAATTACTTCACAAAGACAAGGGGTGCTAAAAATAGTCCTTTTACTGGCCCGCCAGGGGTGGGGTTGTTGTTTCACATTTTTCTATATGGATTGCTGCGGTTTCCTCACAGGGACGTTGCAGAATATTAAAACATTTTTATTACCGGTATTTTATTTCCACTTTTAATCCAATGTGACATCTTTCGGTTGTGGTGCAAATAGTAACCCAGTTGAGTAACTACTGTTTGAAGTTACTAGATGGCACTTAGTGACCTACATACATGTTATATTTGTTTTTAACCAACCCTTTATTTTATTTTGTTTATGAATGCCCTATTTTGAAATGTATTGTACTTGTTAGAATTTAAGACAGGGAGCCTAGTGAACACATAAATTTGGCATAGGTGCCAGAAATGAAAATGTCACCCCATAAATTAACGCCACATGCACGTTTAACATTCGATGGACTAAAAATTACTGTAATATCTCGACTACTTAGTACTATCTCAGTATATCTTGCGAGTTCATTTGTGACAATACACTGCAATAATTCCTACAAAACATTGCATGATATTTTTTCGGAATTTGAGATATAAATATGCAATTTTTGGACTATCAGGATGACTATTGTAGAGTTTTTGAATAACGTATGTGCCACAGTTCAAACTAGGTTTAAAAACGGGCTATAACAACTATAAATAAGATTATATGGTCATCATGAGGTCATCTCCTAAACAACCGAAAATTGTTGCAACAAGTATCTATAAAACTTAACCAGAAAGAGTTGAAGACAAACACCCAATTATAACAATTAGTGATGTGCTTAAACTGAAGAAATATAAATTTAAAAATGTACAATTAAAGGTTGAGCATCTTATAAGTTTACATGTAGGCTGATGTATAGGCCTACTCAAAATAATATTCAACAACCTTATCTTAGAAGCACCTGCCAGAAAATAGTTAACACTAATAACACTCCATCTTAGTTTAATTTATTTTAATCTTGAAATTACCCCTATGAAGCTCATTGTAACATAATAAAACCAAAATAGAAATAGAGCGTGGAGTGAAACAATCACATGGGCTAAGAAGGAGCAGAGAAAACAAACAAATCACCATGGTTCTCAAATGTGATGAGCGTGCAGGTCTAAACTAAAAGTTTAAGTATTAGATTTGGTAAAATTAAAAAATTGTAAAGGCTAAAAAGGTTAAAGGCTGTCTATGCTCATCAGAAGTACAATATATCAGAAAAAGGTGGTCATATCAATCTTCCAAGAAATAGTTAAGATGTATGTGCTCCTTCTCATGCCCATTTGTTGAATGAATTAGTCTAACTTATTACGGTGTACCTTACTGACACCTTTGTAATATTTATTCCCATACATAAATAAATAAAATAAATGTAACAGTAATAGTGAAATAGTGGCAAACTCAACTGGGTTTGTAAATTTGAATGTGTAAACTTAAAGTAGACTTAAAATAATTATATTTCAATAAGATCAAGAGATATTAATACATTTCTTAAACATATCAAAATTTGGTTTTAGATGGTAAACAGTAAGGGTGAACCATTACTAAAAACAAAGTGGGATGGAATTTAGATCGGCTACTTGAGACTTGGATAATTTAAGTAGGTAACCAGTGGGAGGGTCCAAGTCCAAGACCAATCAAAGGCAGCAAAAGCAAACTCATGAATGAGAATGCTAGAGAAATGTAATTGGTGTTTTTGAATGAAACTTAATTACCTAACGTAACCATTTGATGTGAACTTATGAAGGGCTGATTTTCAAAATGCTGTATATCCATTTTTGGGGTTTTGAGATACTCAACAAAAAATTACATACCAGGTTTAGAAAATTAATAGGAAATTAATTTTGTGTTTTGAAAATAAACTTTACCATGTCCTAAAGGAACCTAGTTTGATCTAGGTCATGTCCAAAAGGAACCTGGTTTGCTCTACAAGAAGGTATGTTTTTTTTGTAAATGGTGGACAATGCCACCACCTTTTGAAAATACGCTCTTCCTCTTCATATATTTTTTAAAATTTTAACAATTCAATTAAGACTTCTAAACTATAAAAGTGTCAAAGACTGTCAAAGAACAAATCCAAAGTCAAAGGGATGTTGTTATTGTTGAGATTAGGCCCAAGCCCAATGGCAGTATATAGGCCTACATCAAATGTCAACATTGACTAAATCATTTGACTTTCGTTGGTTTATTTATCTTCATCTTCTGTAAATAGAGTGAACATAATAAAATTCAACTCCCAATCATGATGAAAGTGGGCCTACACACAAATAACAGCCCAATGTTTAAATGAGAAGGACCTTCTGATAGAAGTTAATGAATTGAAAGCAGGCTTTATTAATGACCAAAGAATCCTTGTGTGGCTTAAATCAAAATCTTAATCAAGTTAATAAGACAGGTCTTGATGGATAGTTTTAGTTTAGTGTAAAGTAATAGTAAGTTAATAGTACCAACAACAAAAAATAGCAATGGTAATACTAGTTACAATCCAATACATATTAGGCGTTGGAATCAACAATTTGTAAAATATATTTAATAAAGAACTTACCTGTTTCTCCTCGATGTAAAGTTATTTCTGATATAGGCAGACCTTCCGTCATATTTAAAACCGGCGCAGGCATTTTGGTGTGTTGAATCCTTTCCCACCCGCAAGATCAAACCCGGTCACACAGGGAAACGTTGCTATTTTCGTGTTGATTGATGTCTACTTACGAGGCTATTCTCCCAACTTTCAGGTCGAATAGACTGCTATATCCTAAAAGTAGCCTGCCGGTTGATGACCGGCGTTTAGGTCAAGCTCTTGCTTTTAATGAACCTATTTTTTTTACTTTGATGTAACTTTAACATAATAAAGTTGGTATCAAAACATGTCTGTCCATGAGAGGAAAAAGAAGGCGTATTTGTTGCGTTGTGACATGACGTCATATGCTAAATCATGACGTATGTCACTTGTGTACCCACATTATCACCATTCCTTGGTCGAACCACAAAAATAATCGCAAGACCACGTTCTTTGCTTTATATTATATTTTATATTATAATTATAAATTTTCCTTGGTTAATAACAAATATTTCAGGCTTAAATTGATAAGCATGCAACTGTCCATAGATACATTTCAATGGGGAAATCATCAATGTTCTTATATATTATATATTTTCATTTAAACTTAGAAAAAAAAAAAAAACAGTGCCGCATCCATGGTGGAAACTATTTGTTGGAAGGTGATGATAGCCTACCATTTCTTCTCATCGTTATTTTGTTGAATAAAACATGCGCTCATAGCAAAGAGACTGAAAATTAGCAACTTCTCTTTGCCCAAAGAGATTTAAAGTAACGTTTAAAAAATAGGCCTAGACTTTAACACAAAAAAAGGGAAAAGGGGGGGGGGGCATAAAATTCACCCTTGTTAACATGACGTGACCTTGAAAAGTAAAAAAAAAAAAAAAAAAACTCCAATAATAAAATGACGTCGGGTCCGACTGCAGATGACTTCAAATAAAAATGTGTGTGTGTGTGGGGGGGGGGGGGGAAACATAGTTTACTATTTAAAAAAAAAAGGGGGAGGTGGGTTGAGAAATATGACGCTACATCATTCGGATCATAAAGTGTTATAGTAGGCCTTAATAGCCGACTTCCAGTTGCAAAAAAATATAAATTAATCATGTAGGCCTATGTAGCAAGCACTACTGCTTAAAGTTAATAGTCTGGTCCAGGCCGGAACAACATACGACCCGCCAATACTCACTATGCCGCCCGCGAATTAACGAAATATTCTTTTTTTGTTATATTATTATCATAATAGCGCCCCCCCCCCCCCCAACTGGCCTATTTTCTTTGGACCCGCACAATTTTTTCATAAAGTATTACGACCCACCTTATATTCTGATTTGTGCAGGACTGGCCTGGACAATATTCAGTTATAATTAGAGGATGAATATTTTCAAATGAATTTATTGCTAATTTCAGCTTTACAATTTGTATTTGTATGCTTTTCTCATCCTTACAGCATCAGAGTGCATCGCCTTATTACTATTAATATAAATACAATAAGTAAAAGTGATCGGAAACGTGCTTAACATTCAGTGTGTTATTATTTATTTATTAGTATTGATCTGATATCTGTTTCTGTGCGTGCAGTGATTTGAGATACCATATTTTTAAAAATAAAAAAAGTGTGGGGGGGGGGGGCGCTAAATTTTTGTATATTTAGTATTGTTAATATACAATATAATACAACCCTAGAAACTTACCATGACCAAATCCCACCCGAGTCGAATTTCAAAATTTACCCCCCCCCCCCCCACCCACAGACAATAACACTACTTCAATTTTATTTACAAATCCTAAAAGTGCACCCTTTCCCACTCAAGTATTGTCCCAATTTATTTAATGAATTATGACATAAGCTTTCAATTCAAATTAAAAAAGGTCCTTTAATGCGTCTCCTCAAATTTTAGTTTAAGAATATACCAACATACTAGTGTGCTTTATTGAACTATTTAAAATTATTAATAATGTGTTAAACTGGATGTGTTGGTGAATTTTTAAAAAGTAAACGAATTTTCACGTGCTTTGTATTGTTGTGTTCGCGGAGTAAAGCGTCAAGACGAAAAGTACGTTTTATTTGCCTGTTTTGATTTGTTTTTCAAGTTCAAACTTCAGATGGCAACATAAGTGGTTCTGAATATTTCTATACACAGTTGCAACGCGGTCTCTACTATATTATCTTTTCAAACAGTGTGAATATGTGGAATTTCGCTAATTATAATGTTATATAAGGGGCATATTACTTTAAAAAAAAAAATATATGTATCTTTTCTTTAGTCACTACAATATTATTAATCATAACATACTTTGTATTAACTTATTTTCCGTACAAATAGAAATCATTTTAACGATTATTTGTTAAATATCAATCGATTTTTAAAAAGTTTAACCTCATTCAAAGAAAACAAAAATTATTTGTAATTTACATAAAATATAAAAGAATATCAATCATATACATTTTAAACAAATTTATTTGGTGGAATAAATATTACTTAGTATTTTAATAAACAATATTATATTTTCTACATAAAAAATAGAAACGCTATTTAGAAATACAACATCTAAATAAACAATCGGATTAAACTTTTTAAAAGCTTTTTTTTTTCTTACCAGAATACATAGGTAATGCTAATCATACAATTTTGTTTTGTAATAAACCAATTGTCGTTTGGAGCAAGTTTTTAAAGAAGTGATTGGCGATTTATTGAATTGTTTATTATTGGAAAGGTTGGTTGGTCTTGTGACTTAGTTTAAGTTAATCTCTTTAAAGGAAATCTATTATTTTGGCAAATAAATTAATCGCCATTGACGAGTGAACATTATTAATGGTAATAGTAATATAAGGGGGAGAGACTGAAAAATCAGGTTAGAAAAATACTCATACTCTGATAACAAAATTAAAACTTTAAAAAAAAATAAATCAATGACATAGTTGAATAGAGCTAATTTTTAAAAGAATTATAACACCAAAATCATATTTTTAGCTGTTGTAGTTTTAAAGTTATGAATTTTTAAAGTACGACTTAATTTGTCCTTTTTTAACATGGACCGCATCTCCACATTCTGTGACCCAATTCCGCTGTTCGCGTCACGAGCTATATAACTCTTGTTTTAATGATAATTTTATTTTCAGAACTAATGCTGTATTAAAAAAATTTGTCCTTTTTTAACATGGACCGCATCTCCACATTCTGTGACCCAATTCCGCTGTTCGCGTCACGAGCTATATAACTCTTGTTTTAATGATAATTTTATTTTCAGAACTAATGCTGTATTAAAAAAATAAGTTTAATAATGTTAACAATTATAGATAAATTTTAGCTTATCTAACTATGCATTATTTCTATCAGTAAATTTAATATAATGTATTAATATATGGCTTTTCTGTTTACCAAATCTACGACGTTCATTATACCAATATTTGCTATATAGTCTATATAAGGCAACTCATGCCCTAATTACGAAAATACTGTTTGGGAACTATTGAACTTTCAACTTTGTTACATGACTAATTAATTAAAGCTTTCCCTGACCTAGTTGAATAGTTTTTGCACACGGCAAACTTTTATGAATGAAATCTCTGAGATAGTAGTAAATAATAGCCCTTATGCAAGTCACTGTGAATGGCTGCCATGACATTTTGCACACGGCGAATTTTGATCATGTATAATATGGACTCTACCGGGTTTTTTAACCTCAAATTAAAATATTATTCTTTCAATAACATTTAAATTCATTCTAAAACATAAGTTATCAAATATTTTGATGTAAATAGTGGAAATAATTAAATATTTCCTAAGTAACGGCGGCGTCCGCCACTGAAAGGGGGCGTGGCCACTTCCTTATCGAAATTGGGCTGAGCTACATTACCATATAGGGGTTCACTCAAGTGAGCATAACAAGTGATCGACATGTCCTAACTCAATGAGAATTGACACAAATACACATCGATAGATAATACAGAATAAGACTTTTTTTTAAAGACATAAAAGTTGAACTTCTATACGAATTTTATAGTGAAAGATGCCTTATATTTACAGGGGAATCTCAAAATACAGGTCGATTGAAAATTTTAAAAAAATCGATGTAAATGTAGGCCAACATGTCTACCTAATTATAAGGCCGGAAACGGAACTCAAATATATATCGAAAGCACTCATTTAATAATAAATAGACACACACATCGGAAAATTAAAAACTCGGATTTTTCGGCGCCGATTGCCATTTCCGATACACAAAAAGTAGTAGCCTCCCTTGGTTTACCGAAGTATCTAGTATGAGTGAATAGGCACTTGCATACAAAATTTTAAAAAATTGAAATAATTTTTTAAATAACACAGTTAGTTAGAGCAAATTTCAAATAAAAAAATGAAACCAGAATCAACTTTTTAGCTTAAGTACTTTTTGAGCTATAAATTTTTAAAGTGTGAGTTCCTTTGGCTTTGGTATTTTTTACTATGGACCATGGACGAAACTTCCACATCTTTTGACCTCATTCCGCTGATCGCGTCATGCGCAATGACTATATACTTTATATAAGGCAACGCATCGCCTTATCACTAAAATACTGTTTAGGGTCGACTTATTTTAAACTTTCAACTTTGGCACATGAATAATTAATTAAAGCTTTCCCTGACCAATGGTATAGTAGTTTTTGCACACGGCAAACTCTTATGAATGAAACTCTGAGGTAGTACTACGATACAGCCATTATGCAAGTGGCTGTGAATGGTTGCCAATGACAACGTGTTGCACACGGTAAATTCTGATCATTTATAATATGGATTCTACCGGGTTGTTAAAGCCCAAATTAAAACATTCCAGTTTAAATGTCTTCAAAATGCATTCTGAAACACAAGTTATCAATTATTTTGATGTAAATAGTGGTAATAAATTAATATTTCCTAAGTATCAGTAACTTCCGCCATTAAAAAGGGGGCGTGGCCCACCCCATGGCGAAATTAGGTTGAGCGAGCTGCATGACCTGCTGCGAACGCGTAGAAACATTGCATCTCTCGTAAGACACTCATCGCTGTAGATCAATAGATTCCCCAGATGCAAAAAAAAGTTGGTAGTGACAAATTTTTTCCTTCGACTTAATTTTAATGATGAAAGTTGCCTTATATTTACCAAGGATTTTCTCAAAGCTGACTGATTGTAAATGAAAAAGAAATTGATTAAAATGTACGCCAAGATGTCTACCTAATTATAAGGCCGAAAACGGAATTCAAATATATATCGAAAGTACTAATATAATAATAAATAGACACCCACATCGGAAAATTAAAATTTTTCGGCGCAGATTTCTATTTCCGATACACAAAAAGTAGTAGTCTCCCTTGTTTCATCAAAGTATCTAGAGTGAAACAATAACAAAGTAAAGTTGAAGAAAGTAGACCTATGTCATTTTATGTCAAATATGTGGAAATGGAAACCTGAAAGAAAAAGAACACAACACAAGGAACGTATCGACAAGAAGTCTTTATCAGTGAACAAAAAACATTAAAAACATAATAAATAAAATAACGCTTAGCTGCAATGTAGTATCCGAGAGGACAGAAAGAGAAAGGGAACCGTTATAGGCAGTCGGCTGCGCATAACCCTGAGAATTATAGGTAGTCGACTGCGCATAACCCTGAGAGTTACATGCATTTGACTGCGCATAACCCTGAGAGTTACCTTTATCGATTGATACTGTAACACAGGAAGTATATAGACCTCACGTAACTTGCCAACTGCCTATAACCACTTCGAAAGAGAAATGTGACAGACCAAAGTAGGTGAGAGATTAAATACAGTCAATACAATCATACAGGCTAAATGGGACAGAGAAGAGGAAGAAAAGTAACTCCACTGTGATTGGTCGTAACAAGGAGGGGCGGAGAAAAGGTTTAGCTGGTGAATGAGAATGCCATGTTGTTTCAAGGTTCCATAAGTCTGGATCAGCTTGTTTTCCAAATTCACCCGGTTTGGTGTGTTTGTACAGGACATGATTGTCATGAATGCACTAATAAAATTATCAAAACCCTTGTGGTTGCTATATGTTATATAATATTACGGCTGTGTTCAGTACATCTGTCAGAGAGTTGGCATCCTGTCTAAAGAACATGATTTCAAGAACATCTCTTTGTCTCCACTCTGCAACTCTAATCTTTAAAAAAAGAGAATCAAAGGCACTCTCTACTGAATTTTCGCATGTATAAGACATGTTTTATACAAAGTTTTACGTACCCTGAAAACAAGGGGAGTCTTATATATATATATATATATATATATATATATATATATATATATATATATGTGTGTGTCTTATAAAATATATTTTTTACAGAAATCATATATATTATATATATATATATATATATATATATATATATATATATATATATATATATATATATATATGGGTGTGTCTTATGTAAAATATTTTTTACAGAAATCATCAATTTATTGGTCTCTGTATGGTACTAATCCCACTCGCTGAAGACTTGCCATAGCAGATCTGGCGTTTATTGTTTATAGAATCTAGATACCAGGTACTCAACCCATCCGATATTGGCCTAGCAGCAGATAAGAATAAACAATAATCGTTGCGGTCCTGCCTCAGACAATTTTTTGATCTACCGGTAAACTAAAAATGGTAACGAGGCCTTGTTTACATCCGACAGGTGATGAAACATTGGACAAATTTTCAATTATGATAAAGGAAAGGAAACCATTAGATATAAATTGCTCAGTTCTGCAGATGGCTAGGCCTCATGCGTACGGTATCTAGTGATTTTGGTTTACACAAATTGTCAAAGCCTGCATCTTATATATGGGTGCGTGTTATGTACACAAATAATCAAAACCCATGTCTTATAATTAGGTGCGTCTTATATGTGAAAATATGTGCGAAAATACGGTAAGCTACATATCCATAAAGATATTATCATCAGACCAGCTGAAAAAGGTGGAGCCATTGTGTTGGACAAAAATCTATCAATTAAAGAGGCACACACTCAACTAGAAGACAGGTTTCTAACCACTTCCTAAAATACACAAGTATGGTACCCTGGCACTGGCAGACCCCAAAATACTTTTGAATCTAGCATTGTCCCTCCTGAAAAGAAACATCATCTATTTCAGCTTGATGTATGTTTTCTTTAGACTTCAGTCCCCCCATACTGACGGCCCTTTAGCTTAAAAACATTTTCTTGAGAGTTAACCCGAATCTTCTATATCTACCAACACCCTCCTCTGAGCCTCGTTCTCACCCCCAATTCATTTGAATTTAGATGCCAATTCGTTGACCAAATCAGTGGTGTTGCTATGAGGACTAAAATGGGACTCAGCTTGTTCATGGGACATTTTGAACACAAGATAGAAAAAAAATTACACTGGACGCCTCCCTGAATTCTACAAAAGGTACATAGATGATGGAATTGGAGTCACCACTAAGGACAGGAGTGAACTTCACATATTCATCAACTGTGTAGGCTCTTTTCACCCCTCCATTGAATTCACATCTCTTGTCTGTGAGACAAATTCACATTTCTTGTCAGTGAGACCTCATTTAACTTCTTGGACATTATCAGTCACCCTTCACAAAGATAGCCTACTCACTTCTGCCTACTTTAAACCTACTGACAGCAACAGCAACTCTCCTAATTGAAATTTGGACCTTAACTTATAAATTAAGTTCAGGTCCAAATTTCAAATAGGAGAGTTGTTAGGTAATCGCTTGATTTGGTGCAGTAAATTCAAATTCAATGCACATGGAAAAAGGGTTGTTTCAAAATTATTCATGGTTACCTTTTTTTAAGTTAATATTTTTATATTATGATTCAAATGATACGTTACTTTTATTAGGCTATTTACATAGGATACATGGTCTTGGACAGGCAGTGATTCAAATATCCTTACCACTGTACCACCATATTCTATGTCTCATTGTGGTATTACAAAGCAAGAAAGAAGAAATCACAAGCACTGAAAATATATTTTGCCTCCTTTGCTTTACTTATGATTCTTCTGCCTGAAAGTTCTGGCTTTAGACCAAGACAAAATACCAATAATTATTAATTATTTATTATCAAATTATTTAATTTAATATTTCAATATAATCTAAAACATGAGATATATTAAACAATTAGTATTAAGTTATTCGAAATCAATGTAACTGATGTTAAGTACAGTAATTAAAAAAAAAAAGAAAGAAAACTTAATACTAATGGTTGAATATGCTATAATCTCATACTATGCAGTAATTTGTACATCAATAAACACAACCACAATTAAGAGCCAAATAAAATGTCGGTTGAGTTAAAATGATGTGAGACATTGTTTATGATAAATTTTTTGAAATTTTTTGCTGAGTCTACCCGCTATTTAGTTTCACCAAAATAACACATTTGACAGTGTTGATAACAAATGAGCCATTGTAGCAGAAATATGACAATTAATATTTTTAAAATCTTATTTATATAACTTGTTAGCATTTGTTTTAAATAGCCAAGAATGCACAAGGTGCTTTTAAGGACAAGAGTGTGTAAAATCAGCAATTGATGATATTCTAGTTATTTAATATAAAATTTGTTTAAAAATTAAAAATGTAGATCAGTCGTTTCTATCTATGTAAACTTTTTAAAAAATGTAGATCAGTCGTTTCTATCTATGTAAACTTTTTCTTAATGAACTATTTTATATCTTCCTCAGTACCATATTGAATGAAATCTGCGCTTAATACTAACAGACACAATTTTCCAAATATCAGGAGCATTTAGGGTGCTTCTCAGTTTATGCTTCTTCCTTCATTGTGTCTTAATAATTGAAGACAATGGCTGATCTGGCAGAAATTGCTGCTGCTGCTGGTATATCTATAGTTGATGGCAACCCTGGAGATGGGGGAGATGCAGGCAGCACAGGAGGTCATGCTGAAAATAGACCCCTTTTACGTAATCCATTACCTGTAGAATCTGGGGATCTATGTCTGCATTCTGAAGTTCTTGAATATGAAGGGATGTTTGGTAACAGATACACAGAGTCTGATCCTGATTATCTCAAGACAGTTGAGGATAACGAGTCATCTAACAAGCCACCCTGTGTTACAAACTTTAATGTTAGACGACAAAGAGACGATAGTAGAAACTGGAATAGAAATCGTGGAGGACATGGACGGTATGATGGAGGCCAAGGTCATTATGGAGGAGGCGACAGAGATGGTCACAGAAGCAGGGGAAATCATCAAAATAATTGGGGTAGGCAAGGTAGAGGGGGTGATTGGGGCAGAGGGGATAACAGATCAAATGACCGTCCAAGAAATTATGATAACAGAAATAGGGACAGATCACCATATAGATAGTTTTATTTCTTTATATTTTATGTATATTAATAGCATTTGTTTGGAATATTTTTCTTTAAACAAGTGGAAGAATTTGTAATTGTGATTTTCTTGTATTTATCTTCAATAAAAGCACATTTCTTACATACTCTTTAAAAGTTCTTTAAATCTTTATGTTTGACAACTGGTTACAAAAGAAGATAGTAATAATAGTAATTTACACTTAATGGCAAATAATGTACTTAGCTGTTTTGTTAGTGTGTGTTTGGTACCCATTTTCAGCTAGATACAGCTAAGTATGGTAAACTTTGGTTTGTTCACAAATTACTGCAGTCAAATGAAGATTTAAGCATAGACTTTATTTCACTATCTTTTTCTCCATATCTAAAATCGAATAGAAACCAAACGTGTAGAATATCTTTGGTAAAAATGGTCAGCTCTCTTTGAATTTTCGTGAGTTTTCCACATTCTTTTTAGTCTCATTTGTCAGGAGGTGTTTGATCCAAGCTAACATTTGTGCCCATCACCCTAGATATTATGCACTACTTTATTGTAACCAGCTCTAACATACATGACTGCATTCACATATCTATCCCCTTCAATAATTTTCTTCATTTAAAATTTGTGACCAAAAAATGTAAAACCAACTTAGACTAATTCAAACTAATTGCTTAATTATTTTAATATACAGTATTAATATTGAAGAAATTTTTAATCCTGAACTTATTTAACAATATACCGGCAGCTGAAATAAGTACAAACTGGAAACAATAAAAACTTTTTAAATGCTCTAAATAGAAGAAAATACCGGTAATTTAAAATCTTAAAATGCATTAGGAAAAGTGCACAAGTGTTAAAAAGCAGTCTACATAAAAGATTTGAATTAAATTTAAAGGTAGACAAAAATTATGTTTTTATTTATATTAGTATTTGAAAATATTTTCTGCATAAACTATTTACTTTTTTAAACAAGAAATGCCTACAAAATCCCCTAAAGTGACTCAACTCTTGACCTAGACATAAAACAAAAAAAATATAATTTAATGGCTGTGGCATTTTCATACCGTAACCTGGCTGCGACCCATCTGTTGTTCCCAGTCTGCATTATGCCCTGCCCCTAACCACTTCTGAAACATGCCTCCAAAAAAATCCTACAGCTCTCTTACTCTTACCAACCCTTCTCCTGCCTTTTCTGAATGAAGAAGACAAGACATGATAAGCCACAATCTACAACAAAAACACTATAAACTACAAACCCCATGGATTTATGAATGTCAAAACAAAAGAAATACTGTGTTAATCATAGAAGTTTTTTTATTATGAATCCTTTTTATTTTTTAAATTAATTACCTATTGTCAACATGATTAAAACAAATGTCCTTTTTTTTCAATTATGAGAAAAGAAAACAAGCTCTGTGTAAAAAAAATAAATAAAGGAATACAGCATTTTGTAAATAAAACCTTAAGTTATCAATTTTTTAAATTGTAATACATCTGAAGACATTTTATATTTTCACTATTATAATACACTATACATCTTGTACCGGTGTCCAATTTAAAAAATAAATTGAAATCGTAGTTTTAATAAAAACGAGTCACTCTCCACTAATACTCAGTAAAAATTACAGATTTCAACAGCTGAATATAGCCAATTAAAGAAATACAACAGTCAAACTATTGCTATAATTGTAAACCTCTGTAACAATTATATTGGGTATTTTTACACACAAATTTATTGACAATATGTGATAAAATTTGAAGGGTTTTTAAAAGAAATGTGTATTCTTCACATCACATTCTGATGACAAATCAATCAATATTCAAGCTGCAGACACTATTAACTATAAATTGGAGCTTTTTCCTAAAACTAAAAGCAATTTCATTTTTCAAATGCTAAGCTAAATTTAAATGAATCTAGCAGAATAATACAGTTAATTACTATTTCTATTATGTCTTGTTAGTATTAATACCAGTGATTTTAATTAAAAAACCAGAGGACATTTTTTACACTTTTCCCCCAACAAGATAAGAGTGAGTTTTTAAAAAAATAATATTCAAATTTCAAAATTTCACAAGTTATAAATGAAAAATGGTAAGGGCGATAAGATTTTAAAAAAAAAGGAAGATTAAAACTTAAATGTAACAAAAACTTGGTCTCAGAAAAAGAGTTTTTGTAATCATCCCAGCTGTACACTTTTGGTCCATTATCTTTTTTACAAATAATCAGGGGGCAAACTTGACTTAAAATTAAAATATTAAGTGAATTTTTTAACTAATTGGCACAGGCTCCTACTAATATAAAGGGAAGATTCAAACTTATTATAACAACCTAGTTCTTCTTCTTCTATATATTAAGGGCCCACGATCAAAGTACCTTATTGATCATCCTGGCTCCTATGTATGTAGAGGGATTTGTTTAAGGATTATGAAATATTTTTTTCCCCTTCTAATAAGTTAATGAAGGAGAGTTAAACTTTCAAGGTAAGATGCCCTTTATTACCCTTTGACTGTGTTGATTCAAGTACAGAAGACAAACCAATGCAGACCTTGGTCAAATCTTAAGTTAGCTGCTAAAACTAAAACCCATTTGACATAAGACATAAAACATTTAATGGGAAAGAATTTTAAAAAACATTTGGTTCCTTTTCAAAAATTAAAACCTATCAAAGACTCCACTTTCAAACAAAATTGCTAAACAATGTCATTGATAAATCACAAATTCAGAACCTCTGAATAAAACTAGTAAAAATTTGTGCAGAAGGGCACAGAGATGAGTCAATACATGTTAATTCAAGTTCAAGAAGTACAAAGAACTCATAAAACTTAATAAAATGTCCATTAACATTTTCAATAACTGATATTTCATGGCATACCATGACAGGATTTCAACAACCCTTTGTGATTTTATCAATTTCAAATAGTTCTGTTTCATTTCATAATGGTATGCAAAAAATGTTTTAATTTTACTATAGAGCTTAGTAAAATGAAAATTCTTATGGGACCATATATTATTATGGAATTATTTTGTGAGTTTAAACATTGGACAGACAATACAAAACATACAACTTGCTTTTTTTCTCATAAGCCATTCTATTTTTGTAAAAATGAATTGCATAGGTCCATTTCACCATTTACAATGTGAAAATTTTCAAGGATTTTAGATTGCATTAATTTAGCACACATATTTTTAATTTAAAAGTAGATTTAAGATAAGAATTAAATGTCCCAAGCTTTTTTACACAAGCACACAATTTACTGTAATGAGTGGTAATTCAAATTAAAAAAACAACTTATATAAAAGCGAAGATGCATTTAGCATCTGATCAATATTTGGATGTGACGAAAAAAACCAAAAAATCATTGTCCGAGCAAGAGTGTTATTTATACTGCTTTGTCTACAACGTTTTTATGAAATTCAGTCAGGTTAACGAAAAAAACAAAAATGAAAATTGTATAGTAGAATTTTATTACGGCATAAATAAAATACTTGAGATTTAGCAAATAATAAATGTGAATACCTAATAATTGCTCAGCAAAATAAAATAAAATAGTTTATTGTAGAAATTAGCTGCACTAATCTGGTATTGTCAGTTCATGATTTTAATATGTGCGGTATAAAATAACAGAATAAATTAACACTTGATGAAAGTATGATAAGAGGCCATATCATGGACCTTCTGCAATGTGTGTAGTTATGAGATTACTTGTCTACTACCTTTAAGGGAGATCATTACAGATGATAGTTTGATTTTAAATGAATCCCTTTCATAAAATGTTTGTTTTTTTTGCTTTTTTTAAAACCTCTATTATCGTTTTATAAATACACTAATTAACAATAAGCTGTAATTATATTATATAACCTTTTCACTGTTGAATATGTGAAATTAAATATATTTATATTTATTAATTAATCATACTCAACGTTTGTAATATGAATTAGAATATAAGGTTACACTGAATAATAAAAGGACGCTTAAACCTGAAATGGGTAATTCATATCTCTAAGTTGAAGTAACAAACCAGGTTCAGTGATTATTTACACTCAATGTATAAAATCTGTACATGACTGACAACAGCAGTAAGAGTAAACAGTTCAAGGGGGAAAAAAAAATCTGTTGACAATCCACTTGGAAGGTTGACGTTTTGTTGTTTATCTAATAGCTAACCAGGAAGATATCCAATACCATGAACAAATCCTAGATTCTGCAAAGATGTGCATCATGCTTAGTTTCTATGACTAGGTGTTGGAAGTGTCCCCCACCTGGCTGGCCCCACCAGAAGCTATCACATTATTGTTCCCTCCTATGTGCAGACTGCATGATTTCTCTGCTGAAAGACTCTTCTCCGATCCCCTGGGGCTGAGATCAATGACAGGAGATGGGGACATGGATGGCCATGAGATGTTGTTAACCTGATTCTCAGATGACCTGCGAGCCTCCAGGTTAAGTTGGTTTAGAATGTTCATACTTGCGGGATCATGTGGAGGAGGCTGCAGCCGGCCATTGACAAGCTCCCCCTTGTCATTTGCATCCAAAACTTTGACAATGTGCTCAAGTAAAATACCAAAGAAGTTGTCTATAGCTTCAAAACCTATAAACATTAGATATAAATATATAATGGAAATGACTTGTATTGAAAGAAAATATTTTTCACACAATGTAATATGTTCAAGGAATTAAATGCCAATATTTACAATTTATTTTATTAAGGTGAAAAGCAAAAAAAAAAAGAGATTTATTACAAGTCTAGGAAATTAACTTGTCTAAAGATGTGTACTCTAGCCAACACAACACAGCCCAGACCATAATTTTAATAAGAAACGAAACTATTTTTTATGCGATCTGACTGGCAACTGGCTGTACACTAAATATTTTGTGGTCTTCCGTAAATTACGCCACGCTAAAATTTACCTCTTTAGATAACCCCCCCCCCCGTCACGAAGTGTCACAAATTCTTTAACCCCCCCCCCCCCCCTCAGTGTCACGCCACACCTAAAAAAAATTCAAAACATGCATAACATTTTCTTAACTAAACTAAGATTTGATTTTATTCTTTTACATTTTCCCATAATGGGTTAAGATGTAGTATTATTACAAAACTGAGTTTCCTAGTACCTATAATACCGGAGGCAATTTCGAACTCAAATTAATGTTTTTAAAATTAATTAAATAAAGATTGTTTTTTTTCAAAATTAGGAAAATTTTAAGGAGGGCCGTAATGATGTATTCAAAAACTTGTGCGCGGGTCGAATGAAAATAGGACCTGGGGGGGGGGGGGGGGNCCCCCCGAGCGTGACGTAATTTGCTAACGACTCCTAATATGGTCAGATATTAGTCATTTTTGACAGGACAAATTGAATAGTACATAATAAAGATTGGTTCCATGTTGATTAAAATGCTAAAAGTAAAAGTTACCTGGAAAGAAGTTGATGTCAATGATACCATACTGGTTGGTCTCACTATCAATGATAACATCAAATCCAAACAGATCAAGTTCCATCGCCTCCCTCATGCTCTGACCCAAACGGTCAAGATAAACCCAGTCTGGTTTGGTCGGCTGATTCTCCAGTGTGGCATAGTCAACCTGGAAATTGACATTTAAGATCATTTAATTTTCTACAAGAGTGCAGCCCTTTTTTTTGTTGACTTGAAGAAATCTGTATGCTTTTCTCTTCTTTTGTTACAAAGTCACAAGAGTCCTTTTCATAAAGTTCAGCAAGGGTTTCTAAGTTCATGGGTGACGATGACATGCTAAGTTTACTAACCTAACAAGTTTAGATGATAAAACAAACATATTGATATAGAACTTATTGAAATTAATGTAGAAAAGGATATTGATCATCTTTTAGATATATGTAACTGACTTCCGAAATTTATACTGTTACAATAGTAGATATACTGCCCATGGGAGGGGGGGGGGGGGGTTTAGTGCATGTGTGTGACCATGGTGACCTTGTGAAAATTCAACTTCAGAGATAACTGAAAGGTTATTCTCTAAATAACCATAGTTTTTAGTGATTATAAAAGTTAATTCAATTTTATATGTAATAAAAATTTATATAACAATGACTTCGCACATTTTATACTTTGTTTCTTTATGAAATATCATCTACATTTTTAAAGGGAGTTAAGTTCCTTTGCTTAGGCAGGTGAGATATTTTCTGGTAAAATAGGCTAAGAAGAACTGAATTTAAAAATAGCATAAAATAACAATAAAACACATTTAATTGTTAATGATACAGCAAGCCTCCTCCCATGACACACCCACTGATATGCTAAATCTCCAAAATCAAGAATTCCCCTAAGTTGTCATATGTTATTGTTCATACTTTCAGGAAAGGCTCCCTCCCCTACCCATATGCAAAAATCTCCACAACCAAGAAGCCCCCCCCCCCCCCCCTTGTCATAATTTGGGAAGGCATCACCCCCCTCAATTGTAATATGGAAATGGCATCCCCCTCAGTTGTCAAAATATGGATGGCCCCAAGAGAGGTTCACCACTAGAATAGTTTTAACTCACAGCATTCAGGGGATGATCTGAATCAGCCTTGGACACTTCCTGCGTGTCAAAGAAAATAGTTGGGTGAGCTGTAACAAAGAAAATAGTTGGGTGAGCTGTAACAAAGGAAATAGTTGGGTGAGCTGTAACAAAGAAAATAGTTGGATGAGCTGTAACAAAGGAAATAGTTGGTTGAGCTGTAACAAAGGAAATAGTTGGATGAGTTGTAACAAAGGAAATAGTTGGGTGAGCTGTAACAAAGGAAATAGTTGGATGAGTTGTAACAAAGGAAATAGTTGGGTGAGCTGTAACAAAGAAAATAGTTGGGTGAGCTGTAACAAAGAAAATGGGTGAAATGCACACAAAAAAACAATAGTTGAGTGAATTAAAACAAAGAAAATAGGTGAGCTGACATATTTGAAAAATGTAACAATGCATACAATAAAAAATACCTCAAGATAAACTTTAATATACTGCAATAATATTTATGTTTGTTCAGTCTTTTCCTCTTCCTCTGTAATTTAATATTTTAATGAGTCCAGGGTGATTTGTATTGTTTTTAAATAGAGATTTTAAAAAAATACTTACGTCCTGGATAGAGGTTCTTAAGAGACGGCCTCTGAATAATGAACTGCTTGCAGCCAACAACTAGAATCTTATATAAGATCGCATTGTGGTTGATAAAAGACTGGGCAACACACGGTGGGTCAATATCTTTCAAAGACTCTTCATTGAAGATAATGGACATCTAAGGAATAGAAATTCAGGCCAGATTAAATCATGACCTGTAATTCTAAATATCAAATGAAATATCTATCAATGAAAGCTACTTTAGAAATTAGTTGCATTTTTAAACATTTGTTTATAAGGCACTATCATGTATATAATAAAGAAAAGGTACATTTCCAAAGATTAAAGTGTGATCTATGCAATTTCCTTATAAATGTTTGTAAATATATATCATAATTTTAAAATATTATAATAATGAGAGACATTTATAAAACAGAATGTGCCCTTACTGTGCTTTGTTCTACTTATTAAAATCTATTAATATCAAATTAATCTTATTAAAAACTGAAATACAAAAAATCATATTAATACCAATAGGATTTATAACATGACATGACAAGTGCATTAGACAGGGAGCTAATTACTAGATATTAGTGAGGAAATCAATCACAAAATTATCTTATAGAAATAAAATGAAAAAGAGAGAAGATGAAGATAATATGTTTTTATGATTGCCTAAAGATACCTGATGAGCATAGGTTGATCCATGGGCCAGAATAGGCTTGCATACTGCAATAAGAATGGTTTTAGTAAGTGTGTTTCTGTGTGTCAGTTTTTGTGTTTCTGTATGTAAACTTGAGAGTTTAGCATGTTTTGGTCCATTTTGAGTAGAACAAATGGCTGCATGGTGGGTTCGGGTGGCAAATGCATGCTTTTCACAGTTTCCACCCAATTAAGTTTTTTGTAAAATCATAATAATTGACACACATATTTTCCCTAAAACACCTGCAACATTCATTAAATTTAAATATTGATGAAACATAACTTGCTTTACACCCCCCCCCCCTCTCTTTTCCAAAGCCCTTTCCAGACACTTGCAATACTTCTTATATCTAAAAATAAATTTCCACTTTGTAAACAAATAAATACAGGATCTTTGTCACCTCAAAAAATATTTGTGTAAAATAAATAAATAAGGAATTTTGTTCTTTCTTGTCAATCCAAGAGCAAACGTTACATAAGAATTTCTTTTTAAATCACAAAAATACAGCAAGATTAAATAGTTGAAATCACTCATGTAATTCAGGGCCAGCTACTCTATTGGAACTACACACTTATGGGAAAATGGTGTCAAGTTTCAAGAGGGATGAAGAATACAATTTTTACATCGATCTATAAGTCCTTGTAAAAATATTTTAAAAGGTTGAATATTTAATGGGTATGTTGAATGAAGGCCCCATGCAGTGTACAATTTTAAAATAAGCTTAATTGTTCGTTTTTTAAAAATAATAAATATTATTTGAAGAGTTAGGTGGGAAAACCCCTGCTTGGACTAAGTGAACTAAGATGCAAGACTCACCCAATGGGAATGTCACACCAGCTTTGGCTAGCTTATCCTTGTTCTCTTCAATGTCTGTAGAATTAAGCTCCACAAAAGTGGGTATCATGCAACGATGGTCTAAAATACAGGAAAAGATGGGCCACAAATACCCAAAATAAATTTGAAAAGGTTCATTGGAAAATGACATATGTAATGTATTGAAAGTTAACATTTGAAACTTGAGGACACCATTCATAACAAACCACTGATTGTTGTATAATTAAATAATGTTTTACCTACATAACTGCTTAAGATAACTTCATTAATATTGAAATAATAGCAAGTTTTTAACTTGGCAAAATGAACAAGATGAAAGATTTCACTGGACACCCAGCAGTGACATAGGTTTCACCTTTCATGATGCCTGAGGAAGACACCCTCTGATACTGGGTGTAGCGGTCCAGCAGCCGACGAATGCTGTCCAGCGGGTCCAAGACCACACATTCTGGATGCTTTTGGATGTAAGTCTGTAAATACAAACATTGGTTGGATGACTTTGGATTAAGTCTGTAAGTAAAAACATTGGTTGGATGATTTTGGGTGTAAGTCTGTAAACACAAACATTGGTTGGATGACTTTGGATGTAAGTCTGTAAACACAAACATTGGTTGGATGACTTTGGATTAAGTCTGTAGGTACAAACATTGGTTGGGTGATTTTGGATGTAAGTCTGTAAATACAAACATTGGTTGGATGACTTTGGATGTAAGTCTGTAAATATAAACATTGGCTGGATGATTTTGGATGTAAGTCTGTAAATATAAACATTGGTTGGATGTAAGTCTGTAAATACAAACATTGGTTGGATGACTTTGGATATAAGTCTGTAAGTACAAACATTGGTTGGATGATTTTGGGTGTAAGTCTGTAAATACAAACATTGGTTGGATGACTTTGGATGTAAGTCTGTAAATATAAACATTGGCTGGATGATTTTGGATGTAAGTCTGTAAATATAAACATTGGTTGGATGACTTTGGATGTAAGTCTGTAAATACAAACATTGGCTGGATGATTTTGGATGTAAGTCTGTGAATATAAACATTGGTTGGATGACTTTGGATGTAAGTCTGTAAATACAAACATTGGTTGGATGACTTTGGATGTAAGTCTGTAAGTACAAACATTGGTTGGATGACTTTGGATGTAAGTCTGTAAATATAAACATTGGCTGGATGACTTTGGATGTAAGTCTGTAAGTACAAACATTGTTTGGATGATTTTGGATGTAAGTCTGTAAATATAAACATTGGTTGGATGACTTTGGATGTAAGTCTGTAAATATAAACATTGGTTGGATGATTTTGGATGTAAGTCTGTAAATATAAACATTGGTTGGATGACTTTGGATGTAAGTCTGTAAATATAAACATTGGTTGGATGACTTTGGATGTAAGTCTGTAAATATAAACATTGGTTGGATGACTTTGGATGTAAGTCTGTAAAAACAAACATAGCTCATAGCTTTGAAAAACAAATTTAAATTATAATTTGAAAATAAATGTAAGTGTGTCAGAGTGTCAGATGTTTGATTGGTTTCCTTCATCAGACTCTTGACACGTTCATTTGTTGTGTACTAACAAGTCCTTTTCCATTAGTAATGTAACTTTACTCTGTAAACTTATCTAACACTTGTACTTTTCATCAGACATGTATCACCCAGCTGGCTTTAAGGAGGAGAAATAGACACAATCATCCCCCACAAAGTTCTTTCAACCCCTGCTGACAATAAGACGACAGTCTAGACAATATGTCATCATTACTATAAATATAGCTCAGCAAGAAAATGGCAGGAAGGGGTTCATTAACTAACTCACTGACTCTCTCATAACACACCATGCACAATAAAACACATTATCTTGTGTGCAACAATTAATAGTAAGGACACATCTAATTATATTATTAAAATAAATTAAATACACACATTCTCTTAACTGGTATTTACAGTTCAAATTTTCCTCTTTTTTAAGATGTAAACACTGTGCTTTCATTGAATAATTTTCAGTGGCCAACCCTTCTATTTAGGTAAAGAAAAGTTTAATATTATCCATTAAAGCTCATGATTTACCAGGAGAGACACTTTTTTTAAATAGAAGGTTTACTCTATACATAGCCAAATGTTGACTCTTGACAAAGGTTTACCCTAATCAAGTTGCCTTCAAGCTGTGGTAGCCCACACTCAAAACCATTACTAGAAAGCATTGACACCATTCAAGTGTGCAAAACCTATTGGCTACTCTGCGACGCCATTTCAGTTAGTAGTTGTATCCACGAGAAATTTTTTTATTATTGTTCCGTTAAATTAGAAAAAGTTGTATTGCATTACAAGTATCATATTAATTAGGCACAATGACAAAACAACTGTCACGACAATGTGTCTTCATTTACCTCAAAACACTTTTTGTGCACATTTCGTGACACACCAGAGGAAAAATACCATTCTCTAACTTGATCTTGAACCCCCCCCCCCCCCAACCGGGGGGGGGGGGGGGGGGGGCGCACTATAAAAATAGGTCTCATTTAAACATGGTGTCAAAAGCTCAATTCAGGGGAGATAAGATAACAAAGACGTTCCTAATCACTATAAGATAACAAAGACATTCCTAATCACTTAAACGAAATTGTAGAAAGTGAGTGTGGTCAAGAACTATGAAAATTAGCGTGGTCAACATCTAAGGTAGAGACTGCTCAATTGTGTGAAACATCTCAAAATACATTGGAAACATCTCTGTCATCATCCACAACAAGAAGGAAAGGGGGGGTGGGGGTGTCAATATATGGCTTGTTAGTGATAGTATCACTAGGTGATTGATAGAAATATAGTAATAGTGTATTGAAGGGATTACTAAAACAAACTAGAAACATCCTAATAGTTTCAGGAATTGATTTATAGAAATCTAGAAATAGTATCCTGAAGTAACTGATAGATTTATAGATGTAAAACATGCCTGAAAGTATGAGGTAAGTAAACATTGTGAGGTAGTGGACATTGTAAGTGGACATTGTGAGGTAGTGGACATTGTAAGTGGACGGACATTGTGAGGTAGTGGACATTGTAAGTGGACGGACATTGTGAGGTAGTGGACATTGTAAGTGGACATTGTGAGGTAGTGGACATTTTAAGTGGACATTGTGAGGTAGTGGACATTGTAAGTGGACATTGTGAGGTAGTGGACATTGTAAGTGGATGGACATTGTGAGGTAGTGGACATTTTAAGTGGACATTGTGAGGTAGTGGACATTTTAAGTGGACATTGTGAGGTAGTGGACATTGTAAGTGGACATTGTGAGGTAGTGGACATTGTAAGTGGACATTGTGAGGTAGTGGACATTGTAAGTGGACGGACATTGTGAGGTAGTGGACATTGTAAGTGGACATTGTGAGGTAGTGGACATTTTAAGTGGACATTGTGAGGTAGTGGACATTTTAAGTGGACATTGTGAGGTAGTGGACATTGTAAGTGGACAGACATTGTGAGGTAGTGGACATTGTAAGAGGACATTGTGAGGTAGTGGACATTGTAAGTGGACATTGTGAGGTAGTGGAAATTGTAAGTGGACATTGTGAGGTAGTGGACATTGTAAGTAGACATTGTGAGGTAGTGGACATTGTAAGTGGACATTGTGAGGTAGTGGACATTGTGAGGTAGTGGACATTGTGAGGTAGTGGACATTGTAAGGTAGTGGACATTGTAAGGTAGTGGACATTGTGAGGTAGTGGACATTGTGAGTGGGTGGACATTGTGAGGTAGTGGACATTGTGAGGTAGTGGACATTGTAAGTGGACAGTGTGAGGTAGTGGACATTGTGAGGTAGTGGACATTGTGAGGTAGTGGACATTGTGAGGTAGTGTACATTGTGAGTGGATGGATATTGTGAGGTAGTGGACATTGGGAGGTAGATAGACATAAGGTTTTACTATCTGTTCATGACCTTTTCAACACACATATCAAATGTTGGGAAGAGACCTCTATTGATCACTGCACACACACACATCAAATGTTGGGAAGTGACCTCTATTGACCACTGCACACACACATACATCAAATGTTGGGAAGAGACCTCTATTGACCACTGCACACACACATACATCAAATGTTGGGAAGAGACCTATATTGACCACTGCACACACATACATATCAAATGTTGGGAAGAGACCTCTATTGACCACTGCACACACACAGATCAAATAGTCGGTCGGGTCGGCAGTCGTTTTGATAGACCTAAAGTCCACACATTACAACCAATGGTTTTTTTGGTAGGTGTGGGTGGGGGTCAGTTTTCCTGTGTTCAGTCAATGATTCCAGTAGCTGGTCCACTATCTGTTCAATGCTTGAACCCTTGTGTCCGGTCATTCCTACTGTTGGGTGCCAAAAGTTGAAAGTGGTCCAGGAATTGGTTGGCCGAGGTCCGTTGATCAGTTGCTATTGGCGGCGACTTGTTTCTGTCAACATAGGCTGGCTGGCTGCGTACTTGATGGTACCACTTGAACACTACTTGATAGATCTGTCGTCATCCAACAAATCAATCAATAATCTCACACCATAGATATTGGTTATATTGACTTTTGCTGATGATATCTTTATTTTAAAAATATGTTGGAGAGGAACAATGTCTTACACATGGCCAAAAAATGCCGTTGTCCCAGCGATAATCTATTTACCCCCTCTAATATGTTAGACTTTATGATTACCATAAAATATATTGAACTCATTTTTACCCTTATATGTTACCCTTATATGTTGGATAACAGCCCTTTCCATTAACTGGACCACGGCCCTACCACCCACCTGGACCACGGTCCTACCACCCACCTGGACCACGGCCCTACCACCCACCTGGACTACAGCCCTACCACACCCCTGAACCACGGTCCACGGCCCTACCACCCACCTGGACCACAGCCCTACCACACCCCTGGACCACGGCCCTACCACACCCCTGGACCACGGCCCTACCACCCACCTGGATCACGGCCCTACCACCCACCTGGACCACAGCCCTACCACCCACCTGGACCACAGCCCTACCACACCCCTGGACCACGGCCCTACCACCCACCTGACAATAGCCTAGCCACCTACATGGAGTATTAGCCTGGCCACCCACCTGGACCACAGCCCTATCCACCCACCTGTACCATATCTCCCCATTATTGACATTGCACAAACACATAACAACAGCAAGATGAACAGTCCTGTAATAGAGTGGAGATCCCGTGTAGTTTATCCTCACCCCTCACGCTTTAGTGGGGATCCTTTAAAGGTTAACTTCACCCATCCTCCCCCGCCCCCAGTCCCGTGGCATAGTGTAGATCCCCTCACCCCCTCTCTAACCCCCCCGCCCCCAGTCCAGTGGCATAGTGTAGATCCCCTCACCCCTCTATACCCCCAGTCCCATGGGATAGTGCAGATCCCCTCACCCCCTCTCTACCCCCCTTATAGGTGATCCTCACCCCTGCCCCAAAAGGTGTCCAAGGTGACCATAGGTGTCATATGATAATCTAACCGAATAGATTGAGATTCTAAAAAATGACAACCACATGTGGAAATAAACGTTCAAAAAACACAATTAAAAGGCCCACATTTCTCCCATATGACCAGCTGTTTAACCAACAAGTTTAGCCAGGTTAACTAACAACAATGCCTACACCACGGTGCAACCGGCCCACACCCCAAAACACACCAAGCCTAACCACATCGGCCACGTCTTGAAAGTTACCCACAACCTTAACACATCAAGCCTAACCCAGACCTGTTTACTCTTACGATTTTGGCGTACAATGTACGATTTTGAGGTGTATGCATTATATACACTGTGTGTTTTTTTACTATTAAGATAATGTATTGAACGATTTTGTTATGATACTGTACGATTTTAAGAGTTTGGGGGTAAACAGGTCTGCTAACCACATCGGCCATGTGTCAAAAGTCACCAGTCGTTACGTCCACTATCTTGTACAACAATATGTTGAATAGTTGAGTGTAGTCTGTCGTTCAATAGTTGATTGTCCCTTCAAGGTTTGTTGTGTGACTATTGGCAACTGTCACAGTTGGCAACGCGAAAGCCGGTAAGCTCACAACCAAGATGACAAGCTTATTAGGGACCATGGAACAGCCCGAGGAAAGCAGTTCGGCCCGGTTGTACGCGAGAACCCGTTTGCAATCATACCGGCCGGCATTACAGTTGACACTCAAGCATGATACACACGATAATGCTGTGTCGTAAGCTCGAAACTCCACGCGGTGCAAAACTATCAACTCTATAACACACTATCTATTGTATAAATATATATCAGTGGTTCCCAGCCTTTTGACTTACGGAGCCCTAAATAAACCAATTTCTATGGGGAAGCCCCTTATCCCTGCCCTATGTTTTTATTCTTTTTACTGTTGTTTGTTCGCGGCTGAAGGCTTCTTGCCGACACGTTCGTTGTTGTTTTGCGCTCCCCCCCCCCCATATTTCGCTTCGCTTATTCCTTAAAACTTACAAGTTAATGACGTGTTTCCTGGAGTGGTCTCTGAGCACTTGACAGGTGCACGCAGATTGGGAACCCCTGTTGTATAGCCCTTTTCGGCGACTCCTCCTACCCTTAGGAGGCAGCAAGTTGAAACTGGACAACACATGATTCAACTACTTTACTCCTGACTTGACCCGAGTGGCCCGCTGAGGTTTACATTGAAAGTGTTGGAGGTTTTTCTGTCATAAAAAATCTACAGCTACTGAAACGTGAGAACCTCTGGAATCATGAGGATCCTTATGAAATAGGCTTTTAAGATTTTTTTCTATCTTTCATTAACACACTGAGTAGATCAGACCCCTATGTAACCCAATAACGCAGAAAACAGCTACCAACAGAGTGAGACCCGCTGCCATGTGCTCTATCGAACCAAGTGTATCGTGCCTAAGCACCTGATCAGGCCGGTTTGTGGAAGTAGGCCACATAAATATGGGGGGGGGGGGCGGGCTACAGTACACCAGTGGCAGTGAATCACTGGCAGATCAGCTATGACGTGTGCGAACTGACGAGCAACTCCACCGTTCACCAGTTACGCCTGGCCTGCCTCGGTCATTGGCGTCTCTTTGTTCAAACTGCTCCGGTGAAAGAATCTAACGCCACCAACGTCATAGCTGTGGACCGAACCAAACTGGAAAAACGGAGCACTCAAGACTGCTGTCACGTGCCACGTCACAAGGACGGCAGCGGGCTTATGCGTCACTATCGGTGGAGAGAAGACTTTGCTCTAGCTCAGTGCAGACCGGTTCGACCAAACTTCCGACGAAATTTCTTTCAAACAAATTTCCGGATACAAGGTGACGGTGCCTATAAATAGATCAATCCTGGACACGTTCACAACAATGGCCACCCAACTTCAACGGCATTGTCGACGGCAAGAACTACCAGAACAAAACAAGCCCCACCCCCTCCCTGCTGGGTTTCCATTGAGCGGCAAATTTTAACGTTGGGGTCAGAAGAGCGACGCGGTCAGTGGTGATCAAACCGGCCAACAAGAACTGAGGTCTCCTAAGGCTAAGTTCAAGAAAGTATGGGCCACCGAGCCGTCGGGTCAACACTTGGCTTGGCTGTTGGGGACCGGGGTGAGCTGTTGGGGAAGGGGTTGGCTGTTAGGGACCGGTGTTAGCTGTTGGGGATCGGGGTTAGCTGTTGGGGACCGGGGTTGGCTGTTAGGGGTTGGCTGTTGGGGACTAGAGTTAGCCGCTAGGGACCGGAGTTAGTTGTTGGGGTTGGCTGTTGGGGACAAGAGTAAGCTGTTGGGGACCGGGGTTGGCTGTTGGGGTATGCTGTTAGGGACCGGGGTTAGCTGTTGGGGTTGGCTGTTGGGGACCAGGGTTAGCTGTTGGGGACCAGGGTTAGCTGTTGGGGACCGGGGTTAGCCATTGGGGAACGGGATTAGCTGTTGGGGACCAGGGTTAGCTGTTGGGGACCAGGGTTAGCTGTTGGGGACTGGGTTGGCTGTTGGGGACCGGGGTTAGGTGTTGGGGTTGGGTGTTGGGGAGGATTAGCCGTTGGGGTTGGCTGTTGGGGACTAGGGTTAGCTTTTGGGGCTGGCTGTTGGGGACCGGGGTTAGCTGTTGGGGTTAGCTGTTGGGGGTGGCGGTTGGGGTTGGCTGGTGGGGTTGGGTGTTGGGGTTGGGTGTTGGGGTTGGCTGTTGGGGTCTAGGGTTTGCTTTTGGGGCTGGCTGTTGGGGACCGGGGTTAGCTGTTGGGGTTAGCTGTTGTGGTTGGCTGTTGGGGTTGGCTGTTGGGGTTGGCTGTTGGGGTTGGCTGTTGGGGTTGGCTGTTGGGGTTGGCTGTTGGGGTTGGCTGTTGGGGACCAAGGTTAGCTATTGGGTTAGCTGTTGGGGACCGGGGTTAGCTGTTGGGGACCAAGGTTAGCTATTGGGTTAGCTGTTGGGGACCGGGGTTAGCTGTTGGGGACCGGGATTAGCTGTTGGGGACCGGGGTTAGCTGTTGGGGACCGGGGTTAGAGCTGCGTGACACGAGGTGTTTTTTTTTTCAAGTTTCCATCCCTTAAGTCAGCGGTTCTCAGCCTGTGGATCGCGACCCTTTCCCAGGGGTCGCCTAAGAAAACACATATCCTTACAGCTATGAATTAGCAAAGAAAATAATTGTGTGGCTGTGGGTCGCCACGACACAAGAAAATTCAAGGGTCGCGGCAATGGGAAGTCCATTTTTATGAGTAGCTCTATATTTCATAAGGGGCCGTTTATAAATAACTTCCGTAAAGAAGATTGTGTTTGTGTGCGTGTGTGCATGGGGGGGGGGGGTCGTTCCTAAAGGACATCCAAGGGGGGGGGGGGTGGTCGTTGATAAATGACATGTCCAAAGAGGCGGGGGCGTTTCAAAGCGGACAAAGGTGCGAGGGGGGTGTACAGGATTCTACGGACACTGCATGTAAACCTCCATGTTAAATCTTTTTTTTTTTTAAATTGCTAACTTCCTGTATACCTCAGCTCATTTCTTTTCAACCCAATTATAATCTTAAATATTTGGTTGTTATTTATCAACAAATATAAACCATGTGAATTGTAATTTTTTTATTTGAATTCTCAGGTCTGGCTGACTTTAATCCAATGCCATATATTACGAGCTTGATTTAGTAGTAGAAGACTTTGACTCTTTGCTCTTGATAATCGTGTCGCCCTGTCTAATAACAATAATAAACTAATGAGATAAATGTTGGCTTGACCACCTGCCGTCCTCAGACCAGACACAGGCAGACACCTTCACGACAGAACTGCCTCTTATGTACTTGGACAAGGAAAACATGCTCAACAACTATTCACGGCAACAAATGTCTCCTTCCCGAGGCCCCGGGACCAAGCTTGAACATGGCACCCATCACTAGGTAGAACAAAAGACATTGTGGCGCCCCCTTGTCCTATGGTATTTTAACCTTAATTCAATATGAAGCTCATATCTAAAGACGATTATGCAAGCCCCCCCCCCCCCGTTTTGGTGTTTGCGCCCAGGGGGAATGCCCCCTTCACAGTTCCCTGACCCCCCCACTCTCCACCATACACACACCTACCTCCAGATTATGGACAGCTCGTTTGGAAGACTGATGACCATCAATGGCCTTTGCAAGCAGGTCAGTGACCTTGTGGACAAGAAGGTCAAACGGACCCTGTGTTTCCAGGGACTGCTTTAGGTCAATCTGTTGGGAGAGGAACACAAGTTATTGAGAGACATGAAAAGAATACAAACTCTGTGATGGGTCCATCTGTTGGTCCGTCCGTGTCCACTAAACCTGCGCTCTATCCGTTGTTCAGAAACACCGGAAGTGCCGAAGCTAAACACATTTGAGGAGCCCACTTGCCAAAGGTACTAAGGCAAACCAAACTCATTTTTCAGGAAAGTGAATTTTGTGTGACAACTTAACCAGCATTTTCAAGGCTGCTCTACATTCGCTAGTTCAAATCAAGTCATTTAGAGCCGTCTGAACGTTGAGATGAGAGATTCCAAAAGGGGATTTTAGGGAAGAGATTAAGAAAAGGCCACAAACTCATTTTTTTTTCTTTAAAAAAACGGACTTAGTACCATTTGCAACTGGGCTCCTCATTTATTGTATTTCGAAAATAGATTATTTGGTATTGGCGAGTGTGAGGTAGTGCATTTCCATGTAATTATTTGTATGGACATCTACTACATGCCGTTTATGTACCGTACTGTACCGTACATTAGAAACAACCGAAGATCGAATGTTCCTATCGCTTGATTATATTTTAAGTTGATCTTCTTTGTCTCCCTTTCTCTTTGTTTGGTTGTTGGTTTGTTTGTTGTTTTGTTGTTTTTTTTTGGTGAACTTTTTCATTTCAAAATGATTATTGATTGTTAATCATTGATTTCCTCTTCTTTTCTAGTTCTTGTTTAGTATTTGAGCCACTGAGCTTTCCAATTAATACATCGATCAAATGACATAGCAAGAGTGTGACTAAAATTGAAGTGTTGAGTGGAGACCCAAAGTGATCAAACAACCGCTGTAGATAGTATTGAACTATCTTTTGTGGCACTACACACATTCCACAACCATTATTGAACACGCTGATGAACACGTCCGTCCCTAGTGGCACGCCTGCTACCGTATGATGGCAACACAGGCCACATTCATGAACACGTCACTAGACATTCCAGACAGTTGGGTTTAACACATCACTAGACATTCCAGACAGTTGGGTTTAACACATCACTAGACAATCCAGACAGTTGGGGTTAACACGTCACTAGACAATCCAGACAGATGGGTTTAACACGCCACTAGACAATCCAGACAGTTTTTTTTTTCTTTCGGAATTATGGCTTTCAAAAGAATGCCGTAACACATGCACTTTTCAATGCACGGTAGCAGCACGTGGTCGCGTACACCTCAACCTGGCAGGTGAGCGAAAATGGAGTGCACTGTTGGAGCAGGTGAGTAGATTTGATAGCTCTCATATTTCTTGTCATATTTCTGGATAGCTTGACGAGTATGCAAGTGTCATGAGATTTAACAAAATGACTATATTTCTGTAAGAAAGACCATGGTATGACTAAGTGAACAGCTACCAGGCGGTGAACATGGTATGACTAAGTGAACAGCTACCAGGCGGTGAACATGGTATGACTAAGTGAACAGCTACCAGGCGGTGAACATGGTATGACTAAGTGAACAGCTACCAGGCGGTGAACATGGTATGACTAAGTGAACAGCTACCAGGCGGTGAACATGGTATGACTAAGCGAACAGCTACCAGGCGGTGAACATGGTATGACTAAGTGAACAGCTACCAGGCGGTGAACATGGTATGAATTAGTGAACAGCTACCAGGAGGTGACCATGGTATGACTAAGTGAACAGCTACCAGGAGGTGACCATGGTATGACTAAGTGAACAGTTACCAGGAGGTGACCATGGTATGACTAAGTGAACAGCTACCAGGAGGTGACCATGGTATGACAAAGTGAACAGCTACCAGGAGGTGACCATGGTATGACTAAGTGAACAGCTACCAGGTGGTGAACATGGTATGACTAAGTGAACAGCTACCAGGAGGTGACCATGGTATGACTAAGTGAAGAGCTACCAGGTGGTGAACATGGTATGACTAAGTGAACAGCTACCAGGAGGTGACCATGGTATGACTAAGTGAACAGCTACCAGGAGGTGACCATGGTATGACTAAGTGAACAGCTACCAGGCGGTGACCATGGTATGACTAAGTGAACAGCTACCAGGAGGTGACCATGGTATTACTAAGTGAACAGCTACCAGGCGGTGAACATGGTATGACTAAGTGAACAGCTACCAGGAGGTGACCATGGTATGACTAAGTGAACAGCTACCAGGCGGTGACCATGGTATGACTAAGTGAACAGCTACCAGGAGGTGACCATGGTATTACTAAGTGAACAGCTACCAGGCGGTGAACATGGTATGAATTAGTGAACAGCTACCAGGAGGTGACCATGGTATGACTAAGTGAACAGCTACCAGGCGGTGAACATGGTATGAATTAGTGAACAGCTACCAGGAGGTGACCATGGTATGACTAAGTGAACAGCTACCAGGCGGTGACCATGGTATGACTAAGTGAACAGCTACCAGGCGGTGAACATGGTATGAATTAGTGAACAGCTACCAGGAGGTGAGATGGCACAACTCCCCTAATCTTGTTTTATGTGACTCGTTAGAAATGGTTAACTGGCGGATGAAATCGTTTCCCTTCAGGAGGACAGCGATTAGTTTGTAGACAAGCAGCAGCTGCAGGTTGAGCAACCCTTGCAGCTTCAGGTTGGAGAATCCCTGCAGCTACAGGTTGGAGAATCCCTGCAGCTACAAGTTGGAGAATCCCTGCAGCTACACTATGGAGACATAGATCACGTGATCAAACAGGGTGACCAATGCACCAAGACCACCGACCAAATGAACCGTGCCGTGATCCTCAATCATGAAGAAAGCGGACTGACCAAGAATGAGACGTCAACAAAGCGCCAGGTAAGACGTAAGGGCAGCCATGAAATGTCCCACTCGATCAAAGCGGCCAAGTGAATGGACGCGTACAGAAGCGTCCGCCAAGACCTTCACTGAAAGCCGAACACGAGAAATAGCAACGCAATAATCATTCAAAGTGTTTTCAAACACTGTAAACATTCAAGGTTCTCTCAAACACTGTAAACATCCAAAGTGTTTTCAAACACTGTAAACATCCAAGGTGTTCCCAAACACTGTAAACATTCAAGGTGTTCCCAAACACTGTAAACATTCAAGGTGTTCTCAAACACTGTAAACCTCCAAGGTGTTCTCAAGCTCCAAAACATCTTAACCAAACATAAGCCAGAGGCAGGAAGCAAACTTTTGTACTATGTTTAGTTCAAAGTGTCTATCGCCGAAAGTTCTAGAGCAAGCTTTCGGTAGACAGGCTGAATATCTACAAGGCATATCAAGTATATCGAGGGAGGGGGGAAGCAGGAGAGCTAAAATACAAACTGAGTATGTTGGTCCTCCTAACGAACTGTAGTGTATGTGTGTATGTGTATATATATATATATATATATATATATATATATATATATATATATATATATATATATATATTCGCAAATGACATGATGTAATTGGGACCAGCAAAGTGAGACCTACTTCGCACCGCCAGCCTACGACTACGCTAATCCTAACAGCGGCTTATTTACCAGGCCTACGCTCACAGTGACGCAGCACGGCGTCACAGCTAGAGCTGCGTGGGCGGGGAACACCCCAGGTCTGACTCATCGACGTCACAGGGGATACCAACCACGGAGGGCGGGCCCAGCTTCTAAATGACATGGTTGAAATCCAAGACCAACCTTTTGTTACCTTGCAATGAAGAGGAACATAAATCCGGGTGACAACAAGATAGCATAGTATATATTTAGGAAGTGGCTATTCGCATCCGGGTACCAGAAGTGAGAGGTTGGGGTTAAAAAAAACTATTTAAAATATTATTGTTGGGTGTGTAAGACAAAATGAGACATCAAATGAAAGATAATTGAATGGACTATATGTTTGTAAACTTACTTCTTCAGTTTAACTAAAATTTAGAACCAAAAACGACATCCGAATGGGATTTAGTCTAAAGGGACCTGGGTCCGCAAAGCCGCTATTCGGACCCAGGTCCCTTTAGACTAAATCCCATTCGGATGTCATTTGTGGTAGTTAATTTTTGTTAAACTGAAAAAGTACTTTACAAACATATAGTCGAGTCAATTATCTTTCATTTGATGTCTCATTTTGTCTTACATACCCTACAATAATATTTTAAATAGCTTTTTTTTAACCCCAACCTCTCACTTCCGGTACCCGGATGCGAACAGTCGCAACCATATTTTTAACACTAGTGGGCGTGTCTACCATTCATTAAACTTTGTCTAGCGTAAAATAATGACCAAACTCCTAGGTGTAGTAAATGAAATAAATAAATGATAAATGTATAGCTTCCAATTGTAGTTAAAGTCTTGTACTTGTAAGAAAGTTACAGGTGTCTTTATGGCAGAAACTTCAATTGCGCTCATTAGAAAAGGTTGTGCTGGGCCCCCTTTGATAAGATACAAATTTAGAACCGGGGCAGTGTTTGTTGAGACAGATTGAGAACCGCGACAATGGAGTTCGTTTCGCATCGAGGTGAAGATGCACAGCCACCTTGGTGATAAGAAACCCTTTGAACTTGACTGTAAAGAGCACAGCTTAGTCACGCTAATTCAAGGGACGGATTAGTGGCCGCTTGCCAACACCCACAATGAGTCGGCACTTGGCAGTGTGTGTGGGAAGTGAGCCTCGGTTACACCATTACAACGGGATCATGTCCCGGTTTCACCCCCACCCCAATGTAGGCGCGAGCGCCTCTCGTTATCAATCAAGTATCCATCAACACAGAGCCCACCAATGGGAGACACCCCTGGAAGCTGACACCACGAGGGCGCACACTCCACTTAAAGTGCACTTTTGTTTGTGGATGGGACATCCCTTGGTCCACCTCTCAGTGCTCGTTTTGTCAGTGTTTGGACAGTTCAAGATGGCAGCTGAGCACGATTGACACTAGACCAGAGTTCATTGGAAGAAGTGTCAACAGTTGCAGGACACTAATGAATGGACACAACCTGGACACAACCTGGAGATAACATAACAACAGCGCCCATATTATG